CTACATTCTAAGTAAAAACAAGTACTTTACACAAAAACTCAACAATTTTTTGAGACGAGCTGTATCTTACCACCACCGCATACTTCGTGGTTGAAGTTATAAGATTATATTTAACTAGGATAATCAATTCTTATTCTAATTCAAGTTATGTTAATTTGAGTTTAATATGGAAATTAAATTGAAATTTATGATATCTCCTTAAATTATGTTGAGGGACAATCATTTCTTCAAAGTAAATAATTACTTTATGAAAGGTTCTACAATAAAATAAAACAAATATTCATCTTTTAACTAGATTTTAGTTATAGCCAAAACATGTGAGAGAAAAAATACATAGAGTTATATAAGATATTTTTATAGGTTTTACTACGCTACTTATGTAAAATTTGCTTAGAATCATAATATTTCATATAATTATTCAAATGAATAATTTTGATTTGAACATCAGTTGGATAGACTATGTAAAAATTGCATGTCCGATAAAGTGATATTGTTATGGATGTGTTTCACTTCATCATTTGATTTGCAAGAAGATGTAATGCATTTTGATTATCACAATGAAGATTGTCAACCTCTTCTTCCCATACTATTTCAATGATAAGCTCATTTAATCAAATAGATTGCTTTGTTACTTTTGTTGCCTCTACGTGATCAACTTCTTATGAAGAATTAACTACACACTTTTGCAAAATAGATTTCCAACTAATACATCCACCATCAAGTGTAAACACATGTTCAATTGTTCATAGCTTTCATCTTGTTCATGATCAAACAATATACCATAATACTTAGTATTTTTAAGTATCTAAAAATACATTTTTAGATACTTAAAGAGTACTAAGTATTTTAATGCACATGTTCTAGATTTGATATGTATTTGCTCATCTTGTACATCGCTAGAGTAACGTCAGATCTTGTTAACATCACTAAATACATTAAGTTGTCAACAATTTTGTCATAAGAAACATATAACATTGTAATTTTTTTTCAATGAAATCTATTGAACATTGAATTGCAGAAATTTTGAAATGTGCTGCTAAAAAAGTTTATACACCTTTAGAGTTTGTCATGTTAAACATGTCAAGCACTAGTTGAATGAATTTGGCTTGATTCTATTATAGTTTCTTCTTCGTCAAATCCATATGAATATACATCTCTAAGATCATGTTTGACTTACGTTTGATTTGCGTACGTTTGACGTACGCAAATCTTTCATTTTAAATACAAATTTCAATTGGTTTTTGCATACGATGTAAGATTGGTTCTTTACAAGATGAATCAATCTTATGTATTAAAATAATAAGATTGAAGATCTCATTGCCCACATTCTTCATGTTTACATAAAGATTATACACATCCCGTGAATTTGTGCTTTTATGAAATCAACAAATCTTGCATACTATTGCCTAGTAATTTGCTTCATTTCATATAATTATCTCAACAATCTACAAATTAGCTGCAGTTGACTTTTTTTTCTCAAAGTCAACTAGTTGTCTCATGTAAATTTACTACTCTAGATATTCAAAAAAATGTTGTAACTAATTACATTTGATACATAATAAGTTTAAATTTTGAAGCAAATGCACATACAAGACAAAGTATAGCATACATTGCTACAAGTAAAAAAACTTCTTTGTATTTCATAACTTTCTTTTGTGTGAAAGCTCTAGCCATCAACTTCACTTTAAAGATACTATGTTTGTCATCAATTTGATTGTACTTCAACGTGTACATTCACTTGCAATTTATCAAAGTTTGATTCATTAGTAATTTTACTAGCTCTCAAATCTTATTATGCATAAGAGATTTTTGTGCTCTATAACGATATTTCAATCAAGATTATTGAGAGAGTATTAAGGTTCTTTATAAGAAGAAATTATTACTTTTTTCAAGAACAACAACATGCCATCATCATATTTATATCACTATCATGATTTTCAAAAATGTATGAAACATATCATAATTCATCAAATTTTTATTAGTTTTTTAAAGAATAAAATAAATAAATTATTCATTTATAACATCTTAATATACTAATTCTCTATTTGTTATTTTGATCAAACAAGATAATGCTAATTCATATTAGCATGCAAAACACATAATTTGAATTGTAAATGATTTTTTATTTGATATTTAATAATTTTCATTACTTGATTATTTTGTATGATCTCATATTAATTTCAATTCAAAATTTTTAAAAAAATTGTTATGAAAAAAATTTCACAACTATTTAGTGTTTAAATAGATGTATGGCATTTATATACGATTTGTGCATTTTATGTATGTAAGTAACATTTTTGTATTTTGATCAACATAATATTTGTTGAGTTTAAATTCTCATTTGACATACTCTTAGTTGATAGATCATTTTAGACATAAATTTTGTATGAGATTTTTTTTGCATTTATATCACAATAAAATAACTTATAATAGAATCATAGGATTCTATGATATGAGCATTTGATGGAATATTTTCATTCATCATGATAGAAATTTGGTACAAAGCACATTGTTTCAATGTCGATCTAACTCAATTCATTATTAATCAAGTCTATAATGAAAAAGATTTAGAATAGAAAATTTTTTTAGCTCTTATTTTGTACATATTTTAACTCTACACTAATTTGATATTTGATCACAAATGAAAAAAATTTATCAAAGATAATTAATTAAAATACATTTTTTTGATTGGTTTTGCAAGTATAAGATTCAAGATTTATTTTATTAGCTCAAAATTATAATATATATTTTGAAGATATGTTTGATTTTGAAAAAATAGTTTTTAGTACTTTCAAAAACCTTTAGTTGTAGATTTGATAGATAACTTAAATTATTATAAATATTTATACTTTAAAGATGATGCATGGTTAAAAATCATGGTTTGATCATACATTGAACAAAATTTGCACCAACTATTTCCTCACGACATTAACATTTTGCATGGCTTGATCTATCTATTTGCAACTTCATTCTTTGTTGGGAATGTGGTATTTTTTGCAGTGCAACAAACTTTCAAGTGATCATTTGTTCATTTGAAATCATAATATAATTATCAATGATGTGACAATACATGCAGTTTTGCTATTGCACAAGAGAGTAAAATCTTATTTGGTAATAACGATTACATAGGTTGCAATAAAATTTGCAAACGTATAATTATACCTTAAGCCTTGATAAGGTAAAGTAACCTTTTAGGGTTACCCGGTAAAAGTGTAAAAGTTAAAATTTTGGCTATAGGTAAGTTAAGGGGTAAGATAAAGGTATAACTAAATTGACTATTCGATAATTACCGGTAATCCTTTACTGTGCAAATGACAAAATTTATTGAAATTTTCAAGATGTGCGGACTTTAAAACCCCACGACAATGGTTAGTTCTCTATTGGACCATTGTTGTGCTCCTCTCTATTCCAAACTCAAGTCTAGTCAGCAGAAATGTCCATCTACGTGAAAAGTGAGAGGTTGGATCAAATGTTGGAAAATGTGTCTCGTTCTCTAAAAATGAGCCACTAGATATTCGTTGGTGTTTCTAAATAAAATGTCAAAGTCACAAGGTCATGAGTTGGTTTCTTTGAACCCAAGGCGACACTAAATGGTACTTCTAGTAAAAAACTTTAAGATCTTTCGTTTTTTATGGAGGGTCAAGTTAAGGCATCGAGAGAAAAGGAGACATACTTCACGAATGTTACGTTCACCACGCTTAACCATTCTACAAAGGAAGTTTTTTACATGTTCTCCAGACAACACAGTTACAGGATGTTAGTTTGACAATTTACCTAATCATTCTACAAAGGAAGTTTTTTACATGTTCTCCAGACAATACAGTTACAGGATGTTAGTTTGACAATTTACCTGTTTATCAAACAGGTAAATTACCCTGTTACCTCTACCTTTTAACCTAAAAGGTAGATTTGCCGTATAACCCTAAAAGGTTACCCGGAAAGTGTAACTTTTAAACTTTTAAGAATATGTACCAGGTAATCCGATAATTACCTTGAGTTAGAGATAAAGGACAAAGGTAGATAGTAGTGGTGCAAGTAAAGTAAAAGGTAAGGTAAAGATAAAGGCACATGTTTTATCCGATAAACTTTTAACTTACCTTAGCCAGTCTTCTTATACCTCACATGGGGCTAATTAGCCCTCACCCTATTGTAAGGAGTTCATTCATTGGCCGTATGGAGTTATAAGATACAGGTGGAAAAAATAATCAGAAAGATTGAAAACTCATCAAGAAGACTGACTTGCTGGTTACATCTTAGCCCTAGCTGCCAATTCCAACTCTCTCTGATTCGGCTAACTTCGAGCTTTTTGTGAGTCCCTTCAAGTCCGATGTCCGAAACAAGCCCAGCGGAATGAGGAGACCATGGACGGCATTTAGGCACTGCCACGCCGGCCCGGCTGTTGGTCCGAGGTTGCGAGAAATGTGCACTTGTCTGCGGCATTCGCCATGAAATTTACGACCTCGGTACTAAATCGATGGCAAATTCTGTCTCTAGAGTCGATGCCAAGTGGTACCATTGATCATCCGTCCTCCTCCTCGGACCTTGCCTTGTCTTGGAGGAAAAGAGATTTTGATCTCGGTGCCAAGAATTTTCAGCCTCGATGGTGACCAATGCGGTGCGGTGCCAACCCGGCAAGTTGGATTGTTGAAATTGGTCTCGTGTCACTTTTTGTAGCTTTCGACATTGCTTTCATGCAATGAGTGTAGAGCTTTCCAGACAGAACTCAATAATCAAAGAGACTGGACATGTGCCGCCCACAACGTTGTGAACGAGCGCGCACAACTCCAGCTCCCATGGCTAGATCCGATTGCAGGATCTAGATATGCGTGACTCGAATGAAAGGAAGGGATACGCTCGCTCGCGCCAAACAGATGGAGCTCGTTGTCTAGTAGTGAAGTCGAGCACATCTCTTCGGCGCATGTGAATGCAAGATGTGGTGGATGTAAATCACGTAGATCATAAAGAGAACGAAAGAAAGAAACTTGCAAAATTTATTTTTCCCACACGGACCTCGTAACCCCATACGGCCAATGAGTGAGCTCCATACAGTAGGGTGAGGGCTAATTGGCCCAAAACCTACTTAGTCGAGAGATAACTAGCCGCCCCCCTTAAATTAGTTCAGATATACATGTGTGTATATATATATATATATATATCTTTCTTCTCAAACTCTTGATTACATGTTGTACTTGTGCTAATGTTCAAAGAGGGGAAATGATAAGTGACTACTGTAGCGACTACTACCAAAGTATTCAAGAATATGAACATGCAAGTAGATGCATAATTGTTCCGCTCTTTCATCCTTGAAGGTACATGTGCAATGAGGTCATTGTATAATCCTGTATCCGTAACATGTATCCATCGCTAAACATACATCTCCATCTTATCAAAACCATATACGCGAAATTACAATATGCGATGCTCATTTGGATGCACCCATGGCAAATCCATTTTCTCCCAGTACAGTAATATTGTGGCCTAGCCCCCTCTTGAAAGCGCCTTCCCATCTTTGAGCCTTTCCGCTTTATGTAGATGAGTCCTCGGATTCTCGCCTAGTGTGCTCCACAAGAGGGAAACGAAAGGGCTACTAGCGACCGAAAGGGGCCGAGAGCAGGTAGCAGTCCTGCACGACTCGTTCGGCGAGTCCGGCTCTTGGGGAAGGAGGCACGGTCGCAGATGCACCACCAGAATGAGAAAAACGAGCCCACGGTGCCGGAAGTTAGGACCCCCTGGGGTGGGGGGTCGGTCCTCTGGAGCTTCTTCTTCTTCTTCTTCTCGTGCTGCTTTTCGGCAGACGCATAATGGAGGGGCGTTGTTATAGTGGTGCCTGGAGGGGCTGGAGGCATGGAATCCACGCCCACAGCAAGTGGGACTCGCACATGGACACAGTCGTTGCAGATCCCGAGTGGATATGGCTGCTGCAGAGATCAGACCCTACTATGCATGCTCACAAGGCTATAGCCGCATTCGTCTTCGATGGACCGGAAGAGATGCATGATTCATCGAACCGAGCTCGCTTCGTGGTTCGAGTCGGGCAGAGTGAGATGGATAAGCGAGCATAATGAATGAGAATGAGGATGAGAAGGAACGGGAGGTTTCATCTGCCCATTGACCTCACGGCCCGTCTTGTCTCGGCTTTCGTCTCTTACGATGGGCAGAGCAGACGACCTCACGATCGATCACGTTCGATGTTTCAAGAGGAGTAAATGCAATCTCCTGTTCGCGCCATGGCGCCAGGGCCAGGGCCTGCGACTGACTTTCGACGCAAGAGCGCGAATTTGTAGCGGATCTGGATACAGCAGCTCTTGGGGTGGAATGACTGTATCGTCCATGGGCCCTACTTCCGTTCTTCCTCGCCCTCCTTGGGAGGATGTAATTTCTCCTCCGCACTCCCATTTGGGTTCCTACTGAAAAGATTGTCATCCCTCGAGCACGTCGTTGATGCTGCCATGAAAAATGCAGGATCTTATCTCGCATATCCACGATCCACGTATGACGACAAATGCCATTCATTGTCTCAAAGCTGCGCGGGTCGGATTCTTCTCCATACGGATGAGGCGACCGTCTGTTCCAGGTCTCAGAGAGATTCGAGAACGTCAACTCGAAATTTCTGTCGTGCACTTTCGATCGATCGATCGCCGGAAGGAAAGACTGAACACTGTCGATCAGCACCAGGACGGACCTTCACGACTCAGACGTGGAACATGAGCGTGCTTGTTGTGCTGCTTGAATGCGCACTCACGTCATTTTTTTCTCCGGCAGGCAATCATGACAATGGACTTTGTGACAACAATATATTGTTCTTTGAGGAAAGAAATCTTCGTCCTGATGATCGTGTACTCAACCCAACAAGAATCAATCACCAGAACCGAGATCTCACAAGTTTAGAAAAACCACACAATCACAACTTGAACCAAATCTCCCAATCTCTCGATCTCGTCATGATCGAGGCGTTTGAGAAGTGTTGGAGTGTTCAAGTGCCTGATGAGTTTGCATCTTAACCCGGGCAGCTTCCAGCATGCTCATCATATGCATGAGACGCTTCAGCGGATCAACTCGGAGCGTGGGATGGATGGGCATCAAAAGCTCTGTGATCCAGACCTTCCCAAAATGAGCGTGTGTGTCCCCTTCCCTTGGAAAATCAATGTGGACGTCACATGTCTCTCATGTTTAGTTGCATGTGAAGGATGTGACGAGGTGGTGCACGTAAATCTGGATACTCCAAACTCGGTCCGAAGATAACCACTGGACCATTGCAGCTCGTGCAATGAGAGCATTACAGTAACAAAAAGTAAGTGGGGGACTGTGCGATTGCCTTACAGGTCTTCGTGACATCCGATGCACATTATCCAACACCATTACCATTAATCAGCGAACAGCTTGAAATCAACAAGCTATTCCTGTCCGCATTGGTAACACGTCTCCATGCCACTGGTCTGAAACTCTACTGACATTTACCGTGGATGTCATATATTCTTTGTCCTTGTTCGCGTTTGCGAGGAAAGCGTGACTTTTAAGATCAATCTTTGATATTTGTCATCACCAATCAGTGAGAAGAAACCGTCCATGAGACTCTTGGTTACATATTCGACAATCTCAAACAATTGCTTGTTTGTTTATATATGTATAAAATCCAAGAACATGGCCGTTCTTAGGGTCGCGAGAAAGTAACTCATGCTCGGTCAACATGACATGAGGTGCACAGAACTGTTATAACGACACAGTTTGGTCAACACCTGCGATGAGGTGGATTTTTCTCTTGGAGTACTTTTCCCTGGTCTCCAAGTGCCCAGCTGTTCCTCAGCATAAGGATCATCGAAAGTCGCCAGACGCTTCGCTAGTCGCCCAGATTCCCGTGAACCAAACAGAAAACACTGCACACAGTGTTTAAAGCCATGATTCTGAAGATGTAAACCACTTAGGCTTCACTCCTGCGGTTCTTTAATCTCACATCGAATCCCTATGGCATTCTACAGGTATGTACTCCAGTCTAAAGCTCTCGTGAACTGTCTCTTGTATTTCCCGTTTTCTCACTTCAGCCCCCATGCTTTTCTGCAGAGATGGTTTCTTTCCAAACCATGGTACTGTACTCCTTTGGTCGTTGGATTCTCCTCCTCATGCGTAAGTTCGCTTGACCCAGGAGCTGGATGAGTTAAAATTATGAAACTTACTTCTCCCTCCTTAGACATGTGGTGATCTGTATTGCACGTGACAGTGAATGCAACGTTAGTGGTGTAGAGACGTGACCTCTCTGAACCTTCAACGTTGGAATTGGCACATGGTTAAAATTTCAACACGTGTGAGAGTGAATGCATGAGAGACTATTGTGATAGTGTGCAGTATGTTGGAAGATTTTGACTTCAATGTGTAATGTATTCTAAACACTATATAATTCGACATCACACAGTATTACTCTTGCTTATACATGACGTGACCGTGACAGATTCTAGTACGGTATATACTGGAAGACAATCGTCTAATACACCGTCCGATTCAGACCAATCGTCTCCTTTTGGGTGGATTTGGTTCCTCGTTCCCATCGTGTATATTGTATACACGATCATATATTGTATATATGATCGTGACCCTGTATAATTGGCACATTCAAAATAAGACCTTTGCATAAGCAGTTAGTTGCTCGTTAGATATACACGAACAAGAGTACAAGTCGAGAACCTTTTGACGCTCGATGCTATAGGAGACGTTGCAAGGTCAAGACCAAACGGTAATAACGGCGGCGGGAATTAGTATCTGATCGGCTCTGCTGGGAGGAAATTCCTTACTCAACTATCCAACATGACACAATACTTCTACAGATCCATTTCTGTTGCAAGCCCAGGCATGCATTTGGATTATCAATTTGGGTTTGCAATTTGACTTCTTTCAACTTTCCTTCCCTGGAAGGACGACTAAGGTGAATTCCCTCAAAGTCCGATTGGGATCTAGATTTTCAGCTTTACCTCAACATTCACGGAAATAAGTCCATTGCGGAAGTACTGGTGGCATTATATATTCGAGTGTACATACCAAAACAAAATCTCGGCAGACTTGAGGCAAAGCTGGGAGAAACTCGCAGGGAGTTAAATCCTATTGAAACCAAAAGGGTTCAATTGGATTCAAATGTGCTTGGTTTCAGATACACATTGTTCACTCAACGAAGTGAACTAGTCCGATACTCCACAAGCTGCCTAATCCTATCCTAGCATTTGATATGATACTCTACCTACAAATGGTCATATATAGCCAGCCTTCAGCAAAAACAAATGGGTCATGATATAAATCATGTTCACAGATAGCACATGATTCAAGCTGACCTAAGGGAGCATCGGGGGGGACACGGGAGGATTTTATTGCCAACGCGGGTCACATGAGGTAGACCACAGCATTTGCGTGACCTTCATCGATTCGACAATTTCAAGAAGGATCCGATATGTGTTCCTGCTCTCTACTTAGTCATACTCGTAGAATGATGTTTCCCTTGGATCTGCTGAAAGGTAGGATAATAAGAGTAGCTCCTGGTCATACAACTACGTGATGCAACACGTTCCCAAGTGCACTGCTGGCGGGATGCTGTGAGTATGATGTTTGAGTAACAAACGTGCCCGCAAGATCCACATTTTGTGCTAGTGTTACAGCTTGGCCCCGGTCGCTGTAAGGACAGAGTGTCTAACTGGTGCCCACAGAGCTTCTGCCGTCAAAAACTTGCCGAGAGCAACCCAACGAGGCACATGTTCGTGTTTTCTGGGTGGGTACCTTCCGCGAAAGCCATCAGCACACTCAACATGGCTGCAGGGCAATTTTGAGAATGACCCACACCGATAAGGGAACACAAAAGCCCCTCTTCATGACCACATGCAAGCCCTTACTGCATTCAGTCACTTTTATACACAAAGTAAAAGCTCTACTTACGAGCCCTTCGAAAGCGATGTTCAAACCTCCTCCACGCGGGCGAGAGACTGTACTCTAGAACTCATGCTGATTTGCCTCGCAGCTTCCCTAGATAAACTGAGTTGCAACGCATTGTCCCATGAAAATTGAGTACGGGTAACCGGCAGTTTCCTTCGCAACTCCTGCGGTCATTCAAGGTAAAAGCCTTCAGATACTAAAGCCTAGCATGAAGTTGCTTGTGTCTGACGATGAAAGACATTGCACAAATCTATATCCGTTGAGACCTGAGTAAACTTAACACTATGATTTTGACATATATATATTTAGGCGTCAAAATAATAATAATTACTGTCCTCAGCAGCGACCGAGCATGACACTGACCAGACTCTTTCAACGGGAACAAACAGAGCAGCGAGATCGCTTATCGCAATCGGGATGGCCTCTAGTGACTGGTCATTTAAATACAAGAAGGATCTGCTTACCTTGAATGTAGTATCCGAGAGGGTAGAATATTTATCCTGCAGAATACAATCCTCCTCTTAGACGTGAAAACAAAATGTAATAAAGATTCCAATCTATCTAGACATACTCTCCAATTGGCTATCCTATAATTCGGTGACGAATCGAGATTTGTAACTTCCTGTTAACGGGACCAGCAATTCTTTTTCTTGTAAGTGCCATGCCTAAAAAACAAAAGTTACGAGTGACACTATGAGCAGTCCAAGTTCTTTACCAACAAATTTCCAAGGAAAGATACCTCGAGTGCTGCTAAGTACTCAGATTCTTGATGCCGAATAACGGCAACAATAGATACTCCAGTCTCAATGACGTCCTGTAGTATTAACACAATATTCTGGGTAAGCAGAAACATTTGGCTTACTTGCCACAAAACCAATTCGTGACACGATGTGAGGGAGGTGATACACGGGACAAAGCAAATGAAAACTTAAAACTTAAAGGTTTCAAACTTATATTGGGCATACACTTTAACAGCACTATCGAGGGCTACAGCAGACAACCAAGAGAGGATGACAACCAAAAATTATGCCTTATGTCTTTTCAGGGTACATATGACGGTTGACATGGTGATGGGGTCAGTTGAAGAGACAGGAAAACCTACCTGCATCACAGTCGAATCAGAGCACTCGTAGCTGGTCGCCAGTTGGACGTTGCCTTCTTCGAAATAGTGGGCATTGACCTAACGGGAATTAATAGGGTCATGGTCAATAGAGCATGCTTTCCACAAAAAGGGTCATCACAATAAAAGCAAGGGTTGTTTATTTTGAGGGTTGGAGAAAGCTGAAAGCGACAACTATCCTCTGCACAATAATAGCCAAGACGATGCCTGTTAACTGGACTAGTCTTGAAAAAATGAATTTAACTCTGTGCTGCCCACTTTACCAGACACATGGCATGATACTAATTATTTGTCTAGTGAACGTACGTGTATGTGGCCTCTCAATTCCACAGATTCGTTCTCCTCATTCAATTCAACTGTCCAAACAGATCGCCAGCGGCCACCTCTGTACACGTTAAGAAATATATTCAGATCCAAAAATACAGAAGGAAGAAAAGTACATAGAACATCTTCTTGGGCTCCATGACAACACAACCAAGTAAACTAATAACAATACCTCGATGTTGCGGAATACTGGCTTCTTTGAAAAAAATCTTGAGTTTTGATCCAACTAGTAGTTTCTTGAGGAGCATATGAGTTTACCGAAAATTTTTTGGACTGAAGCTTGACGTTGAGATCACCACGGTGAGCTCAAACTCTCCCCCATCTCCATGATTGTTTTTCCCATTCGTACAGTAGACTGAACAACTGCCTCTAGGATATGCTTCTTCAACATACTTTAAAACTTCGGCGTCGACAGAGGCCCTGGAACCACAACTAATATTCTTAAATCTTTGACAGAGTACAATTTCTCCCGTTATTTAACAGAGTTCCATCGTACATTAAGAACGTAGACCTAAAACTTGCACAACAATTCTGGAACATACTTGTAGGGCATCATAGGAGCATTCAGTGATACTAACCGATATTGTTCCACGTAATTTGAAGGAAGCTCGTCATCTGAAGCTGGCCGCACTGACTTGCAAATCTGTCACATGACGCGATTTAGGTAAGAGTGTAAGAGTGAGGGACTTTCCGTGTATAACCAAAAACAAAATTACCGAGCTAAACTGGAATGTTACAAAAGAACTGGCCGACAGGCTGCATTAAGGAAGATGGCCCGCCTAAGTGATTCGCAGCTCAATTACCTGTTTCACATGATCCACTGCGGCAACTTGGGCTGTCCTCGGGTCCAAATAGTGGCTGCCATCGACTTCTCCATAGCGACTCACAAGCACCTGCCACCACATTGCAGGAGCACAGCTGCCTGCCAATCAGGACATTCCAATCTCAGAAAGCCACTTCTACTGTACAGCTCACTGCAGACCTTGACCATCTAACTAGTTAAGTGGCTGTAGTGTTTGCTGTTGATTGTCCGTCATCTTCCGCTGAGAGAACTGGACCTAAAGTTCATTACCCATTCCATTGCCACAAAACGGAGTGAAGGATGAGGAAGATTTTTCAGAAGCGCTTTCAAATCCAATCTCCTCGTGCTTTTAAAAAGCTTCCGATTCAACAGCCTTAGAAGATTAACGCTTCTAGCAAGCAAAGTGCTTGCGGCGACGATTAGTTCCCTCCACCAACACCATCTGCAAAAGAAACGACAGAGAGCTGCTGCAAGACAGACCTGACAACACTGAAAGACAAGACGGCATGGCCAGACGGTTCCTCCACTTCAGATTTTTGAACGATCCTAAGCACAAATTTTGAACAGAAGCGAATTCTCACCTGTCCAGTGCCATTAGGCATCTCCAGGGATATCATCTCCTTCAAATTGTATTCTGGGAAAGCTTCCGCGGCTGCTTGGTCGTACAGTCTGTCGTTCGTCAGGACCTCGCGTACATCTGGAAAGCGAGCAAGATTTCTTTGTGAGTGACAGAGACGAAAGCGTCAGACGAAAATTCTGAAGATGACAATGAGCGTAGGTTTCCAACGACAGTCTTCAAGATCTAGCCTCCCAACACCCTTCAAAAGTGAAGTACACGAACGAGAAAAAAAATGCAGCCAACTGAGCAAGTCGGATAAATTGGTATCATACAGAACGACAATGAGACCATCCACCAAAAGCTCATGCAGTGCGTAAGAATTGAATTTACGACGAATCCTTGCTTCCATTCTCGGGCCTCGATAACACAATCGACTGCAGCAAGATCGCCATCACATGTCGAGACAGAAATGCGGTACATTGATTTCGAATTGGAACATGTACAGTGCACAACAACTTCGTTAAACTGCTTTCGACCAGTAATTTTAGCGGTGATCAATCAACGGGTCTCAAGGATCCATGCGAACGTTAGTGGAAATCACTCCCACGAAGGGCCTCATAAGAACTACCTGGCACGTATAGTCAGGTCTAAGTCCTGAACCAATTGTATCGACCCCAGAGATGGAGATGCTGTAAATGTACGGAGCTCGGACAGCCTAATCTGTAGAAGTGGACAACTAGTCTTCGTGCTGAAGCTCAGAATTGAGGAAAGATGTTTTTAAGCATCCAGCAGACCAAGATCTGAGGTCAACAAATTTGAGAGATACGCAGACTACTTCTACCGCTAGCACTGCAAGATTGGCTTCAGGATGATGGCCGGGAAGAGGCGTCTTCTCGGCCATTATCCTGAACATGAACGATGATGAGGGTTCCGCGATCTGGTTCGAAGGTCGTGATCAAGAAACCCGAATCTTGAGAAGACCACGGTAAGAAAACCACCACATAAAAAAGGGGGGAGACCAAGAACGAAGTTCGCGAAATACCTTTGGCAACATGCTGCATTTCTTCAGACGGAGCATTTTGGAGGAACCATTTCGCCAAAGAAACCTTTTGGAAGTCGTCCAACTCCACAGTATCGTCTTCATCTTCGTAATGATTCGCCATGTCCCCAATTCTCCAATCCAATGAACCAATCGACCAAACACTCACTAGCGTCGCTCACGAACCCGTCCTGATCGCTTCAAGAAACACAGGAACACCCACCAGGCTGCTGAAAACTGCTGCTGAGCTCCCGTGGCTCCTCCGACACAAATCCCGACCCCGATCCACACACTGCCACTGCCACTCGCCTAATCTCTGCTCTCCGCGCTCCGATCTTCCACAAATCTCCCACCGCCTTTCGGTGCCGCAATTCTTGACACCCTGTGGGCACACTGCTGGACCTTTACAGCCTGACCGGCTCTCGAATTCTCTCGTCTATCTGTCGGTCCGTCTCACGCTCCCCGCGCCTCGACGGATAGAACCACGGCTTGAAATACGACGCGATCAATCGAAATGCCGAGCGAATGCCCTGAAATTCGTCCCGTATTCCAATCGAATTTCGCCGAAAGGTCGGAGATGCGCGGAATTTCTTACACATGTAGCTCCGCGGACTGGGGTCCGATCGAAGCCGTCGGATCGCATGGTGACCACGGCGCGGTTTCCCCTGCCACTCCGTAGGCATCCCATCCGGCAGCAGTCCGCCCGCGGTCGGCTCCCCGTCCGTGGACGTCGTCGATGTGGTGTTGACGTGCAAGGCTCGGGAGCCGCGGGCTTGACCTGGTGGAGAATCTCCCGATGACCCGGCTTCCCCGGTCACTTCTTCGGCCCCGCGGTGTTGACCGTTGCAGATGACTTGGAGTAGCCTCCTCCCCAGCCTCCGAGTTGGAAAAAGTCCTCTCAGATTAGTCTCGCGAATTTTCCCCCCTCCAAGCCAAGCCTCCACTAAAATAACCGACGCAGCATAATATGCCAGATTTCGACCAGACTGTCATTGACTCCGGCTATATATATCGTTCGCCTACTGTACTGGCGACTCTTTTGAAATCGAGCGCCAACTTCTGCTTTGCTGCCCAATCCCGAAGATGTCATTTGATCGTTCTGCTCGTAGAGACACCGAGATCAGACCAAGAAGGATTGGTCGATTCTATGCGAACTTGAGGCACCGGTTGAAATGACCGGATGAATGTGCTAGACTTTCCCTCTGACTGGCTGGCTAGATTGGATAGCGCGACTCTGGCTGGAGTCAGATTTGCCGCCATTTCAGTCGCGAGATTTGGTAATAGTGGAGAATCACTAGAGGTAAGAAGAAGGACTCTAGCGTGGTCAATCAGTCGGTTCATTCCGGGCCGATCCATACGGCTCTTGTGATTCCTGAATGAGTAACACTTGGGCGTCCAACAATAGAAAGAGCAGATTGTTTATTATCTCGTTCAAAGCTATGAAACTCCCAGCTCAATAGAAAATTTCATTAGTAGCTTTTCGTGGTTCCGGGTGGTTACAGAGTTAAGGTCGTCAGCTGGAGAATTCTCTAATGGTATCTAAAAAGATAGCATGAACAATTTCCGCGAATTGCTGATTTCCCTAGTTGTTCCACGTTGCAAATGTTAATATTTTCTGGGTTGTTATGGGAGTTTCACTAGTTTTCCCCTTCACAACTTTTGCATGTTTATCGTAAAGTTGAGGTGGAACGGGAGTACTTTCTTCCATTGTCCAGCATATTACGTGTCCTCTCCATGTAAGGGATTTTTACCACAAGATACAGCTCTGCCTACACCTCCTAAAACCTGGTTGTATTTAGTTGGGCAAGAGAACATTGGATCTACTCAGCAATGGGTATACACGGCTGATTGGTCCATTTGAAGATATCTCCACATCAGCCCAACAAATCTCATGAAGATTTGATGTTGACTACGTAATCATAGATTATAACCAACAGATTTGTTATCAGCTGAAGGTAGTCTACAATATCAAACAATCCATAACATCAAAGCTCATCTAAAGATAAAATATGTTTCTATATTATAATAGTTTAAGTACGTTACTTCTAATTTGTCTTTCTTTCCGGCACATTATAATATTACGCATATAGTTCAAAAGTCTTCAACATAATCTCAAAATCTAAATTTGCAAATATAACGCTGAATAAGAGAGACCACATATGTGTTTTGACATTTTCACTTTTCACATCGTTCTGTACGATATGCGTTAACTTTATAAGTTTCAAATGAAATGTTTCAGTTAACACAAAAATACATATTAGCAGTCATCATTTTAGTAAACAATATCTCTTGTAATAATAGTTCAAGTATCAAACGTAGCACAAAATACGTTTTTCAGGATTTAATCAACGATATTTTTGAATCTTTACTAAATATATACCATTAAATCCATGAACTTGATGATTATTTTATATAAAATTTATTTGAATCATGAAATATCAAAAAATAATTATGATAATTATATAAATAACTAAAAAATTTGTTTATAAAATTGTAAAGTAACTTATCAATTTTGAAAATAAAAAAAGTAAGAAATGATTTATTTCAATTATTTTTTGCAGCAAATGGTGTTTCTTTACAAAAACTGCAATTTTTCAGATTTGAATGTCTCTAATATGAAAAAAATATTATGAAATATTGTCATATGTGTAAATCACACACATTTAATTTTATCTTGTCAATTAAGACGATATTCATATTATATACTTAATTCAGATTTAAAACCATTTCAATTCCATTATGGAGCTTTTTTAAGTAAATTTGTTATATAATTTTTTTAATCGTGATTATTGAGAGTTTTCTAAAGTGAATAAAGAAGTTTCAAGAGTTTATGAAGATTATTGAATCCAAAGATTCATACGCAATTAATAGATTTTTGGTATGAGCAAATATAAATCTGAGTTCTAGTAATATCATAGACCATTTTCATTCATATCGATGTTCTATATAGATACAAAATGATTTTGAAAAATTAACTACACCATAACTTGCAGGTTCAAAGTCATGTTCTATTCATGCATTATTTGCTATTTATGTTGGAAACTCATAGTGCAAGAACATGTTAATAATGAAGGTGATGAAAAATCTTTTAAAAATCAATCTTCCTTTACATTTGTTAAATTTATTCATTATTTGTGTTTAAAATATATTTGTATTAGTTGCAATAAATGCAATAAAATTCAGCATATTTATACGTAAAATGATACATAGAAATGATTCTATAATTTTTGTTTTTTTAATTTTTAAAAGAATACAATTTAAAATAATTTTTTTATTCAACATTACGCAATCATCATTCATCAAGTTTGTACTAAAACCAATATCTTGAAATATGAATTATTTATCGTACACGTACCAAAATATTTTAATAAAAGTTAATCTAATATGATCTATCAACGTATTTATGCAATATTGTTGGTTTAGTATCAACTTAGAAATTTTGTTTCTTAGTTTGAAATTACACTGATAACACCTATGAGAAAAATTGCATTCCACTTTAATGTTCAGCAAACAAGTATCAATTGAACCTCACACAAAGTTTTGATCGTTACAGACAATAAATTCTATTCCTCAAGCCATCACAAATTTCATATAATATTTGATTACTATTTTAATATTCGGAGATTTAATCAAAATAAGTAGTAAAATATGATTCCTTTGAATTATTCATATTTGTAAAACCAATGATGTATGGTTATGTTATAACGCGAGCATTATTTTAAGGGAATTGTTAAATACACTACAGTTTTTACTAAATACACCGCACATCACACCTCTTACCCCCACCTCCCGTCACGGACAGAGCCCATCGCCTGCTACTCGCGCGTGTGCGGAGGAGCGGAGGAATAATTTTGTTGGACAAGCAACTGCCCACAAGGGAGCCTCTCACACCAGACCGCACCAGCACACCCGCGACACGACCATACTGCGGTGCGCGCACGAAGATCATCTCTCACGCAGACGGACACACCCACGTTCATTTTTCCTATCAGAAACAGACGCTATCTCTTTCGCTCATCTCCGCAACGGATCCAAAACCAAATGGAAGACGCGCACTTAACCGATCATCGATTGGCACTCGATCCTGACATTACGTTCTCCGAGCGCGAAGACCTCGTAACACACGTCCAAAATCATGGCATGACAAGTGGGTCCACGTATATTATCCAACGATCGGATATCAAGCGCAACACTGTTCAGCTGGGCTGCGATCGTGAGGGCCAATACCGTAAGTTTCTGAAACCTGCGGCCAGTACACAAAAGCGTCCAGGTAGTAGCACCCGCCGCATCGGTTGTCCGTGGAGGGTAATTGGCAAGAAACAACAGGGCGTTTGGCAGATGGAGCTAACTGTTCACAACATAATCATGATCCATCAACCACCATGGCAGGACATACTAGCAGTCGGCGATGGACAAAGGAAGTGCAGCACACTATTAACAAGTCATTAGCGGCTGGTGTCCCTGCTCGTCAGATTTTGATGTCGTTACGTCAACATGACAGTAATTCACTGGCTGTTGCCAGAATTATCTATAATGCAAAAGCCAAGCGCCGTCAGGAAAAACTGGCTGGGCGCACACTAATTCAAGCGCTTCTGGATGAACTTCGGCAAAGCCAATTCAAACATGTTGTCCAATGCAGCAACAACGGTAACGTTGAAAGTCTTTTTTTTGCGCACCCAAATTCAATTTTCCTTGCTAGACGATTCAATTCAGTCATATTGTTGGACTGCACGTACAAAACAAACAAATTTGGAATGCGATTATTGCATGTAATCGGGCGGACTGCCCTCAATACATCATTCACTATTGCTATCATATTTCTCAATGGGGAGGAGATAGGCGATTACGTTTGGGCCTTAGATGAGTTTAGCAATTTGTTCAATGACAAACTTTCTTAGTTATTGTATCAGATGCACATAAGGGGCTTGCCGCTGCAATTGCTCGCGTTGCTCCAAATTTCCGCCATCTTCTTTGCGTTTGGCATATTGAAAAGAATGTGCTTGCGCAATCAAAGAAACACATAAAGGATGGTGATCGTTACACGCAGTTCATGAAGTCATGGACATTGTTTGGCGCACGCAGACGCAAGCGGATTTTGAAACAAAGAAAACAGAATTATTCATCGAGATTGTTGACATCCCAATGCTTACAGAGTATCTCAGCGGAACTTGGTTTCATGATAAGGAAAAGTTCGTGGCTGCTTGGACCAATGATTGTCAACATCTTCGCAATACGGTAACATTTGCAGTTGAAGGTGCACATGCAGCTTTGAAGAGATATCTACAAGTCAGTACATGCGATTTGTATGCTGTACGAGAAAGAATAGCCCATATGCTTCAACATCAAGTTGACGAGTACTACGCTGCAGAAGCTACTCAGAAGATGTCTGTGCCGCATAATTTGCGAGCAGTCCCGATGTTCAAGCACCTTGTCGGAAATGTGAGCCGTTTTGCTTTGAGGTTGATTGAGGAACAAAGGGGTTTGGCATTAAAATGATGGAAAATGCAGCATTGCCGGCTTGTCAAGGTACATTTGGACGCACATTAGGTCTACCTTGCACGCATGACATTGTGCTAGTCGGTGAAGGATCCATTCCCTTGGACACGATCGCTCAGCACTGGCATTTGCACTATACTCATGTGAAAAATCACTTGTGGATAAACTGCAAGTTGGACATCTCGATTTGTTTCAGAAGGAGTTCCAAACCCTTGAATCAGCTTATGTGGAATGGTCATCCGCTCATCAAGCTATAGCCTTGATGCAAGTCAAAGAGCTCAGTGCAGGCAAGATGCCCTACCTTTCCAACCCATTTCTGGTGATACGAAAAGGACGACCACTTGGTGTCAAAAACAAACCGAAAAGCTCTACAAAGCGTGATACATCAGCATTTGAGAATGCGAAGAAGAAGCGTCATTGTGGTGAATGCGGTTTGCTCCAAGATAACCACGATGGGCGCACTTGTCCGACACGCAAATCACTAGTAACGAAGTTCGCTTGGCGTCATCTCATAACGAGGGTGACCGATGTACTTGCCGACGGCCACTATGGTTTCCATGCACTCGCATTTCACCTTCGTAGCAGAGGAACAACAAATGAATCCAACTCATAGTGGGATACTGTGCGTACAGATCTTCTGCAGATTTGTCGACAACGTAGCGCTTTCTGGCAACAAGTGCTTAGTCGTGACACTGCAGAGCTCGAAGCTCGTCTTCGTTGGCAAAAAAAACTACAACACATGAGCGCCGGTAACCAACTGGTTTCAAGCTCAAGAATGCGCGATTCTCGCTGCAAGCTTGTATGCTTGCCCAATCATCATTTTGTCCGATGAGGGTCACGCGACACATACCCTTCTTACTCTATACCACAGTGGCCGGCGGCATGGAAATCATGTTATTGCATGCAAATGGCAATCATTGGCGAGCTGCAGAGCTTGCTGCAAATAGTCCATTGCCGCCTGTGGATGCACTTTGGCAGCATCATTCCACTAACGAGGAGTCTAACTTTTGGTTGCAGCGGATCCTGGATAGGCTCGATCGTTATATATGTGAGGCTCCCTCGTGGGCAGTCGCTTGTCCGACGAGATTATTACTCCGCTCCGAGTAGCAGGTGATGGGAGAGGGGGGAGTTCTAGGGAGAGAGTTGTGGTGTGGTGTGGTGTGTGTGGTGTATTTAGTAAAATCTGCGGTGTATTTAACAATTCCCTATTTTAATTGATTAAATACATTTTGAAGATGAAAATTTAAAAAAATATTTTGATGATTTTTTTATTCATTTGATAATGTCAAATAAACTTTACATTGAACATTTGATGCGATTCCATACATTTCTATCTCAACATTTAACGGTGTTGACTAGTGGCTTCCTTTTAATAGTGCTTCCCATCCCGCCAATAGGAACTCAAGAAAAGTGCGCAGTCGGGTGAATGAAAATCATCACTCACATTCAAAATTGAGTGTGAGTGATGAATAAAGAAAAGTGAATGGTGACTAGCGGCTCACTTTATAAAAATATTGAGTTGATTTGAATGTCTAAGTTTGAAATTAATTTTCTTATATTATTTATATATTGAAAACTTTGCAACTCGCGTCATCAGTTATATCAGTACTTTTCTAGTAATTTGCAATGAAAATTGATAAGTAGAGAACTTCTAATTATACTGCTCGACTACTCCAATACTCGACGCGGACATTTATCCTTTATTCTTTCTCTTTCAAGCCAAAACCAACTTTTCGGTCATACAAATGTCCATAGATTAATCCATTACTTCTCTATGGAGACCTGCAATAAGATGCCTTGCATCGTACACATCGGATGAACCCATGACTTAAAAACACAAAAAGAAGAAGTAGAATGATCTTTCCATAATAATAAAGTGAGCACGACACGATAGCAAAGACAACGAAGCCGAGGCGAAATGGGAGACGAAATTTGAAATACTGCCATACGCCATGACAAAGAATGACGTTGGAGAACATGGATCACCGGCCCGACAGTGTAACGGCTCTGCCGAGTCGTGGATAGGACGCACTACAGTGAGCCCCCAAGAGGGACAGAAGATGTGATTTTGGGCCAAATCCTCGTGCCCAAGTGCAGCAACAGGCCAAGAGTTTAACGGCCAGGAATCACATGAAGCCTTGTGCTCTTTCTGCTGCTGTCATCACAGTGAGGACAAGCAGAGTACAAGGGATAGGGTTTGTTCGATGGGAACGTTCGGCTTTTCCTCCTCGGCCCGCGAAGGCTGGACCCTTCCGGGCCACCCGCTGCGAAGAAGGATAAGACACGTGCCGGCATGACGGCAGCCATAGTGCCACGGCCGCCTCGTCTGCCGGTCAATCGCCTCGGATTTACCGGCAAACGAGGTCACCCTCTCCTCGAAATTCATGGATCCCATGCACACTCCTTCCTCGTACTGTACCGGGCGCCGCTCTAGTCAAGACCGGCCTTCAGACGAGGACGCGGTCAGATCGCCCGTCCTTACCACGTCAACTCTGCCGTACCAACCAGGTTGGGATTCAACCGCGTGTCGTTTCGCCCCGGTGCCGAATTCCTCGTCGGCCCTTCGACGGCGACGACCTCGGCCTGTTGCTGTCGTGGTCGCATGTCGCATCTCGGGACTCTGTGGCGGAATTGGCGTGGCTGTCACCCTCGATCTTGACTTCTGATTACGCCGCTGTTTACGATTTTGGGATTCGCGGCATCTCCATCTCCCGTGCCTCACATCCGCAGACTGTTCGCTCGGATTTGTTTGAACTCTTCTTTTGTCGAAGGCTTCCTGTGGATTGTAGCTGCGTTTTTGTTTCGTGATGTTGTTGGTTGCGGATCGGTGGAAACCTTGGCGACTGATCGATTCGTTTCGAGAGGGACGAGGACGATCATCGATGGACGTATGGATCGGAAGCTTGAGATGGTCACGTGTCTTGCGGACAATCCTAACAAGCGGATCTTTGAAAGGGTAGACCCGTGCCCTGTTCATCTGGCCTGAACGTATGTGGACGACCTGTTCGATTTGACGACGGTGACAAGGGGCACCTTTGGACTTTTGCGCCAGGCTAGCGGTTCTTTCACCTGTGTCTTGAAGCATTGTCATGGCATAGTTCAATTCGTAAGCAGAAGGAAGAACAAGTTACCCAGAGAGAGTGCGCATTCCCGTACTACAGAACAAAATGAAAGCTCGGTTCAGACAGGCAAGACGTACAGCTCTCCTGGAGAGTTCCATCTCAGCTACAAGGACGCTCAATTGAAGGCACTGATCAAAATGACCTGACCTTTAACACTCTGGCAACACCGGAAGAAGAATACTCCCAAGGAGTGAATTAGAATGGTGTACACAATTTGCTGCAATACCGGAGGCAGAAGCGGGAGCAGAATGATACCACAGCTAGGGCTCTCGATGACCGAGGCTGAAATCGAGTGAAGCACAGTGTGCTTGCTTGAAACGACGGATGCTACAAGAAGACGCTATGTACTACACTATAGTAACTAGACTCCATCTAGAAGACTCAACTAAGGTTCTACAGTTATTACTGATGGGTCGGCGTCTGGAGCTTCGATCCAACCAGCAGGTCAGAGAGCTGGTTAGTGTAGTAATCGGGTTGAATGCTGTTCTCTGGACTGTGTAAAGTCTTCAAATCAGTAACGCCTGCCACCACATTAGAACGGATGTCAGAAACTTGCATAAGTGGATCAAACTCCACATAATGGAGTACGTGGATCCCCTGCAAGTGCGACACAAGACAGAAGGATCCTTTCGGAATACGAAGACTATAGATATCACTAATCTTCAAGACCCGGCGCCTCGCATACTCGCTAAATTAGCGATGGAAGGAAGCTTGAGGACTCAAAGTTTCAAGAGAACAACTCAAGCTGTATATACTATGCCCTGAAGACTAAAGGCACGAAACTGGGTCCCAATCCTTCAATTGAAATTCAATGGCCGCGACTTGTCTCAAGTCGCCGTTGGATCTAGGAGATGCCAAAAGATTTCATTTATGCAACCAACTTTCGTTTAGTATCGTGAAATTCTGATATGCGTTCAATTCCAACAGGTTGTGCGCAGTTCTGTGGCTGAAGTTAATCAATTGGTCACTTAAAGTACTTAAAGGGCTTGCGGTGAGCTGCCACCTAAGTACTCTCTCAACTCACCAGTAAGCACAAGGAGAGTTTTGCATCCACCATTCTTGCCAAAGAGAATGTCTGTCTCTAGGTTGTCACCCACCATGCATATCTGCTCCCTCTTGATGTTAAACCTTCATGAACAGCCCGTCTCCATTGCATGAGTATAGTCTGGTTCGATTGCATCCACTAGTACTGATTGACCCAGCTGGAGAGTGTCATACTAGACCAGTACAAGAAAGCAAATTGCAACTGACAATTTCTTAGGTGGACGTCCTAATGTAAGGAAATTCGGATCGAACTCGGATAGTTCTAAACTATCGGTACGGTTCCACCAATTTGAAACTAACTTCAAAATTTCGACTTGTTGCAAGCACTCAAATCCAATTTAGATGGTAAAACATGAACACTCACCTCTCACAAAGGTAATCCATCATGAAAGTTGAAGGCTTTCCCACGACTATAGGTTGCTTTTTAGTTGTACCCTTGATAGCCCCTACCATGGCCGCCTCACCTGGCAATCCTTGCACACCCGTGGGTATAATCACCTCATCGCAGTTGGTGGCTATGAAAAGGCAGCCAGGATTTTCTCGCAGACAAAGTGCAGCATATCTTACAAATGCAAATGACAAGAGAAAGGTTAGATAGTAGACATGCACAATCATGAAGTTAGTGACTCACGCACTTACATGGTGCAACGTCAACTACTCAAGTTTTTGCTCAATTTGTCCTACGGGCTAAGATCATCAACATGAGGATAGTGCTTACTGCATTTTGTAGTAGCTTACAGATCGGTCAAATGCAACCACCACAGCACCAACCTGTGAAACGCACCGAGGAGGATTTTTTAATCCTTATGCATCATTTTCAAACGGTCAGTTGCCCTCATCCAACAGCCATGACCGTGTCAGATGACGAAAGCAGTTGTAGATAAATTGATTCAACTCAACCTGCAAACTGGCAAGGACCTCTCGAAAACTAGAAGTACATTGAGCGGAAGAGAAGAATCGTGACCCAAGCATTGAGTGGTGAAAACTTTACATCGTGATCATGGTGCAGATATGCTCCGGGCGTGAAGTCTGCCTTCTTGTCATCGTCCTCCTGCTCCGCCCAACATCAAGTGGAACGAGTTTCTCAGATTTAAAAAGTTTGGAATATCTTCTCGAGAAAATACCTGTAACAACTTTCGAACTATACACTGGCTGTATGTATCACCGACAGAAAAATTAATCTATTGACGAGACAAGAATAAAAAGAAATTTTTTATCAAGCATAGGAGGTTAGTTCCTGTGTTAAAGGTAGAAATCATTTGGTGGGCAGAAGCGGCTCCGTGCTATTCGCTATGCTGTGGTAATGCAAATGCTGTTTAATGCTGTTTAATTTCACAAACATGAATTTTGTATACCAATTGCACAAATTGACAGCAGGTATATAGACACGCACAGGTCCACCAATGTATGAGATCCCAGCTTGGTCCAATTCCTCGCTAAGCCCAGATTCACTGATCATGTAGACCTGCAGTCGAGAGCACTTGGAATGCTTAATCTTGTCATGAATCAGAACCAAATGTACGTTATATCATGACATAACAGAAAGCATGTGCATGCAGGATCCCTGTAAAGAAACAATCTTCTTTTACTCTCTATACTTTCCTTTTCGAACTCCCAAGACGGAACTCCCTCTCATATCAATAAGAAGAGAGCTCAAGGAGAAAAGGATCGACATGGTCCATATGGGATATCCTCTTCCTTTTGAGAAACTAAGGTACTAATAGTAAGATATGCTTATGAGTGCCATTGCGTTTGCTCAAGGGACTACAGCTGGTAGAGCTGCGAATCAGAGAATTGTCAGATATTTTCGTGGTGTGGACCCATACATTTGATGCGAATGTCAACCCAACAACATTAGTGACAGCTTGAGCATAGCATGGTGTGTCTGTATCTGAACATTACCCTTGTTTGTGTGTACGAACGTTGTCTAGGCTCTCAACATGAAACCGAAAGTAAACCCCACTACTTCCAATATGACACAAAATTCCAATAACATAACCAAATTTAAAATGAGATATCTAAGTTGGACGTGAAATGCACCTTCTTATTTGCAGGAAAATTGATTGTCTTCAAGTAGAGAGCTGCGGCAAAGCCTGAAGAGAAGATTTCGTCCTGCATTCACCAGCCGACGAAACTCAAATACTGCAACCTGAAATTTGTAGAACTAAATTATGTTTGCACGAGAGATACAGTATGAAGCATGGTCACCACTGTAGTTTGTACATACAATAGATTCTTACAAAATTTACAGCTTACTCATATCATCCATGACGACTGAAAATCATCATGCATCTCAAGGACTTGTATGAGAAAACACCAGAAGGCGAAATAACCTGTTCTTTCTCCCATGACATCCTCAAAAAGCGCACTTAAGGTAGATGCTACATTCTTAACGGCTGCCAATCATCTACATTCGTTCTAAGAAACACTGATTTTCACCTTGGACAAAAGCCTACAACCCTTGCACTGCTCGAATACAGATCGCCTGTCGCCGTTGTGTATTCTGGAATTTATCTAGCCAGTGAACACCTGGCCTGTATTATAATTACCCTTTTAGCTCCAGAGCAAGCTTTCTGACAAGTAGAATACACTAATATAAAACAGGCCATCAATGAGAATGGATTTTACTTACATCTCTTACTCCCAAGCCAAATTTATTAGCCCTCTCCGCGTATTGCCTTCTAGATTTCGTGGAGTTGTTTGTTAAGAAATACAGCCGCTTGCCCTACCGCATAACAACAACGACCACATTGAGTAAAAGGACACCGAGCATTCTGTCGTGCGGATATGGCCGAGAGTGTCATCGGAAAGAATTATATTAACCTACAACACATGAAGCTTGAAGACAGAAAGATGCTCACGAAGATGCAATCTATGAACTCACCAGGGACCTGAGCATATCTATAGTCTCCTTCACGCCTTCTAGCAGCTCTCCTGAGTTCCATATCACACCTACAAGGTGCAGCAAAGGATGACTGTTGTGATGACTGACACAGAAAGCAAGCGCCTAATATCTGGATATCAGATCAGGTTCACTCATGGTTCCCGCAGAAAGCTTATTGATCATTCCGATGCCTACATAGAAAACGATTGTTTTCTTCTGACAGTTCTTAGTGACTTCCAAATTACTGACATAACAGCGTACTATACCTGGAGAAAGTCGAATTGTGGAATGGCATAAAGGAATAACCAGCAACAAGAGAGCACCAATTTTGCTGCACTAATTTTCTTAGGAAGGGATTTACTGGCGACGCAAACGGGTCACTAAAACAATTCAATGTTAAAGACGGGAGAATCACAATCCAACATAGAAAGAAGAGCAAGAATCCATTATCGGGATATTCGATGTGCGTCATGTCGTGCAAGTAAATCGATGGCCCGGGCTTCTAAGAAACGAATTGAACGACTGACAAGACCTGGAGGTTCTAGTCTTTTGAGTCTTGAGGTTCTAAAAGACTTGAATATGAGAGGACTGACCATCGCAGTCAAATATGAAGGTTTCTACTGAAGAAATCAGCTGAGCTGCATCCGTCAATAACAGCGCTTGCTTTCCTGCACATAATATTCAATTCAATTCCACCATGTTATGATTTTCTTGCAGTGCACTGCAGCATACTCTCCAAATTGCGATTCTGCAAATCGAGGACGGCTTTATGGACAATAAGTTGCGTGACTGCTGATACAATTCCTCAGCTTTCTATTTCTCCTGCATACGTGAAATATTCTCTAATGACCTTCAATTTGAATGTGTACATTTCTGCCCAAACTTGAACCTTGATTCCGTTTCAAAGTGGCCAAATCGAGAGCCAGAGCCAAATCGAGCTCAAGCAACAGCTGTGTGCATTCAAAGCGAGCTGGCGAAAGTCGGTGAAAATTACCTGCATTGCTTTCAGTTGCGTCGACGGACATTCTCACAGAGTTCCGAGACGAATAACGTGGAGCGACGACTGTGCACAGCTTCAAAGACGAAAATTTGCTGCTGGGGAAGGTGGGTCCGTTGAGTTGTGGAGAGAGCAGAGAGGAGCTTCTTAGGGCTGAGGACAACAAGCAGGGTTTGTCCGTCGTGGCAGAAGCCGTGGGGATGAAAGGATTAGTTGCAAAACCTGCTCTAGGTGAGATTACTCGTCCTGCGCACATTATACTTTGGACGCTCTGGTAGAGCACTCGAACTAGTTGAAATCGAGACCCATGCACCATCATAACTTTCTATCAAGCTGTCTGGCAGTAACAGACTTGTGCCTCATACTGCAAAATCCGAGAGGTATATGCTGAATATTGTGATCCTCAACTCACAATACTAACATTCATCACTTTTGGGCGACTTTCAGGGCAATGTGGTCCTTTTCGCGGAAAGCGACGATCATATTCATCAGACACACACGTACTCCGCCGTGTCCAGCCGGAGGAGAGTCCAAGAACTTGAAATCGGCTGTGAACTATTGCAGTTGCGTCAGTGACTGATTAGGCGTCGTATAAAAGTGGGGATTGTTTAGGCTCTTCTTTGTCCTTCACAATTTTCTCAAATCTTCGGTAGTTGTTTTGATGCTGACGAGAAAGATGTGTATTCCGTACACATCGGCTTGGCTTGTGACATATTCAGTTTGTGGCTTGAATGTCATGCTGATAAGGTCAGTAAACAGAACACGGAATTTTCGGAGCATGTCTCCCTCTAATTCAAACACGTGTATGGGTTTCGTTCATACAAAGGGCTGCAGCCCTTTGAGCGTCACATGTATTAGTCGATTAGTCACTTTCAGACACCATTCAAGGAGAGAGTAGACACCTTTGTGAAGGCTCTATGTGCTTTCACTGACAGTGCAAGTGCAAGACACAACTCGGTCTCAGCTGCATGATGCTGGAGCAACCTCTCGACTCGGGAGGTCGCTGTGGATATATTGCAACGAGTTCAATTTCGCTTGTGTGAAATTTAATCTGAGAACTGAGTGGTGATTGATGATTTTCCACTTAACAAAAACTTCTTGCTACAAGAATTCGACCATTTCGCCTGAGGTATTGATGCCCTGGTCCTTCCAAAGCTGATAATGAATATCGACTGTCCATCCTTGCTCGTCCAGCCTCATATACAACCGCGTTCGCGCATTCGCAGGTGAAATGTGAGATCTGACATTCAGAACACTCATTCTACGGCCCCATAGACCTCAAAGCGTTACATAACGGAAAGCTGGTCGGACCGTAAAGGAAGTCTGATACCAAGAACACCAGGACTTTCGGTCGAGCCGTCACTGTTCCAGTAATGCAAGATATCAAACGCGTCCACGAGCTCTACGAGCCACCATTGCTGTGCACGTGAGAACTGGAAGCACCAACCGCGATAATAGTACGATCCAAACGTGGCATGCATCACTACAGTACTGCTAATCATTCTCCAGATCCTCGGTCTGTCTATCCAGAATTTTGTCAATTTTGCCCGCTCTTTCATCGGACTCAGAGCTCACTCTCCGCCCTGAACGATGAAAATCTCAAGTTATAACATTGGGTTATAACGTAAGGCTTCAGATCGAAGACCAATTGTGGCCTCCACCTGAATCGTCATGTTAGACTGGCAAGGAGTACTTTCGGGAGCACAATAAGTCTACTGCGCAGTTTCTTCCAGTCCCCACAAAAGAAATGTACCGGCGCCCGAACTCAGAGAAATGTGGACCAGTCGCGACAACGAGCGAGGGGATCGATCGAGAAGATTCCTCCCACGGCAGAACTCCATCTTCGTCGAAAGAAATCACAGGGAATCACCGAACGAGCGGTGGAAGGCTCCTGCCTGGTCAGGACAGCTTCGGGGTGGACATCGGAACGAACGAACGCGAAGTCAGGAACCTCGAACCACGCAACGCCTGCCGAACCTGGGCGTGAGCTCCGCCTCGTCGGTTCGGGCTCCCGCGGCCTTCGCAGCGCCAGTTCTCACTGGTTGTGGATAATCACCGGCTGTGGTCCGCATGCGCTGCGTGCTCCTGTGTTTCGTCCACTCTTTCCACATCTTCATGCGTCGTGAAATAATCGGCGCCACAGATTTGCGTCCGGTTGCGACGCCACCTTTTGTCAGCAAGTTCAGCCAGTCCCGTCCGTGCCCCAGACAGACGGACAGACAAACGGACAGACGGATGGTCGTGATCTGGTGGCGAGGTCCGTCGGCCTCGAAGTAGCTCACTTTCTCGACGAGACGGGTCTCGTAGTGGCGCTTCTAATTGCCGTTGCTGCCGTGCCCGGAGCGTCTTGGAGACGGAGAAGGTGCGAGCGAGAGTGTGGATTTCGAGTGTGTGAGTTGTCTGATTTTGAAATTCGAAGAGGATTTTGAAAATGCAGGCCGGTGGAGTTTGCGTGAGCGGAGCGCAGGCCGGAGTCCGTTGCGCTCCTGCGAGGAGCGTGGCCAGGCTCGCGACCGCCAAGAGGACGGATTTGGGGTCGGTTTTCAAGACCGGGCACGCGCGCCCGTTCCTTGCTCAGGTCTCGTCGCAGGTCGCCACGAAGAAGGCTGAGCTCGGAGACGCCCCGAGGAGTCGCTCGTTTGCGGCTGTGAGGATGTCTGCCGGTCAGTTGCTCGTCCTTTCGGCCGACGCGATTTTGGAGAGCGAGAATTGCAGATGGATTGGATTCTCTGTGAGACTTGATTTCGTCGATCTCTTTTCTGCCGTCTCGAACTGATTGATCTGTCCGGATTTCACGACTGGAAATCCGACGTTTCTCGTGTACAGGAAAGGATGCGCCCATGTTGACAGATGCCGCTCAGTTGATCTCCAGTGTGGAGACTTTCGTCTTCGACTGCGATGGTCAGTGTCTAATGACAATTCACTGAGTACTCTTTCATACACTGGCCTCACTCCGAGCTTTGAGACGGAGCTCTTCTTGCGCTTTTGACTAGCATTTGCATTAAGTCCCGGAGTCTCTGTCCGTGGCGCTCATAGTGAATTGAAACCATGCAGGTGTAATCTGGAAGGGTGATACTTTAATTGACGGTATTCCAGAAACACTCGACATGCTACGTGCCCTGGTGAGCTCGAAGAGTCAGATTTCACTTTAGCTTGTATGAGTTACTGAAAGTGCCTCGGGATCCTGCGAGGGTTCCTCATGCAGTGAGTGATCTGTGCTTCTTCCTCTGCTCTGGCTGACGAGCTTATTTGTCTTATGACAGGGCAAGAAGCTTATCTTTGTTACAAACAACTCCACCAAGTCAAGGAAGCAATACGGGAAGAAATTCGAAAGCCTGGGCTTGGATGTCAGTGAGGTACGGAGCGAAGTGCCGAATTTTCTTCTGTGACTACCAAATGTGCGAGATTTCCATTTGTAGGAGTGAAGCTTTCCTTTCTATTTTTCCTTTTTTTTTCAGTAAACTGTAGACAGGTTGGTAAATTGCGACTACACACCAGTAAGCCACCCTCATCATAATATGTGGTGTGGCAGACTGCTGGCTCCATGAGAACTTTTTTGCAGAGAAGCAGTTTATCTTAGAACCACGCGATTATTTTATTTCTTCTTAGAGGCAGTCACCCAAACCGGCTAGTGTTGGAAATAGTGATACGACATGTAGGTTGAAAATTCGGTATCCCTCCCGTGTTTGCACGATTTGGGGGACTTTTTAAAAAAATGTTTACGTACCATACGTGTGTCTCGAAATCATTTTTTCTCGTAATGTTTGTTTGCTAAGATGCAATATCGTTCGTGTTATTCTGATTCTTTTAGGAAGAAATATTCTCCTCCTCGTTCGCCGCAGCTGGTTATTTGAAGTCAATCGATTTTGCTGCCGACAAAAAGGTTTGAATACTATGCCCCTGTGCATAGAATTAGAGTAAGAGTGTATACGTCATGATCGAGACTCTTCTTTGAATCTGGTCTGATGCAATTGTGTGTCAGATCTCTTTCACCTTGGTGGGAAGTACTTTTACCTTACGTCCTTCCATAAATTAGTTAAGTGAATGACAAAATCTTCGATTCACCAACCTTGAAGAATGATAGTTTTAACAACAATGATATCTACAGGTGTACATCATAGGTGAGGTCGGTATTCAAAAGGAGTTGGAGCAAGCGGGCATTCAGTATTTGGGAGGACCTGTATGTACATAGACCCTATTTCTTCACTTTAGTTTCAAGCAAGCACTGGTTGGTGAATAAATTATAAATGTAACTAAATGCTTTCAATTGCAGATGCATTTTTCTCCTGACAAGAAGGAATGTGTCAGGATCTGTTAAAATTTTATGCCTCCCTTTTTCTAGCATTTTGCACAGAAGACTAATTGACGGCTACAACTTCGTTAATCCATGACAGGAGGATGGTGACAAAAAAATAGATTTGGCACCAGGGAGCTACATGCAGCACGATCATGATGTAATATACCCGCTTATTTTTGGAATCTGTTCCTGAATTTGTTTGAATCGAGTAGGTGTTCGTTCATGCGTTTCATTGGGCCTTTCTAGTCCTGTAACTTGGTCATTTATAACTTGAATGTAGCTCAATAATTCTCCCGACAGTATTGTGATCAGTATGCCAGACCGTCTGGACTAACCTCTCTTTTTAAAAAATTCCGTTTTGGTTAAAAGGTTGGAGCAGTTGTTGTAGGATTCGATCGTTACCTGAACTACTACAAACTCCAGTTAAGTATCGCAAGTTCACTAATTGGAGTTCAGGTTCTGGGATTGGGTCGTTTCTTTCTCTCTTGACGCTGTGAACCAGGTAGAGATTGAATTTGCAATGGACAGATGCAGAACACAAACTCAAGGAGCTCTCTGCTTGTGCTAACGATCTTAAAACTTGCTGCTTCTGACCTGACAATGACCCTTGCTTCGCGAACATCAGATACGCCACGCTCTGCATCAGAGAAAATCCTGGTTGTCTTTTTATCGCCACCAACTGTGATGCTGTGACCCATCTTACTGACGCTCAAGAGTGGGCCGGTGGTGGTTCTATGGTCGGTGCTATCAAAGGGTCCACCAAGAAAGAGCCTACTGTTGTTGGAAAACCTTCCACTTTTATGTTAGACTATCTCGCAAACAAGTAAGTCCTTTGAGCTTATCAAGGAAGGCTCTTGAAGAAGTGAATCTACAAGGATACTTGAAACTGATACTTGGACTTGATGTGATGAATATTTTTATAAGCCAATTGATTGATTACGAGCCGAAACCCATGTTTGACATCGATATTCTCCGGCTTTTTTGAGGATGACAAATGACAAGTCTTGTGCCACTTTATCTGACAGGTTCAATATCAGCAAGACGCAGATCTGCATGGTCGGAGATAGGCTAGACACAGACATACTGTTCGGACAGAATGGTGGATGTAAAACTCTGCTAGTTCTTTCAGGTACTGTATTATTCGCATATAACTCCTTCCTAATTGAGGGTTTCACAAATTAGTTTGTAAGATTGGCATGGATGGGTAGTTCTTTTATGAATCACTTCATAGCTTACCAAGTGTCGCAACTGACATGTGTCATTCTATCGCATTGGTCTTTCAGGAGTGACGGACTTGAAGACTCTGCAGAGCCCAGATAATTCTATTCAGCCAGACTTTTACACCAATCAACTGTCTGATCTGCTGGCTGCAAAAAAAGTAGCAACCGTATGACTGAAGCATATATACACTAGATCAGAATCTGTATAATTCATTTTTCCCATGATCGGTGACTGTATATTATCTCATTCTTATTGAAGTGAACCCAGCAAATGTTCTCGCTTTATAATGACTGGGTCGGTCTCAACGAATCAGGATTCCCTGACCATGTGCTCGACATCCTGCCCAATTATCCTAGAAAAGCGCTGTTCTACTCGCAAGGCTGATTCAAGTTACAGAGGCCAGTCAGAGGCCGTCATGTGACCATCCGGCAACTATTTTGTCCACTCTATAGAGCCCCTTGTGCAGAAATCTATTTAGATAACACAGCCACCGTGCTCTCTCTTTTCTCTGTTCTCACCGTCCTCGTTGTGTAACCGTTACAAGCACCCTGCCAAATGCAACAAACTACCCAAGTACACCTGCAGCTCCCACCAGTCAATATCTTACGCAGCGTGTACCCGTCGATCTCACGATGAATACTGTCAGAGAATAGTTTTCCGTGAGCTTTTGTAAGGCTCCCCTACCGCAGACAAACTCCGGAGGTCTTTCGCTAGTCGGGAGTAGGCTCATGCTCTCCAAAAGCCTATGGGATTGGGTTCGAGGTCGGTTCGCTTGTATGAAGCCTTCAGCATAGCATCATGTGTGTCACGAATTATGATAGCCTTTCCGCTGTCACTAGCATGTTTCTGCCGCCTAACATTCCTCTGCGTAGTGTCTTCCGGAGCTTTGTTGCTCTCACCCATGACAAGTCTACGGTACTCAGTCTGACTGACCTATGGCTTCCCCCTCACCCCAGCACTCATGATCGCTGCAAATATCAGAGTAGGAAATCCAATGAAGATCCCCGTACAAGTGTCAACGGAAGTGTCTAACACCAAATCGTCCACAATGCTTCTCCTCGCACTCATCTAACGTCAACACTACAGTCACGCTGGAAAAGTCCCCTCCCGGACCCTTAAACCACTTGTGATCGATGGGTCTTGTCTTACATTCTCTTTGAAGGTAAAGGCACTTGCCTCTAGGTGAAATGTCAGACTGCAAAGTTATATGCGTGAAATTCTACAATGATCACAAAACATTCTCCTTGCTTCTTGGTAAGTTACTGAAATTCCAAATATCGAAGCCACGTACCTAGAATCGGAGAAAGTTATTTCATGGGACCCCATCAGAACGCTGAATGCTTGATGGGACCCTCAGACGGGTCATTGTCAATTATGTTCTTGTAACTGCCTTGTTTCCATTTCAATGGAGAAAAAGAAATTCTTCCCGAAGTTACGTTAGTCAGGTTTTCCATTGCTCCCAATATTCATCATGCAAGAGCCCAATCTCTCACGTCCCAGTATGATTGTACAGTTATAACGTATGGGCGTAATCTTTTTTTGTTTACTAAAACTTTTGGCGGAAGTCACGTAAGTTTCGAATTTTGGTCCGTGAAGTGACTGCGGGGCGAAGTCACTTTTCATCAAAGAGTCACAGTGATTTTACTAACCCAGACTCAAAGCAATCATAAGAACTCGAAGTAGAATACCGGTGAAGGTGGACTGAACTGCCGTCGAAAGGGTCCTTCGGGTAAAATAGAAAGTACTAGGTCCATCAAGACTTCCGCATTCTGACGGTGTCCCATCAAGTATTTCTCTCCTGGAATCGTGTATTGATCACAAAACATGAATCTTTACCATCTTCAATAACTCGATGATCTCCGTGCAGTCAAAGAAGCCTAGAGGTGCAGAGCCTTGACACGAGAGGACCTTCAGACCATGCGTTTCGGACTCTTCGCAACAAGTACAAAATGCTGATTCTTTGCAATGATCCTTCCACAGATGAACAAACCCGGATCCACTTCTATCTCAATTTGCTCCTTCTTGCTTTGAGATAATAAAATTACTACATAGTATCAGCCTCTACGGGCTAGACTTTATTTAACAAGGACAATGTTTTCAGCCGACCGTAGACACCTGCCCTCGAAAACGATGCAGACAAACCAGTCTCTCGGCATAGAAAGTTAACCTCTCATTTTTTATTTTCACTGTAGATATTTCAGATATATTAGAGTTTGTGAAATATGTTTTACATTGTGATACTACTTGTTCATAGCGTTTAGTTACCCACCCAGTCTCGACGGGGTCTTCCACCCTTTTTTTTTATTTCCTTGGCTCTTTTACACCCTTGTACCATACCTTTTTACGTCTGTTCTTTGTTTAAAGTGATGATTTTTGTTAAAATCGAACAAAATGTGCCAATATCAAACATGATCATGCTGATTTTTCTCAAAAAAAGAGCAAAATCGACGATTTTAAAATATATGTATTAAAAAAACTGTCCAAATATATTTTTCACAAATATTTAATACAAAATTTAGTAAAAAATCATTAACTTAAAAAAATTTCTATAATTATTCAATGTGTTGATTTTATGAATTTTGAGCTTAATCAAATCAAAATGTAGAAAAAAATTCCAAAAAAATTCAAACTAATCTTCATTTTTCAAAAAATTACTTTGATTTTGTCAGAATGAAGATTAATCTTTATTAATTCAGAGCTTGTACATTACTGTCCTAGTTATTAGGACTAAGATTTTAGTGATTTTCTAGTACTTAGGATGAATAGCAACGGGGGATGCAACACTTGAATAGTTGTGTCTCACTGTTAGGGGCATGTTTCTACTTGGAGTTGTGATCCGTGTGCCTCTCGCAGCCTTTGGTACTATCCGGATTGGGTACTTAAATCCAATCCGTGACATCTGTGTTAATCCATCAATCAAACTTCAACACTTCATCAACTGTGTGTGATCTCTCACTCTCAATTGCTCATCTGATCTATTACGGTATCAGATCAAGGTTTCTACATCTGATATTAACTGTCATATGATAGCCAAATGGTCAAGAATGAGTTGAAATTGTGTGATGATTGATGGCTTGCTTTACTACATTTTTAGCAAATGCAGCACTTCTCTCAAATGCAATTGATTTGGATTTGATTCATATACTCTTGTGAGCTCGTTTATGGCCTTAGCTGCTATAATTAGCGTGCAATTAGTGGCTACTCTTCACGTTTCATGGCATTGTTCAACATTGCCAATGAAAGTATATTACTTTCGTCCCATGACTTCTTACTCCTTGGGAAGTAGTAGGCCAGAGCTCGGTCCCTTCAATAAGTTTCATCAATCCTTCAATTCGAAACAGCCAGCTTATCCAATCTTTCCATGCGTGAAAGTGTTTCCCATCGAATTTGGGAAGATACTTCCATGAGTATCGGATAAAAGGTCATGGAGCAATCATCTTCCTCGTAACGTTTGCTTGTTTTCACCTTTTTCACGATGTGGTGCTAGATACTGATTACACTTTTAGAAATTTCCCCAAAACGCAATATTTTGTGAAATTTTGTGACATCTCTTGTTTGAATTGCATGAAACTTTAAGATTTTGCTCAAAATGTATTTTATTTTTTTGAAATTCAGGCTTCTTAATGTTTCAAATCAGCATTGACATGTCAAAATCAAGTTTGATCATGCGAATTTGTTCAAATTCGGAGCTGATTTTTGAAGCCTAGTGGAGATACGTGATCTCTTGTAATTGTTCTCTCAGGTGTCATTGAGATGGTTCATAGCGAGAAGCATACTACTAGCTTTCTAGATTAAAGAGTTCTTGAATCAAAATGAAACCTGCTTTGATACCACATTAGATCAGATGAACAAATGAGAGTGAAAGATCACGCATAGTTGAGTAAGTGTTGAAACTTGATTGATGTATTAACATAAGTCTGTACATAATGTTTTTTTTTAATATAATTTTGTTAAATAATATTTTCATTTTTATCACATATTTAATTATTATTTTTTCATATTTTATATCAGATTATAATAGCAAAATCCTCAACCATACCTCGAGCATCAAATGCATTTAAATATGTTTATGTGTGTCTAACTTAAGTGTGATTAAAGCAACTCTTGATACATTGAACACATTTGTTTAACGATTTATACAAAATTATATGATCTTTAACTATATTCACTATATTGTCTCCCTTGCACTCTTTAATGGTGCTACTAGCATAAATTTTTTCAAATCACTTCAAAAGATTACTTCAAAAATCATTAAATTTAAAATATCTTTATAATATATATATTTTTAAATAAATATATATTAACTTGTAGATATTACCAATTAAATTTATTAAAAAAACAAAACCTATTAAATAAAATTATTATTATTACTATATGTATATAATGATGATAAAATATATATAAACATGTTCTTAAATTTTTGTAATTAGTATTTGTTCAAATTATGATTAACTGTGTTATGCATACTTAACTAGCAAATTTTTGTAAATAGACTAAAACCAGGATTTTATTTTGATATGTTCAACATATGTTGAGCACATTTTATTATATCTAGGTATTATCACATCAAATTTGACAACTTTTAGTACAATGCATAGAATTTTATATGAAATCATTTAGTTTTATGGAGATTAATAATTAATGTACTATTTTGGCCACATTTTCCCATTATTCATTAATCTGAATATATATATACACAAATTTTTTTACATTCTAAATATTTTATAGAACATAATTTTTTCAAATTTCGATCAATGATACTTCAATAAAAAATATAAGAAAAAAAATTGAACATATTTAGAACACATTAGAATGAAATAAATACTATTTGTTAATCATTCATGCTAATTTTAAGCATAAGTTTATAGTACTTTTTCACAATATGTGTCACCTATGAATAATCCTCATATTTTTGAAAATAAATATTACATAATATTATTATATTACATAAAAAATATTTCATATAATTTACTAAACTTATTTATTTATTTTCACAAGAGATATACATAAGCATAATGAAATGTCATTTAATCTGAAATTCAGTAAAATGATAAAAAAATAAATAAATGTATCAATAAATATAAATTGGCATTAAACTTGTATGATTGAACATATATTATTAGATTATGAAATTTTGAAACAATATTTTGAATTTTTATGATCAGTTCAAATTTATACTTTTTATCATCTTTACTTGTTTATATTTTTCATACACATATTCTATCAATCCCACTCTTATACAAATTTCAGCAAGTATTGTTTGATAGCATTGTTATGTTTGCCATTCTTATGCTCTGATAAGTACATAGCAGTTTTCTTTTACTTGAGATGTACTCATATATTTATGAACTATATCTAGTTCATGTTAAAAAATATTTCTTGAAAAGTTGCCAACTTCAAATGAGGTCACAGGTCTAATTTTTGAAGATTGAGATAAAAAAAAATTGTTTAGCATTATTAACAATTCAGTCTGAAGACCCTACACATACACAAATGATACATTTATAATATTCACAATTGAAAATTTTAGACCCATGGTATTGACACTTAAGCAATGTACACTTTTGAAAAAATAATTAAATATATTATGAAAGTATAAATTCAAGATGAATATAATTTCAAATCTTGACACAAACAAATTATTCAACAGCAATTTTTGAGAAGTATATTTCATTAGGTACGTGTTCCACGTAGATACACTATGTTGTGATGATTTATTTTTTAAGAAATATGCAATACGTTATATCTTCATAGTATATTCATATTTATATATAATAAAAGCATGATATTAAGTGTAGCATTATTCATAATATATTATCAACAATTTGACTAAAGTAGTTTTTTTTGCTATATATGAAGTCTGTATAGTGTGATATAAAAAGCTATGTTTCTATTTCATAATCTTAAATTTGCTTGGTGGCATTATCTTTATGTTACAATACATAATCAATAGATCCAATGCTTCTGATTTTAACCAAATGCAAAACACCTTCAGCTGTTATGAACTGGGAGAATTCCAACTTAACCTTTTGACTTAAAGAACAATATTAAAAGATGATGCAATGTTATCAATAAAGAAAAAAATGTAGAAAAAGTTGACATTCAAAAAAAATGAAGAATCCAAAGATAACTTGGAGGTAAAAAAAATCCTTCCTGCATAATCCATTTTCAATGTGAAAGAAATCTGATTCCAAAAAATGATTATTCACGGAATTATCATTATATCACGGATTATCTGGAGGGCGAGCTTTTTCTCAATTGATCAGTAATATATGTAGTCTTCTATTTTATCAAAATGTGAATGAAATTTTTTTCGGAAACATTATATAAATTCACAAGTTTAAATCATAGTTTAAACACATTATTTTAAAACCACACATGTGCTTTTAATAGAATATGTTATAAAAATGTTTGAGAATAATTTTCAAATTATATATATATATATATAATGAGCATGTATTTGAAACATTTGCAGCACAAAAACATATTTTATTATAATTCTTAAAATGAAGAATGATGATGAGTTTGAAACATTTTGATAGTAACATTTTGTTTAATTCATTTTTATATACAAAGTATGACAATAATTTATGAACAAATATGTTATGAGATCATAAGAAAGACTGCATACAATTTCTATTTAAAGTTAAAAATATTTTGTATGCTTCAAATAGAAATACCTTTTTTTGTATGTATACAAAATAATGTGAGATCGTGGCATTCACATCTCATACATCTAATTTTTGTTCAATAGTAAATGTTATGGATATAAAAAAGATGTTTGCTTTTTTGGATTAAATGAAGATTCAAAACATACATTTTAGAAATATCTGAAAATCTATGTAAAATTACATTTTATATCTTTGTACACCAATATATGATTTAATATATTATATCAATCTCACAAAAAATCACATGATTTTTATGATTTGTATATTTTGTGTATAGAAGTAGTTCCTACACGCAAAATGTTGATGATACTATTTTTTCATATTTGATAATTAATTCATTTAGATATGTTATTTTAATACTTCAAACACAATTATTTCACCAAACACATAGCGTAATTGCATCATAATTTGTTTTACTTTGTGATTTAATAATTATATAGGTAATTATACATTTTATATTAATTTCATCATATAATTTTAAATAGGTAAATTTTTATTATATATGGTCCTCCATATACTATTGAAAATTATATATAATTTCTATAATAATTTGAATGCTCTATTTCACAAAAACGTATACTACTGTTGTATTTATTCTTTCTGAAAAATAGCAAACCACGACGAGAAGCAACCCGCATTGATTTTGATATGAGTATGTTAGCAATAGATGGGATTGAAAATATCTTTTCCTTACTTTATATCAATTGATATGAACCATTTTTTTCTGAATAACTGATAATGAAAGATTGCAGGTACAAATAATTGTTAAAGTCATTAATTAAAAAACTGACTAAAGCACAGAAGGTTTACGGTACTGTACTATCTCACTTCAGTTAGATGCTATGTAGAATGAGTCGTTTGTAAATGTTGAAGCACAAAACGTAATTTTGAATAAATTACAGCAATCCAGATAGGCAGGTCATGAACAAACTTAGATAACAATACAATGCAGTCACAAAGCACATGAATAAGGAATACAATGATATAATGGAAGGGAATAATGATGGTTTCTCTAGCTACACTAGAGCTGGAGATATTTCATCACACAATGGAGTTAAAGAGAGGTTCATCAAGATACCAAGGGTCATTTATGTTGGTATGTATTGAAATTAGTAAAAGGCTTCATACATAAAAGTTGAATTAGGTCGTAAAGGAAATATGTTTTTGTTTGGAATATATATTTTATATTCTTATTGATACCTTCGAATTATCACATATTTTTTGATTTCAATTACCTTATCGAGTTTCAATCCTAAAAACTCTCGTTCATCGTTCACTTACAAAATTCATCAACTTGATTATAATTAATGATTGCCGTATGAAAATATAACATTTCGAAGAAGGATACAAGAAGAGACGAGTAGTTTAGAATGTAATAGATATGGTATAATAAAATGAAGAGAAACACAATATTTTCCACTTTTGTTAAAGTATATAGAAAATCTTGAAGATAGGGATGCTAAGACTGTCAGTAGACAAAGCAATGGAAAACCGCACGTCAAAGTAACGCATGTGATGAAAAAAACAATGAAATAGAAAGTGGTATGTACTGTAAAACCAAACGAGAGAAGACGGAACTAAAGCAAAATCTGGCGACGGTCATGAAAGAAATATCGTCCGAGGTTATCTTGGTCCGCCATTCCCCGGGAAGGGGCAACAATGCTGCAATACTTAGAAGACAGCAGAACATAAAGCGACAGGCCTACATGCGAATATTCCCTAGCCGTAATAAGCCCACAGAGAGGTTTAACGAATGTTTGTTAGGGAGCAAAATGATCCGTTGGATTGGTTCCCGCGTACTGTAGGTCTGAAGCGGGGAGAGTTGCGGGGTCGGTCCGGGACCGGAACAACAAATCATTGCCAGCCATGCACGACGAGAAAATACGGCATACATACATACGGATTGGGTCTACGGCGAAATAATTCTAGGGCTTCCATGGCCGTCTTTCGGGCCCCGAAATTCGCCGTCGATGCGGCGGTCTCGACTTCCGGCCGTCCGGCCACCCGTCTGTCCGTCCGTTGGCCCGTCCGGAGGGGGATCAGATAAACACGACGGTCGGCCGTACGTAGCGACTGCCGAGGGAGCGAGCAGCGACGCTACCGTGTCCGGAAGTGCGTGGCGATGTTGGCGGAAGAGGGTGCACCTAAATACACTGGGGGAGAATCGGACGGCGCGGAGGCGTGGCAGCCAGGCCGAGGGGCGGCGATCGAACGGCGCACCGGGGAAGGCGGATGGAGCTCAGCCGACTACGTTACTTGGCTGCGAAGGAGGCCGTCGTCGTCGTCCACTGTCGTCCCGACGCTGCTGGCGCTTGCGGACGCAGAAAGCGGAGGCAGAAGTTGGCGTTGGCGTTGGCGTTGTTGGGCTGGGGGTGCGTTGTTGTCGTTGCTCGTGTTCATGCGCAGCAGCAGCAGCATCAGGAAAAAGATCAATATTCCTCCCTCCCTCTGCCTCTCTCAGAATTTGTGCGAGAGAGTATTGCTCGCATTGGCGACTGCCTCCCTGCCTCGCTGCCCTGTCTTTCTGCCTCTCTGATCTGCAGCTTCTTCTTCTTCTTCTTCTTCTTCTACTGCCTTGCGCACTACCTCCCCTTTCTTTCTTTCCTCCCATCGCTGTCGCTGCTGCTGCTGCTGGTGTTGGTGCTGGCGGGCTGGTTTGGTGCTGGTGCTCAGGGGTGCTCTGGCTGTCCCCTTCTCCGCCTTTTTCCCCGTAGTCTACTCTGCTGGAACTGCTGCTGCCTCTACTAGTACTACTACTACTTCCAGGCCTTTCCCTCTATCTGTCCGTTCTCTTTTTTTCTCTACGCACTGTGAGGAGAGAAGGGGTGAGGTGGTGGTGGTGGTGGTGCGTGCGTGCGGGAAGGAGGGAGGTGGCATCGGCGCTTTCATCTCTTTTATTTTCTTACTGATCGTCCGTCTCTTGGTCGCGGACACACGCACAACTACAGACACTCAGTAGGACCGAGGGAGGGCAGGAAGGAAGGAAGGAGGGAAGGAAGGAAGAAAGGAAGGAACGAAGGCGGGTTTCTGCACTTATTTGGTTTTCTCTCCAGGGGACGCACGCAGAGCAGGATGAAGATATCGGTGAAGACACTCAAGGGCAACCACTTTGATCTCGACGTTAGCCCGTCCGATACGGTACGTGTGTAGCTTTATTCGTCTAATCTCGTGTTTGCGTTCCAAGTGCTCGATTTCTGTCGATTTTTGTGCCGTTTAGGTTCTTTGCGTGCTGCGGTCGACCTCGCAGCGATAGTGTTTAGGTTTTCGAAGGTGTTATGTCGAGGGTTTTATCGATGAAAGTCGCGTTTATCCGACCAATTCTGGGCCCGTCGGTTTGTGCGCCGCCTCTTTCGCGAGTTCAGGGTTTCGCTCGCGGTTTTGACTTCGCGATTGGACGTTTGCTCGTTGGGTCTTTCGTCGTTGCGTCTGTGCATGTCTCTTATCTGGAACTTATCTTTTTTCTGCAACTGAGTCTTAATCAACTTTGGGTTGTCTTCGTTTCAAAAGTTCTGATAGGGTTCGTATTAGCCGTACCGAACAAGCGTCGCAAGTTTTAGTGCTTGTCGACTATGGCATGGTGGGTACCAGTGGCATTGGCGTATCCCTAATAGTGGCCTTGGTCTTAATAATCTGGGAGCTGATGAGGAGTGGGCCTTTCTATCATAATGTGAAATGGTTTGTACGTCGTAATTTTTATCAGCTCTTTTCTTTGTTGCGGCCGTGGAGTCTTGTGCGGCGAGAATCATGTCTCTGAGGGCATCTCTAGCGATTTTAGAGTTCGCGAAAGGTCACGATCGTCAGTTGGAAGGGACTTGTCCTTTGAATGTCCCATATCATGGAGAGGAGCACCTAAAGTTGCCAACATTGCATGTCATTAGGATTGGGAATTGCGGATCGTTGGCTCCACCATCGCGGTGGTGCTGTTGCTTTCTGAACATTTTGTGTGTTGGTCCATTACGTGGATTGAGTCGGGTTCAAAGGAGCGGGGACTCGTCCACAGGGGAGTAGTTGTGTCATGGGAAGTTTTTTTGGGGTTTTTTGGGGCTGCTGATTCGCGCACCTACATTAAACTTCTTCCCCATCACTGTGAGTCTTTGCGATCGAGAGATGCAACAGGTTTTTACTGTGTTTCTACTGCTTGTAATTGGAGGTTGCCCGCTGAATAATTTCTGGATATATATGTTAACATTTGAAATACTAAGCAGAGCTGAAGCTCTTGAGAAGCTCTTTGGGCAACTTTGGTTGTTACCATAAGTTGTTGCATTGAATTTAACGAGTCGTTTTGTCAATGCAGTGGAAAGTCAATGAATGTCTAAGGTTGGAATTGTTTGTATTTATCATGCAGGTTATTGCTGTAAAGAAACAGATAGAAGATACGCAAGGAAGAGAACTCTTCCCCTGTGCTCAACAGCTCCTTATTCACCAAGGGAAAGTGCTGAAAGATGAGACGACTATGGATGACAATAAGGTTTCTGAAAATGGATTTCTCGTGGTCATGCTGACCAAGGTAAGATCTCTTTCGACGAACGGTTTCTATCATTTTGCTCCGTGTCTACTTGTATTTTCTTAAGAAATGCCCTGGATTTGGAGGACTGTTCGGAGACGAGGGTAATGGGTTTGTGTCGGTCAATTTAAGTTTCTCTTGGGTTGCTCGTACCCCCCAAGTGCGAGTCGCAACATCTACCAAAATCCGTCATTTGGTTTGGTCCGCGGCTTTACAAGAGCGGTTCATTTTTAAAGGAGAACCACCTGCGCTTTTCGAACTTGTCTCAACGTATTCTAGAACAACACATGGGAAGCATGTCTCTTCTAATCGATCATGAGTTGACAGCCTCCGTTGTGACTGCCGCTCATCAATCACACTTCACTATCCATATGCAAATGCTTTCTATAGCTGGTTGTGTTGTAGTTATGTTGTTTGGATTATCATTTTACTTTATTTCTGATCAACTCTAACAGTATCTCAATTTTCTCAGACGAAGTCAGCTCCAGCAGCGCCGCCAACATCCTCTTCTTCGGCTCCTGCACCAGTAAGTTGTCATGTCCTGAGTTTACCCTGCCTGGACGGTAGCACGAATTTCGCCTTATATTCTGAATCTGATGATTGGAATAGGACAAACCAAAATCATTGCAAATCTTGCATTTTGTACTATTCAGTCACGATAAAGGTTGTCGGTTGCATTTGTTCGCAGGCCCCAGCTGCTGCACCTCCTCCCGCAGCAGCCCCTACTGCTGCGCCAGCTCCGTCTCCCCCGCCAGCTCCCACGCCTCATGCAGCACCGTGAGTTGAACATCGAAATTACAGCGTGGTTTCGTTTGAAAGCATGTCTTGATCTTGATGAAAAAGTGTCATAGACGAGATTCGACATGTCTTGTGTTCTCCTGTCTCAGATGGCACTTTTTCTGTTCCTGTTGACCAATTGTCTGAAAGCTGTGTTTTCTAACTAGTCATACAATTGGCTATTATGTATCCAGGGCCCCTCCTGCAGTCGCTCCTGGCTCTGCCCCTCCACCCCCTGGCTCTGCTGCTGCTGCTGCCGCAGCGTACGTGCACTTTTATCGCTTGTTTACCTCCTACTGCTTCTCTGCAGCACCATGTTGTGGCTTTTCTGGGTACTCAACGTCTGTCAGCTCGGAATAATCCTATAACGTTTGATCGAAGGTTCTACAAGTAAATTTGATCACGCGATAGGGGATATGATGATGAACAAGCAACCAAACAACAAGAAATGTAATATTTATCGATTTTTGGTATTTACTAGCTGCTGTCATGGCGGTTGGTTGGCAGTCACATTAGTGGTCACCTTTTCAGACGGTATCCTAGTGCATGTGTAGGCAAATGATACGCTTATCACTCAAGAGCATAGTCGTCGTGTGTGGACAATTGATTTACTGATTACATAAAGGAGAATGAACTGTAATGTACACACAAGTGATAGGCTGTAAGTGGGAACAGGACTCACCTTGTATACCTTGTATACTCTAAAGTTTTTATTTTACTCTACTACTATCTTGATAATTTTTTATTTATTTTTATTTTTATCGAGAAGGCTGTGCAGACTGTCTTTACTTTCGAGCACTCTTTTTTTAAGTCACTGATCTCTGTCGGGTAGGTGGGGTTGATTGGAACAAAATCATCTTTTGAATATATGATTAACGAATTCAGCTGACTTTCTGTGCAGAGCTCTTGCGGACCCCTATGGTTTAGCTGCCTCAAACCTTGTCGCGGGTACGAATCTTGAGCAAACTATTCAACAAATTATTGACATGGGAGGTGGAAGCTGGGACAGAGACACTGTTGTACGAGCTCTACGGGCTGCTTACAATAATCCTGAGCGAGCTGTGGAATATTTATATTCTGTATGTTTCTGGCCCTCACGATGTGGTCTATCTTATCTTCTGTAAATCATCCCCAATTTTTTTTAACGAAGTGTCGGAAATTGTTACTGTTGTCAGAGTATAACCAGCTGTAAGTTGTACCACTCCATTCGTGTGCTTGTAAAGACTTATGGAAAAGTAAAATGTTTAGCTTACATACATATCTCAAATGCAGGGAATTCCCGAAGCTGCCGAAGTTGCAGTTCCGGTGGCTCGAGGCCCTGCTCCACCTCAAGGGACAGGGGTTGCCCCAGCAGCTGTGCCACCTCCTGCAGCAGCTGCCCAACCAGCACCCCCTGTTGGTGGTCCTAATGCAGCTCCCCTAGATCTTTTCCCTCAGGTAATTTACAAGAGTGGTTTTTATTAAAATTTTAGGCCAAAATGTTGTATCCTTATGGTTAGTGTGTGGATTCCTGAGCTTTTTTTGTCATTTTCCATTTCAGGGTATCCCAGGTATTGGCGGCCCAGGTGCCGGTGCAGGTGCTCTGGATTTTCTACGAAACAACGCGCAGGTATTCTCCTCACCTTGTGTAGAATTCTCTCCATAGTGAGCCTTCGTTAGTCTCCATAGTGAGCCTTTGTTAGTGTAGAGTTGTTTGCAGGCAGGATCATACTGTCTAGAAACTAACAGTCGTATTAGGGTGTGAATTTAAGTAATAATTTCTTTATCCTACCCTGAACGATATTAGGAGAAAGGAAAGATTTGGTTGGTTAAAATTGTTAAGAAATATTGAATAGTCTATGATCGTATCGCTTATGAGGTTAAGCTGATTACGGCATTGTCTTCCTGTAGTTTCAAGCTTTGAGGACCATGGTTCAAGCGAATCCACAAATTTTGCAGGTATGTAATTTGAAGTGTAATTGGAAGCTGTAGTTCCTTCATGCTTATTTCACTGGGTGACTGGAGTGTTGAAAAATAATATTTAGACGAATTTCAAATATGCTTTTATTCCTAGAAGCAACTAGAGACTAGAGAACCCGTCAATGCCGATTTTCTCAATTGTTAAGGAAAGGAAGAATCTCAAAACCACAGGCAGTGTGAGGGGACGTATTTTTAATAAAAGAAGTATGAATCCACCCATTATGGAGTAGCATTATTTGACCCTTATGGCTACTGAGGCTTGTGGATCGGGGCTGGAGCTCTAGCATGAGGGCTTTTTCATTTTCATCCTTTTGTGTTACATTCGCGTGGAGTGGTTTCCTGTTCCTCAAAGCATAATAAGCAAAGTAACTCTTGTCACATATGCCTCCAATGCCTTCGCTTGGAGGATATGTGACAAAAATTATTTTGGCAGAAAGTTACGGTTTTGGGAAACTCTAAGATCGGATTCTGGTTGTATTGTGGCAAGAAAATTAAGTCGTTTTAAACAACAATTTTTACGAATTAGATCTATATTAATGAATCCTTGAGAGGTTTGCATGGGTTGTATGTTCAGTGCTATTACGTACTTCTAGCATACATAGCTGTTCACGTGAATTTGACCTCGGGTTGTTTTTCAATTTATTTTCAGCCTATGCTCCAAGAGCTTGGAAAGCAGAACCCGCAATTGCTGCGTCTCATTAATGAGAATCAGCCCGAATTTCTACGTCTTATCAACGAACCAGGCGGTGAAGGTGGTGAAGGGTGAGTTATCCTGGAGAAATTTTTCTAGAGGTGATGAGCATTGAGTAGATACTATGTCGTAGACATTTGTAATTTGTTCAGAGAAGCGACTGTTGATTTGAAGATCATGGGATTCTATTTCTTATATTGTGTTTATTGTGTTTCTTTTCCTATCAGAGACTTGCTTGGTCAGCTTGCAGGAGCCATGCCTCAATCTATAAACGTCACCCCAGAGGAGAGGGAAGCTATTGATCGGGTATGTCTTCTTTTTGTAACTTTTAAGGAGGTAGTAGTAGCATCTTCTTGTTCTGAATCTTCAGATCCACTTCTCTTACTGTATGAGAAGACCTGGTTAGTACTTCCCATGGTCTTTTCATTTCTATTGTCTGAATCTTTTTCTCTTTAGTACCCTATGCAGCAAGGTTCTCGCATTTATAAATTTTGCAACTCAATGTGTTATTGGTTATTGGAATGGCGGCTAGCTTATGTTGCGTGAGAGATCATTCATCCCGATGTTGTCTTTCATCATATGTTTAGATCGTCCGTAACTGATATGTAAAGTGTATACATTGTATATATTTTATCGTCATCTGCCTCTTACGTTGTATATGAAGAATTTTGTATGCTTATATCTGGTTATCGGCTATTATCCACTCGATAGCTTTGCCTCATACTAGGGTTTGGTAATATGTATACATAGTGTGCTATATAGTGCCATGTATTTTGCGCAGCAAATGCTGTTGGGAAGAATCCTCTTACTACTCTGGCATCTACAATGGCTGAAAACAGCTGATTGCACGATGGCAAAGAGATGCTTGCTCTTATATGCAGAAGATGGTGTCAAGGCACTGTTGCAATCAATGCTCTATTGTTTAGATATTGTGTGGTTTTTAATTTTAGGTCCGTGTCCTTCAGTTGTGTATGCCTTTTTAAGCTCACATGTTCAATGTTTATCCTTCTTCTATCTTATCTGTATACTATGCGTTAAGGACCCGGTGCTGAACTCCTTGGGCTGATCTCCATTTATTTTTTGAAACTTCATATAGTGCTACCAATACTTTCAAAATTGCAGTGTCGTCTAACAGCATTGAGCGTTTCCACCCATGTCTTATTTTCTAATATCTCGCGTTTATATTTTGTTCATATATTTGCTTGATTTGTCTGTGATGTACAGCTTGAGGCCATGGGATTTGAACGAAACCTTGTTATCGAAGCCTTCCTAGCATGTGACAAGAATGAGCAATTGGCCGCAAACTACCTACTGGAACACGCTGGGGATTATGACGACTAAGATCAGTGAAAGTTAACAATATTTGTGACCTTATCGGCGGTGTAAGAGAAGATGTGGTTAGAAGTCTGTTAGCTGCTCTCGTTCCCTTGGCCATGTCTTTCGGCCAGTACTATGCAACTTTAGTTTACTGCGGACTCACCCTTTTCCGGATGCCATCTCCTCGTAGAGATAGAAGGCAATCATGGGGTACAAGCATTTAGATTATGGTGTGGGTTGCTTTGCTAGGACTGTGCTGCACCATCTTCAGCTTGTGTTGTCAAATTCTTAGGGAGTTGTTTGTTATATTTGTTTCACGTTCCCTAATGAGTGTAGATTGCCACACATGCCTGTGGCAGATTAAGGAACTAGGAGCAGATCTCCCTTGAGCGTATATTGTTTCGTCAGTAGCTTGGTAAATAATGCGTTTCTGCTCTGTCTAGCATGCTGCGCTTAAAGAAGGGCTGTAATGAGAGTAGCTAAAAGGCTGGTTGCCCAGCAACATCCTGCCAATGTTTGCAATCTCGATAACACAGTGCGCTGTATAGCTGGACAAATGAAGCTTACCAAACTCTTCTACGTAGTGAAACCTGTGGAAGATAAAGTTGGTCATGTTATTTTAATTCAGAGCTTTATGTGATTGCTCCTTCTGGGGAGGAGGGCTGTCTCTTAGTCTTAGTTGACTCCACACAGCGGCCACTAATAGGTTGATTAACTTTTTCAATGTCAACTCGCTGCCGCGTAGAGTATTTTTCTGTACAGCGGAGCATATTTGCCTGGTGGATGTAAAGTCTGATTTGAGTTCTTGTTGAATCGCACTTGGCGTTGAAATGGTGATCTTTCGAATTTGTCGGATGTGCAGTGAAATTGCATGTGTTGATGGTGTCTTTGTTTAAAATTGCCCACGGGTTATTCATGCGCCAGAAAAAGTATTTGAAAATCTTTACTCCGGTCGTTGTCAGTTCGCAGATGGGATCTTAGGTTTGAATCGCACTCAATAAATATCGATACTTTGAGCAAGATGGGTTGAATCTAATTTTTATTGCCGCACGTAGAACTATCTGTGTTTTTTATGGAGATTGTACTCACATTTGCCACTGTAGAGATCCGCTTGAGTCAAAGTTTCCAGTGTACGGGCTGGTACAAATGTATGTCAGATTGTTTCCAGTGCAGCCTGATCAGTTCAGATGGATCTGCCAGCGATTTGCGGTTTTCTCAGTAGCGCGAGCTCACGAGTGGTCGTGAGTCAGCTCGCACCACTGGGCGTTCATGATACAGATCCCGCTGAAATGCCCGCAATCACGAAATGTCGTATGGAAATTCCTATTTGAGTACTTCATGTTCGCTTCAGAAAAGGATCACAAGTGCGCGTTCTAGAGGAGTAACGTGCTAAGGGGGTGATTGCCACCGTTTCAGAACCTCGTAAAGGGAACACAACACGCAAACGTAGGAGAGTGAAGGCTTTCATAGATGCGATTGTTTGAGATGGAACCTTTATGTATAGTCGGATTCGGTAAATTACTTCCTCCCTGGAAGGTGAGGTGATTGTTTGCTGACCGTTCATTCTAGTTTACTACCATCATTCCAGAATTTTCCTTAAAGGTGTACACATTTTCCAAGAAATTTATGTGATGTGTGTGACATCATCAAAATATATTATCATCAACAGTGTACAGTTTTGAAGGGCAAATCACGGTAATCCACCATAGGTAAAAGTACGATTGCAGAGCGAACAACAGCGTTAATAGCTCGAAAATGAAAGTATGCGGCACGAAAGCATGAACTAAGTTTCTCCGTTTGGGATCCGAAGGCTTGAGCAATAGTTCAAGTCAACATTGTTCCGTTTATCCCGTTTGAAAATCCGAAGCTATTAACAGTAGATGATGTCAACAGTGTGGCAGTTATTTTCTCCTCCGCCATTTCTCTCCAATATGACGGACTTCTGCATATTCCAAACTTACTTTCAGTTACTTTCGGAGTTTTTAAATTAATCTTCCTTGCCTTTTCAACTCGGTTAGTAGTTACAGTATCACATTTTTCATTCTTCGCCATATACACCTAATGCTTCATTGAAGGATTTCTCCAAAGGTTTCCCAATCACTTGGGCTCATTTTCTGGAATTAGTCACATACTTACAAATTACTCAAGGGCGAGGTTAGTTATTCTAGGGCTAATTAGCCCTCACCCTAATATACGAACTTCAGTCATTGGGATGTGACTAGAGGGTCCGTGTAGGAAAAGGTGATCCGGATGGGGCTACAGAAAAAGTTCAACTTGGCGACTACACTTCTAATGGATTTCAATGGACCACCTCCGCGATCTAAAAGCGATGTCAAGGTTCTTGGCAGCGAAAACATGCTGGTTTGTGCCAATAATAGAATATGCACAAGTGGGCAGTTTAGACGTTAGTGCTCAACGTAAATGCTCGAATAATTTAATGATTGCACTTACCTTTGGCTAGGCTGCACTGCATTTACTTTTTGTGCAGTACATATATCTCAGTGAGTTATAGATACTATGGCTACGATTTTTGAAAAAATCAAGAGTATAAACGGGATGTTGATTTTCCACGAATGATACCTTTTGAAGTGCCTAACCTAGGAGTTGATTGTTGGTTTACGGTAGAACGTCACTAGATTTTCACGAGTAACAGAATACATCCAGAAAAAACCAATTCCATTGCACTCACATTGAACACCACTTGTGTTATCCAAAATCCAAACTCACGAGCTTATTTTCGCTTCCAGGAACTTTGACATCGTGGAAATGGCTAGGAGTTGATTGTTGGTTTACGATAGAACGTCACTAGATTTTCACGAGTAACAGAATACACCCAGGAAAAACCAATTCCATTGCACTCACATTGAACACCACTTGTGCTATCCAAAATCCAAACTCATGAGCTTATTTTCGCTTCCAGGAACTTTGACATCGTGGAAATGGCCATGAGCTTCTTAACTGTTTTAAATTCGCGGAATAACTTCTTTACTGGCAGGTGACACTACGGTTTATTTGGAATTAGAAAAAGTGTATTTGCGAAATTCACGTCATCCCACCCCGACCCTGTAGCCCAAATGATTGAAATCCATATACTAGATATGGGTTAGTTTCTGAGGGATAACTAATCTCTCAGTTCTTCAATTGTTATGTATTCTTTACTAAGTACACATGATGTTCATTGCAAACAGAGAAAATACTCTGAATTCTCTGTCTGTGATGAACACCATTTTCCGTTCTCGATCTCATCTGGATCAGCTATAAACATTAACTTATAGAACATATGGATGTTACATGGATATGGCCCCGGCTTGTGGTTTAATTCGTGTACGTACTTTAATTCTTGTACATCCGAAGTTTTCCGTTTTTCGTAACATATCTAGAGCTGGAATAAGTTCGACATGTAGTGTTGTGTTCGTCGCCCGGCCAAAAATTTCCAGGCCCCGCAAGGGACGAGTGTCAAAGCCTTTGCACGAAGCTATGTCCTGTCAGAGAGAGCGGAGTGAGTGTCCGGGATGGAAATTGGACATTCCACGTACAAAGAGCTAAATCCACTCTTCGCCTCCCATCCGTCGAGACCCATATCGCTTCAGTTCTAGTTGACAGAAATTGTGAAGGTAGTAGTACACTCTGCTGCATGCGAAGACATGGCGTCCTTCTGCTTGATTCTATTCAAGAATTGCAACAAGTAGTGCCCGGTTTCTGTTCTATGGTGATCGGCTTCAGGATGGCGCTCGCGAGCTCTACCAGCTCCACGTCCGTCCAACATGTTTATGGTCTACAGACATATCAAGGCCAGGCGCTCGAATGACCAAAATGGTCTGCATCGCCTGGCGAATGTCAGTGACAGCTGACTGAGAGGGAGTGACGATCGACAGGAAAGAAACAGGCTTTAAATATGTGCGCGTAGCAATTGCAAAATCTCCTGGAGAATCTCAATCTCCAGGTGTGGATTAACGATCTGTCCAACAGAAGGCAGCGAGCGTCGAATTGCTTATGATTGAGCAATGATGGCTATCCTGGACTTCATCGGTGCAGGCGGGGCTTCTGTCACAACCTCAGAGTCTCAACCATTCCTCAAATTCTGTGCCTGTTCGTTACATCTTTCCGCTGATCTATATGCTCGTGCACGAATCGATCCACACGCGGCTTCCAGTGAATATCAGCCGATCACTGAACTCTCGAAACGAACCGTCCTCGGGCAAGTCTGTCAGCCAGCCAGCCAGCAGGCAAGGAGAATGATCGCTCCCCCGCACGGGTAATCCATGGATCCATCCATCATCCAACCAAGGGCGCCATCATGATTTCTCCCTGACGCCTGCACAACGCGCGGCCGCACGCGTTTACGAGCACCTTCGGGGTCGCGGGGCATTTGTATTGCGAGCTCGATGGCCGCCGTCGAGAAGCGGAGAACGGTTGTCAAGGACAACCGACTCGATACCCCTCGAAGCGCAGTCTGTTTCGATGCAGAACCGGGAGCGCCGACGGTTAGCAGAACGACCGCACCTTTCGCCGAGCATGAATCTCAAGCTCAAGACGGCATCCGTCGCCGACCTTTCGTCGACGACAAGATGAATTCGGCGAATTCCTTCCCCCCACCACCATCACCTTTCGTCTCCCTCTCCCTCTCCCTCTCCATCTCCTTGGCAAGTTTCGAGCTTCAACGCATTGCAGTGGTGGGCGACGACCTTGCTTCTTAAACAGCATGATTGCTCGACACTGATCGACAGAAATCGACACTGAGCTCGGTGGAAGAGACGATTCGAGAACGGGAGATGGAAGAATGAATGCCTGCTCGGCGTCCTGCTACCTTGGTCTCTCCCTGACAGGGCGACGGGGACGAAGAAGAGGAGGGGGCGGCGGGGCAGAATCAAGGCGGGGCGAGAGAGGAAACTGTCGCGAAACGAAAGGTCGTAGAGGTTACGCACAAGACTTGAAAGCTGGAGGAGTGCTCGGATTCCGCTCGACCGTAACCGCTTCGAGCGCAATGTGAGCGGAGGGAGGGCCGAAAGGGCAGCAGCAGCAGATTGTCTTCATGATCATCAGGCACCGCTCCGAGGACCAAGGAAAGAAGGAAACGAACGGCGAGGCGACCGATTGACGACCGAGCGATTGATTGATTGATTGACTGACTGATCGATGGAGCGATTGCTCACGATTCTGACTCTGGTGACGACGATTGCGCTCGAATTGACTCTCACTGCTGTCCCGTGCGCCGCCGCCATCGCCGCCGTCGAGCCGACGACGACGCCGACGCCGACCAGATGGAAAGTGAGCTCGTACGTGATGCGCTCGATCCAAGCGCAGCGCAATTCGGATCCTCATGCTTCTAGCGCTGCGCTCGTGAATCGGCATCCGCGCAAGCACGCGCTGCACTTCGGGTGCTTCGGCGCGCCGGGCGCGTGCGATGGCGCGCCGGGGCTGAGCGCGAGCACCAACGCCTCCACTTGCTGCAACGGCTTCTGCAAGGACGTGCAGTTCGACTCGTTCAACTGCGGCGGCTGCAACCGCGGCTGCTTCTTCGGCGCCTCCTGCTGCTCCTCGACCTGCGTCGACCTGCTGAGCGACCGCCTCAACTGCGGCCGCTGCGGCGTCACCTGCTCCGCCGGCCCCTGCACCTTCGGCCTCTGCAACTACGGTTGACCCCCCGGCCGCGCCTCGACGCTCTCTCCTGTCTCGACAGGAAATTGAAGCGCTCGCACATTCATCCAACGGGCACCATCGAATTTCTGGATCACTTCCCGAATTTCAAATTTCAAATTTCACATTGAATTTCAAATTGCATCGACCCCGACACCGACACCGACTCCGGCAATCTGCTTCCTTCCTGCCTTCCATCGTTGCTCTGATTTTGAGCTGCTGGGCATTCATTCAATCGGTCCTTGTGAATTGACGGCCGTGAAGACATTAGAGGCCGCAAGTGATGACGTCGACCGACAGGACGAGAATCGAGTCTGGGGCATTGATGAAATTGATGAGAGACGCGAGAAGCAAGGAGAGCAATTCGGGTTTCAAAGAAAAGGAACGACGCGCGTGAGTGCGCAGAAACATGAAAGCCAGTTGGCGACGACAGTTTCTCGATGGCTCGAATCGGAACAGGACTCTGAATCTACACGCTACGAATGACGAAGCTAGCAAGGTCTGGTCTGGCGAGAGGACTCACTCCTCGATTTGCCGGGCCCGCAAGTGCGATCGCAAGAAGCTCTCCCTCAAGGCCTTGTGCACGTAAGAATGGACGTCGAGCGTTTTCAGTCTTCGCATCGTGCTCAGGGACGAGTCCTCGTCGTCGTCGGAGCTTTGAATTTCTTCAGTGCGCGCAGGAGGAGGAGCTTCGAATTTTGCAGAGATGGAGAGGGAGAGGGAGGGTGAGAGGAGGTCATCGTCGTTTTTCTCCAAAGGCAGTAGGGGAGCTCTGATCGACGGCGCCTCTGTCCGTCGTCGCTGTGAGAGGAGGTCGACTGAAGTCTCGTCGGCATCGTCGTTTTTCTCCGAAGGCAGAAGGGGAGCTCTGATCGACGGCTGCGGATTGCAGAGTCGCGCCCTCAGGCGCTTTTGATTCTCAGGCTCCATGAGAGTCTTCAACGCCACCGCAAGAAGCTCGACGACCTCGCTGCGTTGCAATTTCGCCGACTTCGATTCCGGCCGCTCTTTCCTCTGGCTACGAACTCGACTGCCCGAGGACGACGAGCCCAGACGACAGCGCTGTCGAGCCGACGCGCACGTGAGAAAGTTCCATCGATTCTCTAGAGCATGGCAACGCAATTGCAAAGCTAGACGAGAAGTGCGATGAATCGAGTGCGAGAGGGGGGAACTCACGGGTTCGCAGATCATCGGGCGGACTGTGAATTTGGCCATCCCGATGTCCATGGCCGGGCGATTGCTCAGTGCTTCGTTCCCCTACAGAGCTTTCTGGATTTAAGACTTTGCACGAGCTTTGCTTGTCCACGTCATCTTGGGTGGCTCTCCTCTGACAGCCCATGTTCCCATTGCGGTCTGATATTTTGCTCCATTTCCGTTCTGTAGGAAATACTCGTTCTTCCAGAGCCAAATTTGCTTCTCGCATCTACCGACAATTTGCTTGTAGGTTTTTACAAATTGTTGTGATGATAAATGCACTGTAGCATTTTTGAAGAACTTTACGTATTTATGTAATTTCGAGGATTTTCGCAAAATGATTGTTTCACGGGATTTTCGCAAATTGATTACAATTTTGATTGAAAATTTTAGTGATGAATTTAAGTTCTTGTGAATCATAATGTTATTGCGCAAATAGTTCTCTTTGTGCAAATAACAGAATGTGTACCGATATTCAATCCGCAATTTTGAATAATCAAAATTTCATTTTCACATAAAAATCGAAACCATAACAACAACATGCATAGCGTTTTTATAATTTCGAGCAACAATGAACCTATTTACAAGACTCTCAGAATTGATCATCTACACCAATGAGTTTGTTGGAATAATTTTCATCTTCATGTATGTCAGTTTTGGAATAAAAAATACTAGTTTTAAAATTGTTGATAAAATGATAAACGTTTCAATTTGCATCAAAAGTTTGTAAAAAATTACATTCTGAAATTCAAAACTAAATTTAATTTTAGAATTTTTATGTATAATATATATATTATATTTGAATATCTTACATGTAAATTAAAATTTAGATTTTTTTAAAAAAGCTGAATAATATCTACATTAGTATGAAATTTTATTGATATATATATGTATGATCTACTATTCAATGCATACAATAAAATATTATGATAAGTAGTTTTTTATAAATGTTAAATATTATTATCGAATTTTACACAAAAAGAAAATATGAAGTTTCATTTTTTATAATACTTCATATTATAATATTATGTATTATATGATTTGAAATCTAAATTGATCATCAAAAGAGTTGAAATTTTTTATATTCCTATATCATTGAAAGAAATATAGAGTAAACATTTGTTTCAACATTTAACCATTCTTATGAATACAAATCTTGATTAATTTTATAAAATGAATAAAATAGAATGTACACTACTTGAAAAATATCCATATTTTTTTGGACAAATGAATCAATAATGAAGTTCAATCATAATGATATTGAAAAGTATCATTCGTACTCATTCATCTCATTTAAAAAATTGCAATATAAAATTGGTATGATGATATAAATACATTTTAGTTTGAATAATTCAATCTAAAAATTTCAAGTAAGATTCAGTTGAAAATTATAAAAATATTCAAAACTTGATATGGTTCTCATAATATTAATTTTTCTTGAATAAACATTTTATTCATAAAATTTTAAAAATTTATTTATTGATTATAATTAAGCTAAAAATGGATCAAAATAAAGATGAAATTTTATTTTGATGAATATTACATACTCGTATATACAATCCATGTATTTAATAGGTAATTATATATATGTTAGTTAAAAACAAAACATCAATAATCAATTTGATTTTTATGAAAGTATTAAAAATGATAATCAGATTATTAATTGAGAATCATATGTCAGTAATCATTTTAATTGTTATGTTATCCATCCATTAGAACTGAAATTAATGGTAGAGATGATATATTATCTACTTGTTGATAAGATTTATATTAAAAAATGAGATTCATTCTAGTTATCTTTCATATTAGAGTTAATTACTTGATGAGACCATGGTAAAGTCAAATCATTTAATGATATCCAACAATTTTCATTTTACATGATAGAATCCCATTCAACGGCCATAGGTGTCACCTTCAACATTGTTCCAATAACAGTTCTTATAACTTGATACTTTACATTGTGGTGTGAAGAGACATTGTAGGGCCAAAATATTCTTTCCCGTGAGAGCAATTTGGCCAGGATGACATGATTTTTACAATGTTTGAAAGAAGTGAAAGCTTCTTGCAGCCACTTGACGTAACTTTAGAATCCCTCCCTCTCAACCCCTAAATGACAACCACCACCACTAGCAAAAAAGTACTGCACAAAATCGGTTGATAAAACCTGCAAGTTGATTCCTGCACAAAAATGCTTTCCGCTTCCTTCGACGTTGATCACATGGACATTCGAATTGGAATCGAGAGAAGCTACGACTGCAAGAATTTCTCAAAACATGGCAATATTCAGTGCGTTCGATTGCTTTTGTCAATTAAAAACGAGCCAAACAACGCTTGCAAAATCTAGACCTCGAGCGCCATTCATTCGAAATGCTTCCGTTGGACTTCATCTCTCATACAAGCTGCAAACTAGTCTTAGAAAGACTAGTTTGGGTAACGTGCACCCTGATTTTGAAATTCTCCCGACATGGTCTTGCCATAACCCGATTCCTATTGTAACATCTCCAACGATGGCCGTCGAGGAGATCCCATCGTAAAATGAAACCGTTAGGTTCTATCAAGTAAGTTGAGTTTTTTTGGGTCCCATCAAGTACTCCTCATATTAAGACTTATGTTTCCTCATCTAATAAATCATCCGAGGAATCAAGTAAGTATGTTATGAAAGATGCAAAATTAAAAAACAACGAACATCCAAGAAGATCACTAAAGCTTCCAAAATTTAAACCAATCAAAGTGGTCATCAACTAACTTCTATATTTTTCTTGATGAGTTCAAAAAATTGTTTAAGAAGTATCATCCGAGATGAAAGCTGTAGTCGTGATTCGCAAAACCAAAGAAGAGAAATGAAAAGACATGTCCAAATTAAAAAAGACTCGCTACATTTACAAGACTCATCCGAATAAGCAAGAGTGTGATAAGTCTATGTCAGCTTACTTTACTTTAGAAATCAAGTAAAGTAATTGTGAAAGACGCAAAGCCAAACAAGCAACGGAAATCCAAAATTGCTTTAAAAGTTGCAAAAATCAAATCAATCATAGAGATAGTCAACTGATTTTTTCATACTTCTTGAACTCATCAAGAAGTATTCTTGATGAGTTCAAGAATTCGTTTAAGTATCATCTTGAGCTGGAGGGTGTTGACGTGATTGCCAAAGTCAAAGGAGAGAAATGAAAAGACATGCATGAATTAAAAAAAATTACCTTCATTGACAATTCTCAATAGAAAAAACAAAATTATAAAAAATCTATATAAACTTACAACAAGCAAAAACATGACGATGAAGAGTAGGACGAAGTAACGCCTAAGGAATCAAGTGAGTATGTTATGAAAGATGCAAGTCAAAGAATCAACAAAAATACAAGAAGGTCACGAAAGCTGACAAGAATCAAACGAATAGAAGAAATCATCAACTAACTTCTTCATTTTTTTATGAGTTCAAGTACTCGTTTAAGTAAGATCATCTCGAGACAAAAGATGTCGATGTGGTTGACAAAGCCAAAGATGAGGAATGAAAAAACATGTATGAATTTGATTAGGCTTCCTATATTTACAAGGCTGAATATAAGAAGCAAGAATGCAACAAATGTATGTCATCTTATAACAAGAAAAAACAAGACGATGAAGATCTACAACGAGAAAACATCTGAGGAATCGAATAAGGTTGTTGTGAAAGACGTAATGCCAAAGAAGCAACGGAAGTTAGAGATGACCACAAAAGTTGCGAAGATTCAAACGAATCAAAAAAATCATAAAGTGACTTCTTCATCTTTCTTGATGTTTTCAGTAAATCGAAGATCATCACGAGACAAAGGATGTGATGATCACGGATGCAATGAAAATCTGTAGCAAAAGATATTACATCTTACACAACCAGGTCCCCTGTCCAGTGAGATGAAATGAGTTTTATGGAACGAGTTTCTCTGATCCAAGATAAGCATTATAGTCTGCTGCTTTCATCACTTGACAGCTCGGTGACCAACCCAGTACTCTAAATCTCGTTAAATCCCATAAAGACAACACTAGACTGAGCACAGAAGAAAGTGATTTCACAGCCAGCGAAATTCTTTGCTGAATCCTCAAAGCTGGTGACGGCAGGAAACTAATAAATCACAGAACCGCCACACAGAAATCTGCTTACATCTAACTCAAGAAATTGACATCCATCCATCTCTTCGCTTCACCTTCTCCACTGTGCGAAATATGATATTGTAGAGTGACCAGCCTTCTACTTTCGGGCCTTCCTTTGTTCTTGACGAGCGTTTTAATTCAATTTTGATAATAATATTTAAAAATAAATGATTGATTTCAAATCTTTCACTGACTTGTGACGCCAGTAATTGTTGCTGACAGACTTTGCAACAAAACCAGTCCTCTGTACTAGACATCAATGGCAGTGGGTGTTGTCGATCAAAACTACAGTATCACGTTGTACCCTGGTGCACGTGGCTACTTTAAATTACTAGCTAGACAGTGAAAAGGCTCAGAATGCGTTTGAAGGGACAGAAAATTTATCTATCCAAAGACCTAAAACTGATACTTGTGCACAGTGCGAGAAAAGTAAAGCTGTAGACAAATAGGATCCTGTAGGTAACAATGTCCTCGTTAGCATAAAAAATTACCATCTCCTTCTTCTCCTGGCATTCGCAAAGCGGGAGGAGGAGGTGCAACAACAACAACCATCTGCACAATGACAAAACGGAAGATGTTCAAATTAGAAGCTTGATTCAAGCCCAACCTTCAGATGGTTCACTCAGTGTGCAAACTTTATGATCTCTTTTAAAAATCCCGAAGGGCCTCAGCATAACTGGCATCTGTGATGGGTGAATCCACATGTAATCAGCTGAAAGGTGTCAATTCACCTAAAACCCAAGTTCTCCCAATACTTTATTTGTCTGTCAACATTCTAACAAGCATTATTCGTCCCCCTACTCAGCACTCCTCACATCCAGGTAAGACTTACGACCTCATGGGAAATGGGATGATAAAACTCCAATCGCCAGGCATGCAGCAAATAACCACAATCACCAGGTAGTGCTCCTTCTATTCTTTGATAGCCCCTGTATGAGAATTGGATGTTAGACCAAACCGATTGGATCTTGCATTATATATGAAGGAAAGTGAAATTTTTTGACAATTCACCATTAGCCGTTGAAAGTACAGAGAGTTGAGCTGTATTTGGGAAATCTTCCAGAGAAGTGACTCACCCATCTTCTTCGGGAGAGCCCTCATGTTGCAGACGATCAGAATGATCAGTTTCTTGCACGATTCCACCCTCAACATACAGCGGATCTCCTGTTAAGACACCGCTCTCTAAGTTATTAGTTATAAAGATATAAGATACAATTTTATGGAAGAGATATACTCTAAACTTGACAAAGTTTAGAGTATATCTGGGGGAAGCAGAGTCATCAATCATCAACTTATGAGTCCCAAAGAAGAAATATTTACTCACATCAGAGGACGTAATGTCGTTAAGATGAAACTAAAAAGGTGGGCACAAACCTATCAAGGGATGGCCGGCAGCTGCGAGATGGATTCGGATTTGATGGGGCCTCCCAGTCAAAATGTTCACCTGAAAGTTGAAGGGTCAGCTTATTTTCCTCTTGGGACTTGCTGTTTGTTCCTCATCGACTTGTCAAGGAACCATTCAGTAAAGAGAAGTCAATAAGGTTGTGTGCGCAACGAAAAAGTGGATTTTTGTGGCTAGAAACTTGCAAATTCAGTGTAAGTGGTACCTTGAACAAACCTGAACTAGAGTACAATTGTTCACTTCATCTCGCCAGAGTACAACTACCTTGGATAGTGATGGCTTTCCTGTCAATTCGCAGCACACGTAACTCGATACAGTCAAAAAGTCGTACGATCAATTGTACGTCCACGTTATTGATAGCCAGAGGCCTACGACAAGAAGTGAGAGGGTCATGCTCATATATCTAACACAGCTAGCAGATATACCCGTCGGGGAAGCCATGTATAGTCCTCCAGCAACTCCGGGATACGGGACTTTTCCTATCGCATGATCGACGGTGATCTACAATGGCAACTATCAAAGTCGAGTCAGTAGGTACAACCAATGAGTTTATCCATGCAAAACTGGCATTTCGCAAAACGTATTTCATAGACAAAAGTCTTTTGACTGCACAGCGATGCCAAGAAAACATGTCCTGGAGCAACGTGAAATTATTCGCTGAACATACGCCATGCAAGTTCTTGTCTACTCTTGGCTTTGTATGGACCTGTTGACTTAATAAAGTGAGGAAAAACGGTTTGAACCATGAGAACCCCCTTTGTAATCAATCCAACGATTAAATAACCACGTAAAAAATAAGCCGGCCTGTAGACAGTTTCTTTTTTAAAGACTTAGCTCATGAACTGCCTGCCTCTGAATGCAATGTTTAACCGGGTGATAGGTACGAAGGTTCTCGACAAACCTCATCTGCAGCTATGACACCCTTTGCCAGGGCCCGGTAAGTCTTTGAAAATCGTCTTTGCTTATCGTCAGATTTTGGTGATGCACCACCAACGCTCCTGAAATTCAAGAAGCTCTACAGAATTTTACCAAAATTACCGTCGTTACTGTCAATGTAATGCCGAACTCTAAACACCAAAGACAGCTATAGTTTTGTGGCGTTTTGGCCAACAATGGGCTCCAGCACATTGCTACCTAAATGTACAGATATACTCCAGATTGGGCTGGATGAAAATGTGAAGGAAACCGGTACACATACTTCGAAGATAAAACTTGTGAGGAGCATGACTGTTCTATGGATGTATCAAACCTCTCAACTACAGTACTTCACAAGAACGGCGAAGGCATACCTGCCGGTGGTGCTTTCTGTAGACGCTGCTAAGTCTGCAGCAAGTAAAGATTTTGCTCGTGGAGATTTGGCACAAAGCAAGACACCTGACGAGAATTACAACATAAGATGACATCTTTTACCCTATCGTTCTGCTACAATCCATGATTTATCTACAGTATGTTCAACCTAACGAAGACTGATTGAACTGGGAACACAATTAACCATACATGATTTCCTTCTATGAGAGATCACCAAAGATCAGGCCTGCATTGGACCTACTGTAGGTATAACCTTACGAGGACCAGAGAAAAAAGCCAAACCTGAAGTGCCTCTTCCGAGACGATGAACAGGAGACGTCGGCCACGTATGTGCTTGAAAGTTACTGCTGTCTGAACGCCCATAACTGGTATTATACTCATCGCGCCACTGCAATTGCTGCAATACGGTTCTTTGCTGGAAAAGACCACCCGCCAACACTTGAAGCCCTGATGGTTTATTGAGAGCAAGCTGATAACAGTTGCGAAGTTAGAACTTCAAAGACCAGCGGGCCAACTGAAGACAAACACTTGATCTTCATCGTTCAGCATGGACACTGCATTTGTAAGCATGGTAATAAAAGAAAGTAAAATACCCACGACACAATTGAACTTCATGATCAGCTCCATAGAAACTTACAAAAATGCAAGCATGGATTAAAGTCGAGAAAGTTCCAGAAGCTCATGGCCGGCATTCTTAGTAAGCATGAGTATGAAGGTGATCCGTTCACTTCTTGATGCTCCTGAGATGTTTCTTACCACGTGTTGGTCTTCATAAAGGATCTGAAGAAGATAAGGTGCAGCAGGCTCCTTCCACGGAACTCGCTGGTACTCAAGACGGGATCCCATTCTGCAGGTTTGACGAAAACCACAACCATATGATTTTATATACAACACAAACCAGGCATGCATAAGAAATTTCAATAGTTAAGCACAAAACGCTAGGACTTCAAATGGAGTGTTCACTCACCTCAGAATGAGCTCAGCTGAACTGATCACCAATCCATCAACTCGAACCTGCTTACAAACTTCGAAGTCTCACGTCATGCTACCCACCACCGAGGTAATCAGCTGTGATGATTACTTTCACAAAGCACAAAGGAAAAAGGCTGATATTGCAAAGGGGAAAACAACGGCCAACCTGGTCATTGGAGATTCTCTGTATCCATCTGTGACGTACAACAATACAGAGTCAGGAGACACTTTTGTCACAAATTCGAATGCAAATTCACTGCATTCTGATGTGATGAGGCGAGACTCGAACTCAACGGATCGAATGGACTCTTTACTCCATCTCAAACAACCAAAAAAAGACATATGAAACTTACCCTTCACGAGATGCAGACTTTTTATATCTTGAGCAGTAGTATTCAAGAACAGTTTTGGCTGCAATGAATGAAACCAGTTCTCAATTGGAAAGAGTCTAAAAACATCTTTGTTCAGTCCAACGAATAGAATTTATAAATTTATGAACCCTCTCTCATGAACACACATGGGAAACTACAGCTATGCAGTCGAAACCAGAGCTCCCGAATGAAACAATTTCAGATTGGGTCCCACAGAGATTCAGCCACTCATCTATTACCCTGTATCAAGGTGAGTCATTCCAACTTCAGGAGTTTTGAAACATGAAATAACCAGAAATAACCAGAACACAAAAGCCAAACGTGTTTCCCACAGGTGGACGTGTTGGACCAAATTGAATCGCCAATTTGCAGTAAGATGATGCACACTCACACTCATCTCTGGCCGTTACGAGATCGACGTAGCTTACGCCTTTGTTCACTTCAGGCCAAGGAGTGCCGAAGATACGCCTGTCAGCAAGCAATTCCATTCTGCCTCAGCTCATGAATTCGGTCACCACGATGCAAACTGCTCTGCGTGGACGACCGAGCGAATTCAGCTTAGTTCCAGTCCAATCTTCGCAGAACTCAGTTCACTCAAAGGTGAACAAAATTCCATCACATTCGTCACTGCACCTTCGGCGTTGATAGAATCAGAAGCGCAGGGGATCTAGCAGCGGTTTCCAGTAAGCTTTCCACGGTCCGGTTAACTATTACACAATTCAGAAAAAAAAGTTGAATTGAAATTAAATCAATAGATTTATAAATCAATTATAAATAAAAAATAATGTATAATTAATAAATAAGACAATAACAAAATAAATAGATCAAGAAATAAAAAAGAAGTATGAATATAGAAAAAAACATATAAATATATTGAAAATTTTTTGTATAAAAATTATAAAAAATTGATTGAAAAAAATATTCAAATCAGAGAAACAAATGGAAAATAAATCCATAAAGAAATAAATATACATGTCAAAATTACCTAAATTAATTAACCAATAAGGAAAAAAAATAAAAACTAAATCCATCAAGAAACCGGAAACCCTAAATAAATATGGAAATAAAAATAAATCCATAAATAAATGTACATTTGAACAATAAATCCATAAAGAAATCAGTATATACACACATCAACAATAAATCCATAAAGAAAGAAAGACATATAGAAAATAAGTCCATAAAGAAACAAACATGTAAAAAATAAATCCATTCAGAAATAAATAATAATATATATAAAATAAATCCAAATAAAAATGAACATGTAAAAAGTAAATTATTAAAAATAGAGAAAAATAAACATATCAAAACATAAAGAAAGAAAAAAACATGTAGAAACATAAAATAATAAATAAAAAAACAAAAAGTACATGCATGAAAAGAAATGAATAAATATTTAAAACATAAATTCATAACGGTCCCTCGGGTTCTTGACTGACTGCGGACCGACCCTCGTCAGTCGAGTTCATGTCTTTCCTCAAGAAGCGAGCCGGACCGCAGACGAAGGACCCTCCCAGGATTCCGGCGAGCGCCGTCGACGACCGCCCCTCACGGGACGGCACCCGGAAAAACGACATCGAAATTCACAGAGGTTGACATCGGTAGCTATTGCGTGTGTGCAAGGTTCACCTACGGAAACCTTGTGAAGACTTCTCCTTCCTCTAAATGATAAGGTTTAAAGCTCTTCTCCCAACGTCACCGGCGGCGAACCGGGAAACCGAAGGAAAGGTGAAGGGAAGGGGAGGGCGAGAGAAAGCCTGATAGCCCGACGCGAGTTGTGGCACGGAGCAGCACCGGACTGAAGAGGAGAGCCGTGCGCGACAGGCGACGACGATCTGCGTTTGGTGCAGCGCGCGAGCTGCGTGCCTTCTGTCAGTGGAGTCGTATTCGTGGAACATCGCGCATGAATCCGAAGCTTCATCGCGGAAATGCGGTCTCGTTGATCCACTCTGCCCAGTGATTGCCTCGGCCAGCGTTTGGCCTGCGAGCGGGGGGTGCGAGGTCGCGTCGGAGGGGCGAGGAACGGGCGAACGAGCAAGTTGGATTATTCCTAAACCCTAAACCCTGAACCCGCTCGCCACTCCTCTCTCTCTCTCTCTGGCCCGGCTGCTTCTGCTGCTCGGGAATTCAGTTCGGAATTGGTCGAGCGATGGAGGCTCCTAAGAGGAAGAAGGAGCGCGCGGCCCAGGGAGAGGAGGGCAAAGAGGGCAGAGATGGCAAATTGGAGGGCAAGAAGAAGGGCAAGCACGATAAGCCGAAGCCTTGGGACACTCCGGACGTCGATCACTGGAAACTGGAGGCCTTCGACCCGCAATGGAACGAGGGTGGAATGCTCGAGGAGAGCTCGTTTTCCACTCTCTTTCCTCAGTACCGAGGTTAGTCTGGAATGGTCTGGAATTGGAAGTTGCTTCCTTTTTTGTCTCTCGCCGGGTTGTGCGTTGTGGAGGGAGGAATTATTGTGCCGGCTGTTATTGCTGCTCGATGGTGGCGGTGAAGTTCTGAACCTCCGTGTCCTATTGTTTTCTCAGAGAAGTATCTGCAAGAAGTTTGGCCGGTGGTAACGTCAAGCTTGAAAGAGCATGGAATCAAGTGTGAGCTCAACCTGGTAAGCCCTCGTCATCATATATTCCAGCATATCGATGTTGGTTACATCTATATTTCCGTTGGGAGCACGATATTTACCATCTGGAATGATTAGTAACCCTAGTGTGCAAAGCCTTAATTAAGTCGTTTATGCCGTCGCGGGTATTCAATCTACTCTTCAATTTCTACACGATTTTATAGACATTGGGGACGCAAATTACTGAGGGATATCTGACAAACAAGGCTTTGTGGTACAGGTAGAGGGATCCATGACCGTCGGGACGACGAGAAAAACTCGTGATCCATACATTATAGTCAAAGCAAGAGATTTGTTGAAGCTCCTATCGAGAAGTGTGCCTGCCCCGCAGGTACAAAGCGCTTCCGCTGGCTTTAATTCGCAGACTTTTACCAGCAGTAAGGGCCATATTTGCCCGGACAAGGGAAAACTAACTCGTTTATCTGTCCTTGAGTTGCAGGCTTTGAAGATATTGGACGATGAGATGCAGTGTGATATTATCAAAATTGGCAGCATGTTACGAAACAAGGTACGAGTAGATGTTAGTCGCTCTTCCCTTGTCTGCGACTTGTTTTCCATTCGCTACCTTCTATATCGACCAGCATATTGACGCATTGTATGTGGGAAGCCCTGGAGCATGCAAGCACGATCAGGACAGCGAACTGAATGTTTAACATTTTTTATTTTCTTTTTGCGCAGGAGCGGTTTGTGAAACGTAGACAGCGACTGTTGGGTCCCAATGGTGCTACTGCAAAGGTTCTGACATGTAGGCCTGCTCATCCATCTGTTAGGCAGTGACTATAGTATGTGACTTCCTTTCAAAAGAGTCAATGAGGAAGTTCTTGAGATCGTCAACATCTGCTGACCATCTTTGCTGATTTGGATACAGGCTATTGAGTTGTTGACGGGATGCTACATGTTAGTCCAGGTACGTGTCTGACATGGTGATATGATGAAAGTGACTGAATTTGCCGTTGCCAAAGGAACACCCATCGCAGAAGAAAGTAAATCGAACGTCTGGTCTCTTGGGTTTATGGAAGAATTAACCTTTTCTCATGCGGCGTTGCTTGAACAGGGAAACACTGTCTCCGCCATGGGATCGTTTAAAGGGCTAAAAGCGCTGCGGCGGATCGTCGAAGACTGTATAAAAAATATTCATCCTATCTATCATATCAAGGTAATAAATAACCATATTCAGGGGTTCCATTAGATAATCCTAAGAAAGGTGCGCAAATCGTTGTCTAATGAAGGAAACTTCAATTTGGAGGGTGGAAATCAGAGTCTGCGTCCGTGTTGTGGCCGCTTCTTTGGTCCTAAGATTGCATCGATGTGATTCGCCATCCAGAGCATGCGTAGTTCACTTAGGTCAAACTTTTCAGCATCTTGATTGAATCTTACAAAGCTTCCGTCTTCTTGCAGGCACTTATGATCAAGCGAGAGCTTGCTAAAGACCCGGAGTTGGCAGAGCAAAACTGGGATCGGTTTTTACCAAAGTTCAAGAAGTAAGCTATTCCGTTCTTATCGTTGAAATAAGATTTCCTTTGAATTTCAAGGAGTGGTTTTTGTGTCACGAAAAATTTCTATGAAATTAGCGTGGTGGGTTCTCAGGATTTGATGCATTCTCTGGATCATGTGTAGGAACTACATTTTCATTGTCAGTAAAAATGATATCAAGAGCATCAAAATTTACGAGGAGAGAGTAATCTGATCTCTTTGGAATACAAGAAACTTTCAAGGCCTTTAGAATTCTGAGAAAGAAGAGTGGATTTCTAAGACGAAAAGGAATTTTACATCGGGCAGCGCAAACTGGCTCAGTTTTTGTGCGATATTTGGTCTGCAGGAGAAATGTAAAGCAAAAGAAGGTGAAGGAGCAGAAGAAGAAGACATATACACCTTTCCCTCCACCTCAACAGCCTAGCAAGGTAAACCTAAGGTGGTTTTTTTGTTTGTATCGTTGTCCTGGAGAATACTGCGTTCGGTTGTTTATTGAATATTACAACCCTCTTTACTTCAACATCCACTGTGAATGGAACATGGTAATGCCTTATGCGGGACGACATTTGATTCACCTTATCACCATGCGTTGAATTTACGTTACACGGGTGGTTATGTAGGTGGATTTGCAACTCGAGAGCGGTGAGTACTTCTTAAGTGCTGAAATGAAGGCCGCTAAGAAGTGGGAAGCGAAGAAAGAGAAACAGGAGGAAGTATTGGCAGAGAACAAGCGTAAACGAGAGGCAGCTTTCGTGCCTCCAAAGGTGAACCGTCTACTACTTTTCGTATTTATAGACCTGCAGCATAGTCCTGATCTGGTCTCGTCAATAGTATGAGTTGAACCTGAATAGTAAGAGAGTATCGTTGTCCTGCCTAGCCTCTTTGCCTGCAACTCTTGTCAGTGGATCCCTTGTCATGTCTTTGGATACTTATTCTGTCTACCGTCAATTTTCAAGCGACTCGATCGCGGATGTTTTACGGTGGTGTCAGTTTCCAGACATGTGTGCGTGCATTTTGTGACTTTCTAACATCTGTCTGGCGTCGACCAGGAAACGAAGAGGATCGATAAAAGCTCCGATGCTCCCGAGCAAGGGAGTAAAGCTGTTTCGAAGTCTGATATGTCAGCTATGACTGAGTCTCTGAAGGTAATTTCACGCCCTTATTTTCTTCATTAACTCCCATTATTTAGAGGCTGTTGTGATGCATTTGTTTAAACCGTCGGTGGGGCTCTTGCAGAAGAAGGTGAAAGACATCGCAGCCAGTAAAGGTTCGACTGATACGAAAGGTGTGGACGCGTATCTGGCTGCTCCAGGCTCACGTAAGGATTCAAGCAATCAGAAGGATAAGAAGGATAAGAAGAAAAACGTAGAGACGCCAGTAAGTGAAGAAAAGAAAAAGAAGAAGAGGAAGGTAACACTAGAGGACTGACAGGAAAAAATCCAGTAGTCGCAGCTAATAGGTTTGGTGCAGGAATTGAAGAGGTGTACATACCATTCGGTTAGTTAGGATTTGTGAATCAGGGATGACATTTTTGTTCTCATAAATTGATGATAGTTAAATCTTTTATTATAGTTTCTGATGGCTAGATCATCCTTTGTATCGACCTCTTCCTGTTTATCTGAGACGTCCGTGTTGGAAATGGTTACTGATCGTTGCAATTTTTTTTTACTGATATTTCCTTTTCCAACCATTTCATTAACGTGATCCTAAGGTTAGATACATGAGTATCTTGCGAATCATTGTCTCCAGTCGGTGTTTGCACAAGTTGTTTGCTGAGTATTTGATTAAACTGTTGGCTTTTAGCTTTTGACTGAATAACTGGATGCACCTTCAATGTGCTTCCGAGCTACCTAACGCTGTCCATAGTATTTGTTTCAACATGCGTTGTATTTTATCCCCCGGCTGTTCTCAAAGACAGCATTGCCTTGTAACTTTTCCAAGCTAGATGCAAGCTTGCAAAGAAACGATGAGACTTGTTTCTACAGATTGGAATATAATCAAAGTAAAATAACAATCAATTACACATTCTTGAAGTCAAGGACTGGTGGATTTAATCTGAAATTAAATAAACGCATTTCACGAACTAAAGGCTTAAATCTTTTATAGAATAAAAACGGTGAATTCCGTTCTGTGCTTCACCGGAATGGTGTTATCAGCTACAGATACGTGTGGAGGCCAAGCACGTGTCTTTACATAATGTGATTGTGTGTAGAACGTAGTTTTCATGTACGAGAGCATCAAGAAAGTGAATTCTGTGAAGCATACCTTCAGGACGCGAAGACCAGCCCCCGAATCGGCTGCTCTTCTCTCGAGCAGTATTTTCTAAGGGCTGGTCCAAAAACTGGCGGTCCAAAGCTTTACATTATTTTCGCTTGTGTTGAAAGTCAACTCGATTGCTGAATGAGGTGAGCAGTGAAAACTCGTGAAGGAAGTGCTTGCTTTTGCATTTAACTGAAGGTGAAATGAAGAGAACATTTGCATTTCTCTAAAGGTCAGATGTAATCTATGGCAATTCTTCGGAAGCCTGCCGAGGCGTTTGTTAGGTTAGGTAATCGTACCAATATTTCTCTATTTTAGCATCAACATATCATAAAATATATTCATCATAGTAATAAACATGCACAACATTCATGTCATTTTTGAACATATGAAATTACCAAAATTTTCATAAGCATACAGTTAAAAATGTCCATTTTTTAGTGGGGATAAAACATATAATTAGCTTGGAAGGTGTAAAAATAATAATTCAAATGTCGAAAACTATGAATGAACTATGTAATCCCATAAGAAATATAAACTATAAGACCTGGAAAGGATTGCTGCAGTTGTCAATTAAAATCAAATGTCAAATCTAAATGCATAACTGTAAAGACGTAAACTCTTACACATAAATCACATATTCGCAATCATAAGCATTCATTCATAGTTTAAAAATAAATCTTTCATCCACAATCTTGTCCTATACGCTAGGGCAGTCCCATCTGAACACATCTTAAAGCTGTCGGACCGTTGACACCGCCGCGACCAAGAACCGGCCGCCATCGGGATTTGAATGCAGGTGCGATAGCCGTTCCCGTCGCGCTTCGAAGACGGCGCCAAAGATGTGAAATCCGGATGCTCGGAGTTTTGAAATCTGGCGCCTTCCTTCTCGAGCATGGACCGTTGTCGGCGGAGGTGTAAGGGGTGGGGACGACGACCGCGTCAGGGTCGCCCTCCTCGTTCTCCTCGTCCTGCTCTGCTCTGCAGCATTATACAAACATTGTTTCTGCTCGCATACATTCTCTCGTGCGGCAATTAGACGACGCTCGGCCTTACACCTGAACCTGCAGACTGGAATGTTTTGGTGTCAGCGATGGATCGGAGGTCGAGGACTTCGTTTACGGCATTTTTCCGCCTCACGGTAACACGATTCTTGCTACATTTGGGAAGGAACAAGAATCTCTCTTGAACATAAATCCGCATCCTGTCCAGAAAGAATATCGGTGCGTGCGATCATCGGTTTAGGACTTAATTTATGGGAATTTTCCGCCTCTCGATAACACGATTCTTGCTACATTTGGGAAGGCTAAAGTATCTGTCATGAGCATAAATTCGCATCCTGTTCGGAAAGAAATTTGGTACGTCGGAGTAGGACTCAGTTTTGTCAGACCTGCAGATCAAAGGCGAACACAACAAGAGATCTCGACCGGCAAACGACAAGCGAGACGCAAAACGATCAGCAAAACGTCCCCATTTATTCATGAAAAAAAACAGTGTTTGGAGTGACAGCCCTGTCACTGAACACTCCGGAGCACAACACCGGTTCTCGACGTTGATTTCACAAAGATCACATCCCAGCGCTCACGTAAAGCTAGAAGAGGTAGTCTCAGTTCCTATGTTTGCACTGAATATATGGAAACTGCGGCTTGATTCTCCCCTTCCTCATTCACTCCATCGTGCATTCCTGGAGGAAGCATTACAATACACTAGAGTATACTTATACTTTCACTTCATATTCGTATAAATGAATTTCCTAATAAACTAAATCTTTTTGTAGATGTAGTTGGTACTATTGAACCAAGACCCAGAGTAGTGAAGTTTAGACAAGTACTTTCGGAGTTTGAGTAGCGAGTGAAGGTATTAGTCTATTAGTTTGAGTACACTATAATGCTTCTCAAGGAATGCAAGATAGAGTGAGTGATGGAGATATAATTAAGGAATGCAGTATAGATCGAGTGATGGAGATATAATTAAGGAATGCAATATAGATCGAGTGATGGAAATACAATCAGGCCGCAGCTTCTACATTTACACATAACCTGCCCGTGTAGGTGACTACCTCATCTAGCTGTAAGTGATCTCCTGCGAAGACGCTAGGAGGTAGAGTGCGTCAGAGAGCCCACCGATGTCATCCTTCTCGGACTTAAGTTCGACAAGGATGACATCGGTGGGCTCTCTGTACAGACGAGTATCGGATTCGATACAATAGCTGATGGTCTGACAAGTTTACGGGAATTTGCCGTCTCTGGATTACACGATTCTTACTACAATTGGGAAGGCAAAAGAATTTCTCTTGAACATATCCGCATCCTGTCCGGAAAGAAATTCTGGAACTACGCTCGACATGCGGTGGAACAAGGTTTGCTTGCTTTCTTTCTTGCTAGCTCGATTCAGAATTTTGTCTAGGAACATTATGGTGCACAAGCTTCCACAGTCGCAAATGATATGGTCTCTCGCCATAACGCGTAGATTCTGATAGATGCTGAGCTTTTCAGCGGTGTTCAAGCAATGTAATGCTGACATGATATCAAAATTGCAAACGGCTCGTTTTCCATCGAGCCTCGCATTACGGCAGGCGATTCTCAATATTTATTGTGAAACCTGGAGACTGTAGAAGTTGCTCATGAAAAGGGAGATAGGGAGGTAGGAAGCGAGGACTTCCAAAGTTATAAATTCGAAAGTTATTGATGAAGCGTGAGGAAGTGAAGGCTTGAAACCGAACATAAGTATTCATGGAAACAAAATACACAATGACCATTTCATTAATATCATTGTGCTCGTATCTACGCTCCTCGCCTTCCCCCGAACAAATCGGGTTCAGGATTGGCTCTGAAGGTCTTCTTGAAGTGATATTTTAGGCTTTTTTTCGGAATCTCTTCTCATGAGAACAGTAACGAATCCTAGCCCATGCTAATCATAGCAAGTCTCTGCTTATTTAGGAGATGGCGACAAACTTTTCTTCGAGAGTACTCTAATCGACCATTCAGATACTGTACCCTCACTGGTGGCACTCGGCAAGTCGTCTCGCAGCGGAAAGTGTTCGTGCAGAGTTCCTGTTAGAGAGAAAGCTGGCCAGCATTTAATCTGTTGCAGCCCCACAATGGAAGCGAAAGTATCCCAAATCTATGTTCGTGTGTGTTTGGAGCAAGCTGACCATAAGGCTATATCTGAAGCAGTGACCTCGAGCTCCGACCATTTCCTGGAAGCTTACAGAGGGCGGGGTATGTGCAGCTGCCGTTGATCTTTTGACAATGCAGGTGCGGACGGGGTGAAAGTACAAGAAAAGTGCATCAGACTTTATATTGAACAGTTCCTGAGCGAGGTTTCGCTGAAGCAAGCTTGGAGCGCAGAAGGCGAGCGCACTTCGAAAGGATCATAGTCTAAGCAAGATTGAGATAGATCAGCAGACTCGACCGGACATGATCGCCCAGCCTAACCGGCTGCAGATGTATCGAAATTCATGGCAAAATCACGGAAAGCCAGCTCGTAAGCATGAATCCCATGCCACAGTCCATGTCTCTATTCCATCTTACACCTATCTGTCTCATGAGAACTGTAAGCCGTTGCCTAACTGGAAACAGCGCAAATAAGCGAAAAGTAGAATTCTCTTCACTGTTTACTCTTTGACTAATCTCAGGCCGTTTTCTAACTACAGCAGCAAGAGTGCCATATTTAACCTTTCTCGATGCACAGAGGGAGTGAGGTGCACACAGACGCTGACCCTGACAACATCAGTTCTGAGCCACTTGATGAATAGAGGCAATCATACTTGAACTCAGCAGTTCTAAACTTCAGATCGAATCTAAGCTAGATCCGCTGGCACCGTTGTAGCTGGCCATAGAAGTTGGTGTATCGACAGAGAATACTGATAAGGAAGGATGGAGAGAATGAAAGCAGCAAAGTTCTGTCTGTCAGCAATGGAAGAAGAATATTGAGTTCTTTCTCTAAGTAACAAATCAGCTCTCCTTTGCTACTCATCTCTGCTTATAGCTCGCCCGTGACCGTGCAGGTAAGTAGATCGAGAGGCCTTCGCTGCAAGCTCGTACAGGATGCTCTGGAGAGGTATTGTGAAAGACGGTACGTCGTCAAAGCCAGGAATCGAAAAATGGAGGTAGACAATGAAAGAGTCTTCCGAAGGCTCAAATTATGGGCTCCAAGGGCAGTATGTAGAGCCGCTTGGAGTGCAAAATGTGATCAGGTTTGTCGAATCGGGATTGTATCTTAGTATCAGAACTTGCTGGCAGCTGCTCAATCGTAGTCCCTTTGTTTTGAGGATTTACATTTGACGTAGTCCGAGTAAAGACTCACTCTGTCGCTCGTGATTCACTCGGGCATGATCTTCATGGAGCAAGCTTTATCCAAGCACCAAGCACACGCAGACAGTCACAAATGGCCGGAACGAACAACCGATTGCTCCTGATCTCATTCCGAGTCCAGCAAGGTTATTCAATTCAACTTGCACGTTCTGGTGGGATTCGTTTATTGCATGTCACTGATGGTTTAAGGCTTCTGCTAGACAAATCTCGAGCCTAGGCTAGAATTTCTCTGCCACAATTGTCACTGATTAGGACCGGCACATCAACAGATACAGCACTCAGCCATAGATGATCGGGCTTCTCCTCAGCTTTGGGAAATTGATGGACTAGATGCAAATGTCACAAAATTCTCCAGGGATGGACGCCTACTGCCAGAAAACAAGTAAAAAGCCCTTCATCTTAGCGCGTTCAACTTGGAGTGAAAAGAGGCCTCGAGACCTTAACGAAGAAATCAATCGAAGTTCCAGAGATCACCAAAATTAAGTGCGGCCGCCTTCCGACGAAACACATAGACTCAAACCGGATCGCTGCACCCAAAGCTCCTGCATCATGCACACATTCCACTTCCGAGCTGAATCTCGCGCTTTTAAACTCCTGACTCGAATCGGACACCAGACAACTGCCACCACCCTCGACGGTGGAATAAATTGCAAGCAAACTGAACGCAGCAGCGGCGGCGGCGGCCACGGGCCATGCAACGCTCTTCCCTTTCGCCCTCAGTCTCACGTGAATGCAGATGCGAGGCCAGTAATGTCGAATCCAGGATGGGAAACCCCATCGATCATCCAACCGACGCGGTAGGCCCCAAAAGCACCACAATCAACGATCGGACATATATCCCACATATATTCCACATATACTGGAGTATCGAAACAACATTATCTAGCCAGCTCTGTGTGAAGCAATAATAAATGCAAGCAATGTTGGGGTACGTACCGAGTGATATAGCATATAATAGTAATTATATTGTTTACGCAAAATATATTACATAAGCTGTACGTTAAAGACAACAAGTCTGGTAACCCTTTGAAGGAAGATCTCAGAGTCGCCTCAAATGCAGGCCCTGAAAGTAGAGTTGGACTTCACAACCTCAAAGGGGCACGGGGGCATGCCTAGTTCGCATTTTCCATATGAGGCATGCCTGTATGTATAACAAAATTTATAGGTATATTTTAGAGTTATAGATTGTGGGACAAGTGAGGAAATAAAACTGTTTTCACTTGGAGATTCTGCTCTAGTCTGTTTTGGGTTTAAGCTTTCATTTTTGTGTTGATTTATCCTACTTATTGCCTTATTTCCATAGAAGTATATTTTCTGATACGGTCAAATGTACGTATTGTAATACGAGCATGCCCCGAAATTTTTTGTTGTGCCTCCAATTCTACCTGAAAGGAACCTCGAAGAAAGAAATCGAGACCCAAGGAGACCGGAGGGAGGGAGGGAGGGAGGGGAGGAGGGGGCTCGAGCTGCTGCGTCTTGCTTTAGGGGGAGCAGTAGCAGCAGCAGCAGCAGCAGGAGCATTATCCATGTTGCTATTCGGTGCTTGCAACAAGAGGCAGGGCCAGCGAGCCAGCGTGCCCACGTACGCCCGCAATAGATGAGAAGATGCTGCTCTTGAGCTGCAGGAGAAGTCACCGTGTTCCCATGGAAGGGAAGGGTTTAGGGAAGGGCAAGGGCAAGAGAAGGGAAGGGTCAAATCTCCTCCTCTGCCCGCACTCGTCGCTGCTGGTGCTGGTGCTGTTTTGCTCTGCTCTGCTCTGCTCGCCGGGCACGTGTTGTGAAGATGAAGAGTCGACAATTCGACTCTCATTTCCTCCCTCCCCAACTCCAGGCCCTACAGCAGAAAGTAACTTCACGACCGTATGTGCTCTGCATCCATGGCTCCAGAGCACATGAATTTGTGCAGCTACGACCCTCATCTATTCCGGACAAGTTTGTAAACTGCCTCTCAATCTGATGCATATGTCATCATTCATAGATATTCTACATAATAGGGGATAGTCATCATTCACTTAGCACTAATTAGCCCTCGCCATGTTTTGGAAATATTTTGACCAATCAAATAATTACATATAGTAGAGTGAGTGTTAATCAACACTAAGCGAGTGATAACTAGCCGCTAATGTAATTATATAAATCTTATACAAAAATTTAGTAACAAATATTAATACTAGAACAATCCAAACAATAGAATAATCTAAAAGAAATAAATCCTTCCGATAAAAAAAAACTCAGTACCTGAATATGATAATCGATAAATAGAAGGCGAAACTCTTCAACTTCTCAGAAATCTTTGGTACCAAGTCTGTCCAGCGCGTTGGACAGCCAGAAGTTAGCTCTGGGACATTGCTTCCCATTCCGAGCCCCCGAGCGAGCGAGCGAGGCGAGGGACGGCACTTGCTCCGGTCCATTCCGAACCAGTCGACACTGAGTTCTGATTATGGTCGAAAATTATTGTAATTCAGGCTCGTAACTGAGGCACGATCGAATCTGAGCCTGTGCACTTGCACGTACAACATCCGGATCCTCACAAATGGATAAAGAATTTCGGGTCGTGGCCACGAGAGCCCCAGCAGCAGCAGCAAGAGCAAGAGCAAGAGCCCTTCAGCCCAGCCCTGCCTTAGTCTCAGATCCAATAGCCCAATACCTTCTCCCCAGGCCCTCCCTCCCTCAGCTCCATTTGGGATCTTCACATCCACAAACGAAATCCATCCCAACTCAAAATAGAATGAGGACACAGTCACAGTTTAGTATCTCGTTCAGACCGAGCACGTCGGTGAATCAGCTCAGAATCCAGCCTGAGCCATGATATTAATTATTCTCATAACTTTGAGATTCACCGTGCTATTGGGCAGTATACTGTACAACCTGTGCCATGCATGCATGCAAGCGGTGCAAGGTGTGCAAAGGAAAATTACGATTTACGTCCATGTCGCAAACTCACATTTGGTGTAGAATCTCGAGTGAGAATATTGGGGAATTATGATCATGGTGCTTGATATTTACGTGCCAACCTTCACGATGGAGAGGAGAGGAGAGGAGACGAGAGGAGAGTTTCTACATCACGTGAAGATAATATTGTGAAATGTTCAGACGAGCGATGGGAGGAAGAGTGAGGGAGGGAATTGCGGGCCCGGCAGAGTTGTGGACGAGTGCAAGTTGTGGAACTGGAGGCTGGGCTGGCCGACCTCTTCGTGCTTACTCAGCAGCAGCAGCAGCAGGAGCAGCAGCAGGAGCAGAATTGTGGTCACTGTGCTGAGCATTCGACTGTGCAAGATCATGAACGAGGCCGCGAGCGCAGCAGCCGGATCCCGAGCTTCTCTCGCGTCACGACTGCTCCCGAAAAGCTGGATCTGGCGCCATGGCGCCATGGATCATTCCCTCGCACGCAAAAGTGAGTGATTCAGATGTATGCTGTCATAACAATTGTCAAACGACGTCAGCCTATATAGCCCCGTGTGCCTTTCTCCTGATACAGCAGTGCCTTAAGTAGTCGGTGCCTTCGCCTCTTCCTTCTCTCTCTCTCTCCCTCTCCCTCTCTCTTCTCTGACTTTCTCTCTTTCTCTCTCGCAGGTCTCTCAGAGAGAGAGAAGGGGACCTCCCTCACTCAGCCATCACATTGCCATCACATTCAGCCATCTCTTCTGCTTCTCCTGAAGCATGAGACGCACATCCTGCACTTAGCTTCAGATATGCGTCGATCCCTTTGACATTGTCTCCACGTTTTTGCTCACGTGGAGTGCGTTCGGTCTGGTTCACAGATCTTGACACTATCACTCTCGACGGTCTGAGGTAATTCAAGGCTCTCACATTGTGGTTTCTGAGTGGATCGCCATGAGTTTCAGTTTCAGATTCAGTTTCAGTTTCGGAATGCTTTGCCAATGTAGGAGAATTGCATGGAGTCAGATGAATTCGGATCAGCTGGCTGCCACTTGCCCCGTTCACAAGAATCGTGCAGTCCGACCGTCCATGGCAGTCCTGATTCCTAGAGCTCGTCGGTACTGATATCATGCATCTTCTCGTGTGCGCCTGCAGAGTGATCATGATGAATTCCGTGGTCTATGCATTGGCGCTGCTCTGCTGTGGAGCAGGCCTGGCCCTGGCCGGCGAAGGACCGTATGCAGTTTTCTCTTGGACCAAAGCGCATGCCACCTTTTATGGAGGTGATGACGCCCGCGGCACTCAAGGTACCACTTTGCTTTCCATTGTGCCTGCACATGCAATTGCCAATGCTGGACTCGGGTCCTCGATGCCCTCATTCCACCGAGCGATCTCGATAAAATCGAGCACCTAGCGTTGAGATAGTAAATCCATAAATCCTCTCACGATCAGGATCAGAGTCTGAGCATTGGGAGCGGTGAAAGCATAACAGGAAGCTATGGAACTCGAGGACATGGAATTGATGAATGGAATTGGCTGAATTGATGAATTGGGCGGAGTGCAGGAGGAGCTTGCGGGTATGGGAACATGTACACGAGAGGATATGGAGTGAAGACGGTGGCGCTGAGCTACACGGTGTTCAACGAGGGGCTGACGTGCGGAGCGTGCTTCCAAATCAAGTGCGATCTGAGCATGAAGCCGCGCTGGTGCTACGCCAATGGCGGCATCATCACCGTGACCGCCACCAACTCGTGCCCGCCCAACTGGGCCCGCCCGACCAACAACGGCGGCTGGTGCAACCCTCCGCGCGTGCACTTCGATCTCTCGTACCCCATGTTCGCCCAGCTCGCCCAGAAAGTCGCCGGCATCATCCCCATCCAGTACAAGAGGTGACTCCTCCTCCTCCTCCTCCTCCTCCTCTCATCCTCTCCAATTCGTCACAATTTCTCCATGTCTTCTCCATTTCTTCCATTATATTCGCCATCCCCAGCACCGAATTCGTCTTCTTTGTTTCTTTGAATGGAATTGGAATAGGAATTGGAATTTGGTCGAGCAATGTGGTGACGGCGTGGGGTGATTGGGATCGAATGGAATTGGAATTGGAATTGGAATTGGAATTTGGTCGAGCAATGTTGTGATTGGGATGGGGATTGGGATGGGGATTGGGATGTGCAGGGTGAAGTGCGTGAGGAGCGGAGGAATTCGGTTCACGATCAACGGGAACCCCTACTTCAACATCGTGCTGGTGCACAACGTGGGAGGCTATGGAAACGTGGTGACGCTGTACATCAAGGGCACGAACAGCCCGTGGTTCAAGATGAAGCAGAACTGGGGCGCGAACTGGGAGGATCACAACAAGCTCACGAACCAGAAGCTGTCGTTCAAGGCCACGCTGGGCACCGGCGAGACCATGATCTTCAAGGACATCACCGGCACCTACTGGAGCCACGGCCAGACCTACGAAGCCAACAACAACTACTACTAGTCGCAGCAGCAGCAGCAGCAGCACCCACCCAGCTCGTCCGTCGACTCCATATTCATCTGTCACTCGTCAGAACTCGAATTTGCCTCGAAGAATTTCACAGATCGGTGAATTCATCCGATCTCCGCCGAGGATAACGCGGCCCGTGTACCGTCCCTCGATCGATCGATCGACGAGAAGGGTCGAATAAAAGATCATAAGCGATCGATGTCCCGCGAATTCGTCGTCTCACACGAGCTCGGGACGAATCATCGTATTTAAAAGAACAGATTTTAGCTGTAGGATCGTCAGCTGGAGGCGAGGGAGGCGGTCCGCTGAACTAACAAATGATCTCTTTGTCAGGTCGAAGATTTTGTGGCGACTGTCGAGCCAGTTTAGAGCTTGCCTCGGGCCCGAAAGAGCCCGAAATTTAACTTCTTTCGCTTCCATTCATTCCTTCCTTCATTCCTTGATTTAATTGTGCTCCTCGTCTCGTCTCGTCTCGTCTCGTCTCGTGGAGCATTCGTTCACTCCTGCTCCGAGCTTTTTGCCTCCGCCTCGGCAGGACCGTGTATTTTATTTCTTCTATAGCCTTGAAGATTAAAAAGTTTGATGGGCCTCGTCCCCATTCATGGTCTCTCGTCTCTCTGTCTCTGTCACTGGCTCATGATAATTCTGATGTCTCATACATTTGCATCCTTCATGGGCTGACTTGCTCTTCTTCTCGAGATGACTTGAATTTCGTGATTTGATTTCTCGATGGGAAACACAAATCATCCAAATCTTCCAAATGTTGTTATTCACGGTTTTATGTTTTTTCAATCTTCGTTGCAAGGTTTGAAATCTTGTAGCCTCAGATTGTAATGAGATGAATTGATTGTGCGTCTCATTTCACAATGCAAGCGAATAAAACAAATTTTTTTGGGGGGGATATTCCTGTGTTATTTATTCTTGTATCCTTTTAATTGGTTGGTTTCAAAGTCTCTGATTGAAAATACCACAAGTTTATTGTTTGTGTGTGGATACATTTGGTATTTAACGAGCCAAATTTACTTGTGTTCATTTTACTCAGATTGATTCTCATGATTCTTATACATCGCATATGCAATTATAGTTAGTTTCTCAAAGATTACTAGTCAATTTCGATTACTTTTTTCTTAAGAAATGAAAGATCACATCAAGCTGCAGAGAATTTTACCAACAAATTCAACAAATTCATAGACTAATTTCTATGATTTATGATATGATAAATTATTGCATATTCTTCAAGACATCTCAAAATATCCATAAGTTTAAGGCATAACATCTGAGTTGAAGAATAGAGCAACACTCTACACTTGAAGATGCTTGTAATTTGACTGCTCAGTTTTTATGCACATTAGAATTTTCCCTAGATTCTCTTTCTGGATTGTATGATAATTAGCTCTCTAAAACCTTGTCATATGCAATGACTTTAATTAATTTGAGAAATTTTTATCCTTTAAATGTATCATATCTACGTACTCCAAGAACATGAAAATATGATGAAATTAGACGATGAAATTTCGTTCCAGCTAATGTATAACTACCATTTATGGTCATGATGTCACATGTTACTCTAAACGGTTGAATGCAAGCAATCATAGCACTTTCCAAAGCAAGAGTTCAAGTTTTTTCAAGTAAGGCAGTTCTCACCTATGTGCAATCGAGATTGATAAATTATAATCATTTAGTTTTGTATTATATCTTCAATTTCTAGATCCCTTTATTATTTTCTGACATGTCAGTATTAATTAAATGAAATATAAGAAAATTAAAATCATTATTCGTTTATAATGTACAATCATTTGCGTCGTAAACCAGGTTCAGTTACCACAGACACCTGTCGAACATTCAATCTGGCTTCTCTATGGATCATCATTCAACATGCTTAATTTTCTACAAAGAGCTCCTATCTTATTTTATCATGTTATAAAAGTGATTATTGTCACATTCTTAGGTTTATTACTGAAGCCCAAGCAGTCCCTCAACTAGAGTGCTTTGCACCTCTCCTTTCCCATATACAATATACGTGACAATGGTTGCCAAAGGCCCAAGTTACATGGAATTTTTTCGAATGCTTAATTGTCAGCAAGAACGTATGTTCGTTTCTATCAGAAGAAGGATCTGAACCCAAATTTGATGGCGCAATGCTGCCCAATCAATTCAAAAATCTCGTAAATCAATCAATCAAGTACATGCATCTGTTACTTGCTCGAGATTGGAACAATCATTCGCTAGCAGAGATCATCTTCTGGATAAAGGTGCGATGACTCCCACTCATGGTGTAGAGGCAGACTGTGTACGAATTTGGATCTAACCTTGGTAAGCGCTAAGCTTGACACAACATGCCGGATGGGCGATCTGAGAAGGGTCATGTGGAATAATAAACACTATCTAATTCCCTTCACCAAGGATTCTCTTTGGACTGAGGTCTCGTGCTTAGACTGTGAAACAACAGTCACAAGTTTCACAATCTTCCATCAATTGAACGCAGTAGTAAGAGGGCAGCATAAGAAAAATACAAGTGCTTCTGCAAAAGCTTTCACGAGAATCTGAATTCTGTTTGTCAGTGATTCATGTTTGTCATGTTCACGGAGGAGGTCTGAAAAATATCACGACGATAATTTGAGCAACTTTGGCACCCTAAGAAGCGAAAGACTGGACAATACGAACGTGACCTACAGTCAGTGAGATGATTAGATCAGTTTGTTGGCGTCCTGATGACATGTCCCTACAGAGGCATCCAAAGGTCAAGCATCGAAGTGAGACTGGTTTTGGATGTCGAGAGGAACAGCAAAAGCTGGAAAGGGTAATTCGCTGAAACAGATAAAAGAGACAAATCCATCTCCACTGCTGAAGTTAACAGAGGAAGATTGCTTTGCACTGGCTGGACAAGACAGGAAAAGGACAATGCTCTTGAGATCAAACTGATCTACACGAAAGTGCACTAAATGCAGTGTCACAAATTTTATAAGTACATTGGTATACATGGACTTGGTATAGCTTCTAGAACCAAATGGCGAAAATGCCAGAGAATTTCCTGCAATCTAGCTCAGTACAGATCAACGAAAAGCATCTGAGCACGTGAGGCCACGACGACGCTACTCATTCTCTCTCTCTCTCTCTCAGTATGGTACATCTGAGGTTCCGATTCTCCAACTATCACATGGGCTTCCAGGGCTGTTTACACCTGAATTCAATGTTTAATGAAATTTCTCTACTGAACATGGAAGAAGTTGTTCCCTTATTTGCTTGGTCCTTTCTTCTCACCACCTCCCAAATACTTCCAAACACCATAAGCAGCCGCACCTCCAAGAAATACTCCTACAGTCGGGGTAAAGATGGGATATATCACCTTGATCATAAATTCATCCCACTCCTGGGGTAGAAAACCTGTGCAAGAGAATTGAATGGTGAAGGATATCCCTCCGTTCATCAGTGTTATGTACAAGACGTGAATCTAGAGACTGACAGAAAAAAGATACTGACCTGCTTGCAATCATGTGAAGAACCCGAAGGTAGAATATCGTTCAAAAATGACAAATTCTTAATAAAATAAAGAACAAGAATCGTAGCTGGAGGGAACTTGAACCTGAAGCAGCCAGACCGATGCCCTCGAGAATGATGAGAGAAAACACGAAAACCAGGGCCGCAACCGCGCCCGTTTCGAACTGCTTGGTTTCCTCATCCACTTGATTTCCCAGCAGAGGTTGCTGCGGAGGAGCCCGTCGAGTGTTTGACGAAGGAGCGGACGATGAAGTTTTCTTTTTCTCTGTCACGGGTTTAGGAGCTCCAAATCCTTTGGCCTTAACATTCGATTCTTCTCGGGTACTTGCGTTCTCCTGCGTGCTCTCGGTCTCCTCTCCGACTTGCGCAAAAACTCTCACACTCTCCAATCTCCTGACCCCATCTCCTTGAGCTGGTAAGAGATTCTTTACCTGAGAAGAAATCAGAAAAAAACACAAACGACTTCAGAAATTCATCACCGATTTGATTTGTCACAAACCCAGAACAGCATCCAGTTCGGAAAGAGATCGAAATTCACATGAAATCCAAAACATTCTTCCCGACATACCTCGATTGATGATAAGGATCCGATAAATGGCGCGGGCGAGAATCTGAGGATGTTAAATTGTTGAAATCTATTTCTCGAGAGCAAATGTGAAGAGCATTCAAAATGTCTCGCAGTCCTCGGCCTTCCCCGGAGTTGTACCGTCGCTCCTCCGTGACCCACGAGAGCTTCCATGACGCTGGAAGTTGAAGCGCAGCTGCAGCGAGAGCTTGAACTTCTGAAGCAGAAATCGAGAGCTCGAATCTCGCTCGCTCGTTGGCCAAATCAGCTCTCAGAGAGTAATGGATGAGGTGACGACGACAACCTGCAGTAGTAGGTCCGTCTCTCCGCTTAGTAGTCTACCTCTCTCTGATTAGAACCGGCTGTCATCTGATTTCTTCCCCTCGCATCCCTTCCTACCGGATCTGCCGGTCACGAGTGGTAGGCATGAGAACCAGGAGGGGAGGAAAAGTGACTCGTCACTGGAGGTGCTGGCGTTGGCTTCCGACCGAAAGACTATGGAAGTCAGCCCCTACCTTCTCTCGACCATCGATCTAAGTTTGCATTTGAGATTTGGACAGAGATTCGTAGTCCTGGTCTAAAGCCCGACTCCGAGCAAACGCTCTCAAACAGCACTTTGTCAGGTGAAGGATCAACATTTCAATTTTTTTGTGATTCCCACTCACAGTTTTGATCAACATTCTTGGTGAGATGGTGGTAAAGTCAGAGGTGACTCTATCACCTTCTCGTTTCAATCCCCACGTGACTTTGCTTGCACCGTTTTATACCTCCAAGGGCAGGACACCACGTCCTTTAAGCCATATGTGAAGTGAAAATGTGAATGAATATGCACTACAGGAGTTTTGAGTGCCGGAAACTGGTCTGGGAAGGTTTAAATCCTTCCCATACTTCACTAGTCCAGTCCTCATATCAAAGCTCGTAAGTGACGTATATGTGCAAAGGTCATGTATTGCGGAAATGAAGAGATGGATCTTTCTGTATGTGTCGAAAGTCTCCAGTATCTTTTCTGTTTTGAAGGATTCAAGATTCGGGAGTTTTCGTGGCAGTTTTTCCATGTCATGACCGGTCACAATGCATTCCAAACCAATTGACTCGACGGAGGTGATGCAAAGTCGTGTGTTTAATTGTATGAATTTATGTTACAACTGGAATGTGAAATGAATAGACGATTAAAACCACGAAGGAAATATATCTAAACAGCTATGGGTGTTTTTGGGGCTGCCCTCATTTTCACGACACCATTACAGCGTTCACAAAGTGTGGAATGTTCAAGCGTTCCTACTGCTTTAGAATAATTCCAGCACCTCTCGCACTTGGCACCATCAGCACGAGATATCCCAACCCATAGATCGCCATATCCCTCCATCACAGAGCTGCCTGAGTAAGGAAGGTTCATGCTCTCACCGTCGCTTTTTGAAACAGCTTCGACCTGAAACACATGACCAGATCTTTCGTTTGTCAGCCATACTAATTTCCTTCAATTCCTCTATATGAACTTTTCACCTTGAGAGACATTATCTATTCTCCTAGTACTCTAAATCTATAAGAAGGAATGAAGAACCTTCTTAGTGCACTAAGATGAATATGTTGACATCCTTGACTTGTTTCACATATTTGAACCAAGCCTTCTATATTGAAAGAATGCATGCATTCTTCTAAGCCTCTCCTGAATTAAATAAGTAAACTAGGAATCATGCTAAAGAAAAAATCACCTGAGATGTTAAAAAGATTCTGTTGAGGCTATCCACTCCTTCTACTGATCCTGTCAAACCCTGCAGACGTTGATGTAGTTCCTGATTGGAGGAATGGACGTATACTTTCGCTTCAAGGCTTGCCCCTACGAGCTTGCCAGTTCTCGCCTGTTCCAAAACTCTATTCACTTCGTCGCGAACCTGAACACAGATGAAAATATTCAGCGTGTGAAAATATTCTGCTAAAAACGCCTCAGCTTTCAATCTTCTGCCTCAGACATCTATTTGTCCAAAGATTCTAAAACTCAAAACGGATCTGATCTGAAGTACTTAGCCACTGGCCGAGTGAATAAAAGAGACGGCTGCAAATTTATGAGACATTTAGACACTCATGTAACTCTACTTAAATCGCAATTTGGATATTGTTTTTATGTCATTTTTGTGACTAGCGATTTGACTATAAAACGATGAAGTAAGGTACCAAACCTGCAAAAGAGCTGCCCAGAACTTCAAATCTGATTCTGGTACGGATTTCCAATTTTCCTCCACTTTGGGCCATGCGGCTTCAAAGACAGTTTCTGCTTTTATATTCTTGTCGTCGTAATAATCAAACGGAAGATTTTGCCACACATCTTCTGCCATATGGGGCATCACAGGTGCAATCACTCGAACTAAAGATAGAAGGAGAGCTGCAAGTACAGTCTGGCAACTCCTCCGTGTATAGCTATCTGTGCCACTGCAAAAAGAAGGGTTGTTTCATGTTTCAATTCACATGTAGAGCAGAGAAAGGTAAAGAGGCAAAATTGTCAAATAAAAAATCAGCTAGAAGGAGTACATTGTGCTTTGGAACGTACCCGGTGTAAAGTCGGTCTTTAGCGATATCAAAATAGAAATTGGACAAATCAACGACAGCAAAACGCTGCACCAGCTGTTCATCAGAGAGAGCAAACAGGTGAGACATGTAACATACTACCGTGGGAAAATTTTTGAGTAGTTTTATGGATTTGCTTAACTTTCAGCACTGAGAGTGGTAAAAGCTCGAACCTGAAAAAATCTGTAGAATTGAAAATTGTCAAAGCTTTCTGTTGTCCCATCCACCACAGTAGACAACTGGTAGAGGGCATATTTATCAACATTTGGGAGGTCTTCATATGCCACGGCCTTCTCCGGCTGGAAAATTGAAATTATGATACTCAGTTTTTTCATGAATAAGAGTACAATGACGAATGATCCTTGAGTCAAGGTATATAGAACGAACACGTGCATAACTGAAAGAGCTGAAAATACCGCTTACTTCGGAATCAATCTGTTCGCAGCCTGATTGGCATATGGCACGATAATGTATCTCTAAAATGCTGTTGAGTAGAAGGAGGTTGATGATACCTGATAGTCATGAAGATTGGACAAAAGATATCTTAAGGTCCCTCTAAGTTTGCGATACACATCAGAAGTCTGCCTTATAATCTGAGGGCCAATCATGACGTCCCCGGTGTAATCCACACTAGCTACCCATAGCCGCAAGACGTCAGCACCGTACCCTGGCTCTTCCTGTTTGCAGAATAAGGAACGTAAGTCGTGAGACCCAAAGCTCTCCTTATGTCAATAGATTATAAGGTACTCTTTTGAGTATAACGTTTCTCGATAATTGGTACATAACACTAAATTGGATCTCCCTTTGCGTGCGGCACTCATAAGCGCAAGCAGCTGGTGACAAGTAAAGAGACAAAACAAAAATTGACATGGGCTGAGTGTGAAGGAGAAAAAGAGCCTAGTTACCTTGGCATTCTTGCCTCCTTCAATAATAGTTCGAGGGTCAACAACATTTCCGATAGATTTGCTCATCTTCATGCCCTTATGATCGAGGACAAACCCGTGGGTCAGAACTCGCTTATAAGGTGCACTCCCTGCATGGATGAAGGACGAGAAGGTTAAAAAACATGCCTTTTCGGCAAAACAAATGCTCGTACTTCTCACAGCAAAGAATACTTGTCATATACATTCAACGCCCTATTCAGCGGACAACGTCGTTACAGGAATGTGCAGCCAGTGTCTGGAGGACTCAGTCGCATTTCGTTATCGAGCTGATAACGAAATGCACAGAAAGACCGCCTACGCAAATGCATGCACAAGTGCATCAGGTAAAGGGAAATTGATATCGGAATATAATATTAGACGATAGTTGCTGATTTAAAAACTCCATAAGCAAAACGTGGAAGTTTCCACTTGAATAAATACGACCAGCTTATACATGGCAAACATTACCCTTCGTTGCAACACTGGTGAGGAGTGAACTCTGAAACCACCCTCGATGCTGATCACTGCCTTCTAAGTAGAGATCAGCTGGCCATTCCAGACCATCTCTCTGATTTACAACAGCTGCCCAAGATGACCCTGAGTGAACAATATTGAACCATCCATTCGTGAGAAACCAAACAGACCTCTCAATTAGGCATAAGGATCAAAATTTCATTAATAGATCTAAACCCAATGGTCGACTGCGTCAGCCAGTACTATAATGCGGAGTTCATGACTCAGTTCCAGACCAGCTGATCAATTCTTTTAATCTTACAGAGGGTCCTCGTGAAAATAACTAGTAAGCAAGGTTTTGAAGTTCCTCACCCGAATCAAACCATACATCCATAGTGTCCATGCCTTTCCTGTAATTTGAAGCCTCCCCACGATACTTTTCCGGCAAAAGGTCCTCGTTACTCATGTAAAACCAGGCGTCGCTACCCTTTTGCGCAATAATAGCTGAATATCATAAACATCCAACCGTGAGCTTCATTGTCGTCCTCCACTATATCTTCTGTGAAGTCTTCACAGTTGCAATGTAATAAGCGGTTTACGACCATGCTTTTTCCTTTCTTCCAGCGACATCTACTGCTACAAGTGAGGACTTGTCATGACAAGCAATGTTAAGTCAACATTTCATGAGGACATCTTGTCTTTCTTCTGAAAGGCATGCTCAACCAGTCATGTTGAGTCTACAATTAATGAGGACATGTTGCACTGTCTTGAGACATGCTCTACACGAAACATAACAACCTGTTCGTATACTACTGTTTATGAAACAACCGAAAGTTTCTTCACTTGTTGGCGCTGGGGCCTTGCAGGTCAGCTCCGTTGCTATCACGCGACATGTTGTCCTTCACACATCAGTATGAGATAGACGGGTTCCAAACAGAATATTTGAGGACACAGTTTGACATGAACAGATAATGGAGACCCTTCGAGGATAAATATCTTACACTGAATGTGACTGATTGTTTCTTCTGTCATAAGCGGTTCACCCGAATCAACATGGTAGAAGACTGGAATAGGAACACCCCAAGCTCGTTGTCGTGAGATACACCAGTCAGATCGACTGACCGTCATGGACGTTATCCTTTTCTCACCCTGCACTCATCCGTTACTGTATGAGGAACCTCTTAAAATATCCACGAAGAGAAACATGTTCTTGTGCAAGTCAGTGAGTCACATTCCGTACATACAATTCGTAGTAGAAATACATAACAAATAAACTATCAAGATTCGCTCTTGGTCCAATTATCCCTAGGACAAGACCCCTATGTGCAGACAAGTTCGTTAAATCATAGCATCCGCTTTCTAAAATCGCTTTAAGCACAAAGTCATGTCCGCTCCCATGACGTTTGACAACAAAAGACGGTTCCAAAATCAAGCGGAATGATTTTACCAGACTGCCACGTTCTTTACAAGGAAATATAGCATATACTAGCTGGAACATGCTGCGGAAGACAAACGTGAACTGGATCTATGCAAGAATCGTCTGGTAGCAGGTAAGAAAGGTTGATCGATAAACTTGAATTTAATGAAAAAGACTCACCACTGCGGGAATCCATTGAACCTCTGCAATCGCTTGGAGGGCAGCTTGGCGGAAACCCTCGACAGAAGCAAACCATTGCTCAGTCGCTCTGAAGATAGTAGGCTTCTTCGTTCGCCAGTCGTATGGGTATTTATGAACTGCAAGATTTGGTCGTATGGAAAATCTTAGTTAGGAGAAAGCTTACTGCAGATCGGCACAACACAGAACAATCACTTGCAATAACAAACGCCAGTGTATTCTGAAAGTTTGAAAGCTCATCTCTTGTTGCAGACTTATACTCAGTGCACACCCACTCAGTAGTTATCTACTAGCCGGCATCTCCAACCAGCCATTCCTCCGCTTCCCCGAAATACAGGCAATTTGCTATGAATGGAGAATTGCCTCAAACAATGCATCGCAGCTTTCGTGAGCATGCAAAGTATCCATATAACTGTGGCGCCAGTAAAGCACCGAGAATCACCATATGGCTCCTCCATCAGCAGAGAATCATTCTCATCTAGAGCCTCCACCATTGCTAGATTTCCGTCTCCCAGTACATTCAAACCCGCATATTTTCCAGCTTCTTCGGTGTAGTTGCCGTCATCATCGACAGGGGACAGCAACGGAAGACCATATTTCTGCCCGGTAATATAATCCTCTTGACCGTGACCAGGAGCAGTGTGAACTAAGCCAGTTCCTGTTTCGGTGGTAATGTAATCACCACCAATAACAACTGGACTCTCCCTATCCTCCAAAGGGTGCGTGTATCTGTAATAAAAGATTCGGCAATCAGAGTAAATACAAGCCTTGTAAAATTCCACCATTTCGAAATGTTGAAGACAAGATAAAAGTCTCTGCCTTGAAGCCACGACATTTTCAGAGGCTCCTGAGAAAATGAGAGCATTGAAATATCATCCCCTCGTGTTTTATGAAAGGGTAACTACGGACCTTCTAGTGGCATCCTTGTTTATGGACGGGCTTTCAATAGACTTATGATCTTGCTGATGTTCTGTTACATCTCTGGTATTATTCTTTCAGAAATAATGTGACTGTATTTTAAGATACAACAGCATCAAGAACTGATAGATCGTTGCAACACAACACATAAGAAATGTAGTCACCTGCTTAGCTCCAGCGCTGATCCAGGGAATGTTCCTTTGATCTCAAGTTTAACTCCCCATTTAGATTCCAGAGTTTTCACCAAGTCTGCTGCAACGACCAGATATCGGACTTTGGGATCTGCCAATGCAGAGCCGATTCTTTTCTTTCCTTTCCCGCTCTTTGCTGACTCACTTGCCTCGTCTCCCGTCGCAGCGTTGGGATGTACTTCAACAACTGCGTAGGTCAGCTTATCGTTCACTGCGACAGCTGCATCGACAGAAAAAATGTCAACGGAGATTCATTCGCAGCCGGACAAAGAGTCAAGATATTCCAGCGATGTATGGATCAGAATAGATATCAGCCACTTAGACTTACCAACCCACCCCACACCACCCCCAAGCTGACACCCCATGATTACATTATTATTGCGACGAGGTTTTGATCAAATGACCATTCAAAGCAAGCAGCCACAAACCCAGACTGCTTGTCAAAGATATACGGCTGTAGCACATACCAGCATTGCCTAACATCGTCCAGGGAGTAGTGGTCCATATAGCCACACCCAGACTAGGGAGAAGTGATGTTAGCTCCTCTGGGAACTTCTCGCTCAGATGTGTCATTTTGAAGACAGCGTATATGCTGCGTGATGTGTGACCTTCAGGATACTGCAGGTTATCATTTTGTATTCTCAGCTGACGCAGTTCAAGTTTCAACCAGGCGATGCATAGAACTTTTTGCTGAAAGGACACAATGCGAGAGAAAGAGGCTGGATAAAATTGCAGATATGATTTATTCAGCCTCTTTTCCTGCCATCAAGAGGATCTCAAGTTCTTGAAACTCTACCTCAAGCTCGGCTTCAGCTAAGGCAGTGCGGGATGATGGGCTCCAGTGTACAGGTTTCCGACCCCGATAAATATGGCCATTCAATATCATCTGACCAAAAACTCCTATCTGTGGAGGCAAGACACCAAGAATGCAGTTCAGATCCCGTGACGAGTAAGAAAAAGTTTAAAAAAGAGACTAATCTGTCGTCGTTCTGCTCAGAGAGAGTTTCGAATCTACCTGGGCCGCTTCATACTCTGGACTTAGTGTGAGATAAGGATTCTCCCAATCTCCCCATACACCGTAGCGCTGTAGTAAGAGAAACAAAGCAAGGAAAGGTGAATACCAAATTGGACATCAATGTAGGCCTCTCAACCCTGTCCATCTCAAAATCTTTCAGACCATTCCGCAAGTTACAATCTTCTGCCATCCTAAGGTTGTTATCAACAGGCGAAAAACACCCAAAAGTTACTACGCATACCCAGTATAACTGTAAAGTCCACAGAGTTCTTAATCGTATTTTCGGCCGCATCTTCAAATTTTCAAGTTGATGCGGAACAAGACAAGGATCCAGAGGACAACAAAAAATGAAAAGTTACCTTGAATGCTTTGCGCTGTTGATCTACAGTCTTCATAGCAAATTGAGCAGCCTTCTTCCGGAGCTTGATTGGTGTCAGCTCTTTCCTAGCTTCCGCGTCCATCGACTGCAACACTGCAAGCAGAAGGGCAAGATGCAAGTTCATTACACAGATCACAGTATAATGGCAACATGGAAGCTTTTAGCGGCCAATATAAAAATTGCGTAACTTATCATAACAAAAGAAATCCATTAGATCACACACAAGGAGAAGGGATATCCTGTCTGAACTGATACATGAAACTGATGCACTGTTATAATAGTCTTGCCATCACACTAAACCATCGTAGCCTAAAACAGCACAGCAGTGAAAAATAATGAGCTAAAGCATACATATGTCCCGGCAGAAGCGTCTAAGACATCACTCACCTTTGAGCTCAATTGGTAGACCATGACAGTCCCAGCCAGGCACAAATTTTACCTTTCGACCTTGAAGAAGCTGCTCAAAAACGTTAACAAAAGACTCTCCTTTAGCTCTTCAAAACTTAGAAGCATATAGAATTGTGGTAACTAATATTCTTCTCAGGTTTGACAATTGATCGTGCTAGCAGGGAGAAGAATTTCTCGGAGGAATATGCCCCCAGGAGATAACATACCTGATAACGATTAATGAAGTCCTTGAGGATTTTATTCAATGCATGTCCACAGTGCAAATCTCCGTTCGCGTAGGGCGGCCCATCATGGAGAGTGAAAGTTTCCTGATTAAAGTTGCCCACGACGCGTCAGCAACGGGGCCTACGGGTTGCTGTCTTTCCATAAATTGACGCTTTCTCTACAAATAAAATGGAATATCTAGCTAAAATCCTCCTCAAGGTCAAAACGAACAAACGGAGAGAAGTTGTAGACTTATACTTACGCCAGCATTTTTTTCCAAAAGCTTTTGCAAGACCTGCTTTTGCTCCCACAACTTTTGGATTTCTGGCTCCCTTGTCACTGAATTGGCCTTCATGCTGAACTTGGTCTGTGGCAAATCCACAGTCTCCTTGTACTGGCTGTCTTCCTGTAGTCCACCTGCGAGAAGTTGGGCAAATCCCGACGTGCCACTCACACCCGATTAGTACGATCGTTCATTACCCTGTGAAAAATCATTCATGTCAGTCGAATTCTCGCCAATCAGAAGCCCAAAGATATGAGGCAATCTATCTACGCCTGCTCTTTCTAGAAAACGGTACCTCACCTTCAGCGGACTTCTTGGCAGCCATAATCGGTCCTCGTGCCCTTCTCTTGGATCCAGCTGGATAATTCGACTCTAAACAAAAGCCTCTTAGAGACACAAATTTCGTCGAAGAAAAGGTTTGAGGTAGAAGGCGTTGAGTAAACCCTGTGTACGGGCTCAGCCTTCTTGACGTCAATAATTCGGTCGCCATTGCTACGCCCCGGCATGGTCCCTGCACCTGCAGGCATATCAACAATTGAGCACGGAACGTCTACCCAGAATTACGTCCCCTTGCCCTCTTCTGTTCTCCCCCAGTCCGCCTCTGCTAGAATAGGAGCTCTTCAGCAGATAGGGACTCAAATCCGAAACCAATTTCCGTGAGGAAGATCTTAATTACGTCGCAGGGGTTTAACGACAGTACATTTTCTTCTCCTAATCAGATTGTAGTGGTTCTTTTCGTCAAATGGCCAGAAATTTTGATTATTTCCCCGTGATCGGATTTCGCTGACTGACAAACTTCCGATGCCAAGATTGAGAATTAAAGTTAAAATTAAAATCGCACGAGAAGACGATGGAGGGCGGGAACGAGAGCAGAGCGTCGCGGAAGATGGACGACTGACCTGCTGGGCGGATGGGGACGGGAAGCACGAAAGAGACCGGCAGCACGCGGAGGCCAGCCTCACGTCCATGGCTGCAGCTCTCATCTCGAGGCTCGGGCGTCGCTGGGGGCCTTCTTATTCCACCACTTTCTTTTCTTGCGCTGCGTTCATTATCCACTGGCGTCGTCCATTCCACCTCACCTCCCGCGCCTCCAGAGGCTCCACCTCCTCCCGTGGCCTTGGCAACGAGAGACTGACGACGAGACAAACACGAGAACCCCAGCACCCACGAGAGCCCACGCTGCCGCGCCAACCATGGTCACTAAACTACGGTTAAGCCTGACTCGACTCCCCCTGCCCCCATTTTATTACTTTATTCGAGTTTTTTATTTCTGTTGTGAAGTATGGACGCCACTTTTATTCGGAGCACTATTTTAGTTGGGAGCGACGAGTGTTGCACAAGAGAGTATTAGTGGTGATGATTTCATCTCACGAACCAAAGGAGAGGAAAGCATGACTTGGTTGCGGATACACGAGCTCTGCCGCTTCGCCTTCGAAATTATAGTTACAAATTCTCAAATTGTACCAAGTGAAGAATGTGCTTTTGAAACCAGGTGGCTATGCATGGATGCGTGAGAATTGCATAATTGGGGTCTTCTTATTGTACTGGAAGCGTGACTTGTTGTTTGAGATTACTAGAGGCTTGAATTGAATGGCATGATACGCATGATTTGCACATGTGTTCGGCACTTTTTTCTATAGGATTTATATTCGTGTGAGATTTTTGATATCTACATAATCCTGTCAATGATAGTTATGTTGTATTGGCTGACCAGTAAATCTCTCCATGTTTTCATTTGGTGATGGATACTTCCGGACACATAAACATGTCGTCCTGGCTGCGTCCATAGCGCAATGTATACCAATTGTGGTCCTTTTTATTCAAAGAAGCCTTTGAAATGATACCATATAATGACGAAGTTAAAGTTCTGAAATACCCTGGAAGTGTTCTCACAACAATAAGTTGAAGTTTGTTAAATAGAACTATGATGTTAAAAAAAAAATTTTATATATGATATATTACTTCACAAAACGATATATTTGACAAGCTCGAAGATAGGTTCATGTAAAATGTCAACAATTTGAGAAATTTTAGAATTGAAAAAACAAAGTTCACTAAGAAGATAACTTTGCAAATATCAGATATTGTTTATTACAACATTGTACGAATTACATATTATCAAATTGATACAATACAAAGAATATGATGTGTATTAACCAGTTAACCAGTTCTTATTGATTGAAACAGGTCACAAAACTTTGCCACGTTTTTATTTGGCGCTCATAGTGCTTCTTCAATCATATATAAGAAAGAACATCAACACGCACAAAAAATTGGCTGGAATCTCACGTCGGTAACAGAAATATTATTGCAATGTACGAAGCTAGCCTGAAAAGTATCAGTCTGGCAGTCTCATCGTCTCTCATGAATCTAGAGCTTAGAAAAATCACACAATTTGTGGAGCCATGGAAAGCAATAATGATATATTATACTAATTATAATGATTGAAAAAATAAGAAAAGACATATGATCAGATCTGCAATTCCTGAGCTAAGTACAAGCGTAGCCTCAGATGTAAGCACGCAGATTGCGAACCAGCTAGAGCAGAACAGCATTCTAGAAAGCTGGACTTCAAGTTCAAACTAATTGGAGAAAGCTCCGGTGCTGTCGGGCAATTCATAACGAACCGTGTCACGGGAATCGCTGCCAACATCGCGTACAGAATACTGTAATCAATTAATTTGGTCCTCAAGATCGTGCCTGCCGAAAGAGCTCGAGAGCGAGCTTCGTCCGACGAGTTTTCCAATCTCTGCGAAGGATTTTGGACAGTCTCGAGCCTACGCGGCGATGGCGCACGATCGGAGACTGGGAAAAATTCTCCGAGCACCAGATGATGACGTGGAGTGCTGTAGATCGAAGGGAATGGGAGAAAGAGCAGTGAAGGAAGGCGCATCTGACCCTCGCCACCGTCTATCCAGCACCCAGGTCTGCTCGCGACGAGCCAGCAACGGCCAGGGGACGACCGAAGGGCAAGAGATCGGACCGGCCGGCTCGGGACTTGCGGTTCATTTCTTCTTGGCGGCCGCCTTGGTGACCTTGGCGCCGGTGGGGTCCTTCTTCTCGACGGCCTTGATGACGCCGACGGCGACGGTCTGGCGCATGTCGCGCACGGCGAAGCGACCCAGAGGCGGGTACTCGGCGAACGTCTCGACGGTCATGGGCTTGGTCGGGACCATCTTGACGAAGCCGGCGTCGCCGTTCTTCAGGAACTTGGGCTCCTTCTCGATCTCCTTGCCGGACCGCCGGTCGACTTTGGTCAGAATCTCGGCGAACTTGACGGCGATGTGCGACGTGTGGCAGTCGAGCACCGGCGCGTACCCGTTGCCGATCTGGCCCGGGTGGTTCATGATGATGACCTGCGACGTGAAGTTGGCGGCCTCCTTGGCCGGGTCGTTCTTCGAGTCGGACGCGACGAAGCCGCGCTTCAGGTCCTTCACCGCGACGTTCTTCACGTTGAACCCGACGTTGTCACCCGGCAGGGCCTCGAGGAGAGCCTCGTGGTGCATCTCCACCGACTTGACCTCCGTCGTCAGGCCGGTGGGCGCGAACGTCACGACCATGCCGGGCTTGATCACGCCGGTCTCGACGCGCCCCACCGGCACGGTCCCGATGCCGCCGATCTTGTACACGTCCTGCAGCGGCAGGCGCAGCGGCTTGTCCGACGGGCGCTTCGGCTCCGACACGCCGTCCAGAGCCTCGAGCAGCGTCGGGCCTTTGTACCAATCGAGATTCGCCGATCGCTCGATCATATTGTCGCCCTCGAAGCCCGAAATGGGCACGAAGGGGATCTTCAAAGGATTGTAGCCCACCTTCTTCAGATAGTTCGACACCTCCTTCATGATCTCATTGTAGCGATTGTGCGAGTACTTGGGCGTGGTGGCGTCCATTTTGTTGCAGCAGCAGATCATCTGCTTGACGCCGAGCGTGAATGCGAGCAGCGCGTGCTCGCGCGTCTGGCCGTCCTTGGAGATGCCGGCCTCGAAGCCTCCGGTGGTGGAATCGATGATGAGCACGGCGCAGTCGGCCTGCGACGTGCCGGTGATCATGTTCTTGATGAAATCGCGGTGGCCCGGGGCGTCGATCACGGTGCAGTAGTACTTGTTGGTTTCGAACTTCCACAGAGCGATGTCGATCGTGATTCCGCGCTCGCGCTCCGCCTTCAGCTTGTCCAGCACCCAGGCGTACTTGAATGATCTCTTGTTCATCTCCGCCGCCTCCTTCTCGAACCGCTCGATCACTCGCTTGTCGATCCCGCCCAGCTTGTAGATTAAGTGCCCCGTCGTTGTCGATTTCCCGGAATCGACGTGGCCGATGACCACGATGTTGATGTGAAATTTCTCCTTCCCCATCGCTGCCGACTGACTCCTTCTCCTGAACCGACGAGCTGGATCTCGGCGAAACTCTTAATCGCTCGCGATCGAAGAATGACCTGCTTCCCTCACTGTCTGAGGAATTCAACAGAACTGTCCGACTTTATACGGAGCTCTGCTCATCTCGCAGAGGCAACATGCCCCGCTCCGCCCCGAGCAGGACCTAAGGTTCTCGGTAGGGTCCATGCTTGAACAGCCCACGAAATGTCGCTGAGTAGCCCTCAAGTTTTCAACTTGATCATTCGAAATGTATGTTTGACACTTGTTCCAAACAGGATAAAATTCGGACGGAAGAATCCGGAGACCCATCGACCGAGTGAGCTATTGGAGCTCACTATGCTGGGCAGCTTCACTGTCCTCTGCCTACAGTGAACGTATGTCACAGAATCTGTGACTGGCGAACGATTTCATATATATTTCTCTTCTTCTGTCCAGTTACTCGGGCTATGACAGGCCAACTCTAGTGGGTACAGTCTGTACGCCATGTGGGTCAATCTAGAGATCGACGTTCTGACCTTGGTCATGTGACCAGGGACCCACATTGAATCTTCAGATTCTGGCTCTGAACAAACATCCAGGCTCAGCCTTCCGAACTTTGCATTGTAATGAAATCACTGTTCTTATCACTGCACAGTCCGAGGACACCATGGGAGCTAGAAACTGTAAACCTTCAAAACAGCTTTCGAAAGTTCACTATCTTCCCAGAGGTCCACTAAACTGTTCGTGGCTAACTCCATCGAAGATGCCGTCCGCTGATATATTCTACTTGGGACCTTGCAACACATGCAGCAGGTGCTTCAGGCAACTGTAGATAGTGTGCAGACATTCCACCTTGTCTGTGAATCTAACTGGCACTCATGCTCGCCGCATGCTGAACGCATCGATTTGTCGAGATTGTCCAATTGACATGGTCTCACATTCTGTCCGTAATAATCTGGTCAAACGTAGTCGACTCCAAAACTTCTTTAGGTTGGTAGGACATGGATGAGGTTTATCTCGTCAGGCAACCGATGCTGAAACTCGATCATGTTGTGTTCCAGTTCATGACGTCAGGTATTCGCTCATGAAGCTCTGAACCGAGCACCTCGACAGGAAACAATTTTTCAGTGATCCTGATTGCTTTGCCAGTCATCGTCCTTACTCGCTTCTTCTACAGAGCCTTATGGTAAACCACGGTCGGGTTTGAAGACCATCCACATCGTACATACGTTGATTGATCAAACTCGAGCTATTATCAGGCGAGGGTAATTTCACAACCCTCTCTAGTTTGGTCATCGTCCCATCTTTGCCATATCCTCTACGAAGGTGAGCATCTTTGCCAAGTATTGCTCTGCGAGTGTCTGTAAACCTATTGCAATCCCAGCGCAGCTAGACATAACTTTGTTACTGTAATTCCACCAATGATGATCAGCTTCTTCACAGCATACCAATATGGTTCTGGAAAACTTGCGAGGAGATTGGAACAACGATATGATTCCCTTGGTTGCTATTGACTGGTTATGAACTGTCTTGGGTGTCCAAGCTGTGTCTTCTGTTTGGGATCGAGTCTACGTCATCTAACCTCACCTCACTCAGACTGACATGGGAATTCCCTCGGTGTGCAGCACAGCACGAAAGTGGTCTTCAAGTGAATGTGGATGGAAACTGACATTTCAAAGTACGCGTCAGACTGAAACAACATGTTTCGAAATTAGTATTATAAAGCGAAATGTGGGACTCAGCTCTCCAACATCGAGCCTCTCACCAGGCCAGTAGGGCCCTGGTGGACGTTTCAAGATCTTCTTCTTGCTTGAACATTGTAAATCAGTAATAATCGTGCTAGACTTTCATAACCTTGGTTCACATTCACATTTCACTAAAAAAGACATTATACAATAGTTCATCGAACAGATCATTACCACTTGTTTCTGATTTGACTCGGCATTGAAGTGCTGGCCGGGTCGAAGTTTGAGTTCTAGCCCTGAAGCTCTATTATAAATAAAAAATTATAGTCTGATGATCTGCCAAAATCTGGTGACTTTTGGTGGCATGTCAAGCTTTCCTTATCCTGGTACTAATGGTAGACTAAGCATTTACAAAGCTTATGACTCTGTACTCGTAGCCAGGTGGTCACGTGCAATTGCAACTGACTTCGGATTTCAGGGGAGTGGGGCATGCCACAACGTGTTAGCAACTTAATCATAAACTGTGGACTCATCTTTTGATTCGGACATCACTGTAGGTTTGTAAATAAGAGTTGAATGTGCGTCATGTAGGCAAGAATAGTAGGTCGTGGACCGATATCACAGTGAATTTCTCCGGTACAAGTCACATGGTTCCAGGTTCAGCTGGAACCTCTTTCTCCTTCTCAACGCTAATTTATGTTTCCGTAGGCTCGAGGTGAACACATTAAGTTGAATATTGACATTCCTGATGAGAGAGGACGGTGCACACTTGGCCTCGATTCATCCTGCGGTCTTTCTTTTCTTCAGATTTCAATTCTCGGGCTCATCCATTTCATTTCATCTCCGGGAAAAGCAACACGCAGGCGCATGATTATGGATCAATGGATGGGTGGATGGAGAAGAAACGCTGATGGCAAAACCCGCTGCTAAAATCGATGAAGAAAGCCGGAAAACGATACGTCATGAAACGCCTCATGGGTAAGAAAGAAGAAAGGACTTCACTTCTACTTGCGTGATGTGAAGCCTCTCTACTAGACTGCACTCCGAAATGCTCGTTCATTCCCCTTGCATAAGTGAAAACTTGAGCTTGTTTAGAGAGTTCGACCTCCTTAATACCATATCCTGAGCTCACTTTGTTACGATAAGGGTTTGGATGTTTCGGATTTCTCGGTCTACCTCTTCATTCCATTCACTTCGGTGATTGCAAGAAATTGCTCATGCACATATGATGAAGTCTTTTATAGAAAAGGAGCGGATGACGATTCAATGAAGTCATCACTTTATTTTGAACCGTCAACAAATAGTTATACATCTTTTTCTCGCCTAGAAACAACCTTCTTAACTGGGAAATATGAATACTAAATGCAAAGAATCATGTAGATGGTTATCAAACAGAATAGGATAAAGCTTGGATCTTTGATAAAGCTGTAGTTGTTATTTCAAACGTGTCTGCTTGAGATTCAGAATCAGTATAATGTCAATCCCAAGCATTGTTTGCGGCAGCATTTCTTATGCTTTCCGCCCATCTACGCCACCAATCTAGATGTAAACTCCTGTCAGATTTGACCTGATAGGTGCGTGTGATTTTCTTGGCGTTCTGATTTACAGTTTCAAGGGAATAAAATCGCTGGCCTGATCTTCTGATCGAGAAGAAAACTCCGAAAATATACACATAACAAGAGTGTCATAGATTGGACGAGACAGTAGACACTGACCAGTTGCACTCTTGATTGTGGTATGTGCGTTACTGGCAATTTTTGTATGAAGCTACATAAAGATTTACTCACATGGATTGGGTCTTACTACTGCCCGCGAGTCAACTACACACGCAGACAGTGAGCAAAGTGAAAATGTACCTTTAACGGCGCATATGGAAGTTTTCAAGGTTCATGTTTCATCATATTCCAAATTCTTCAAGCAGTGCCATTTGGGTGTGAATATTTTGTCAGTTGTAAGACTTTTTTCTCAACAGGTTTCATTAGTGGTCAAAGCTCACTCTTTACCGAGCTCTCATTTGCTTGACTGCATCTGCCTGTTGTTGGATGTGTACGACGCACATTTAGAGAACTAGGCCCACGAGTCTGTCTTGCGCAGAATTTACTGCACAGAACTGTCTGCGGTGATGAGCAAGTACACTCGCGGGCGTCAGATTGGATAACTGTTGATGTCAGGTTAGTGCTGTCATATTGAAGCTCTTGGATGTTGCACCGACTTCGGAGGAGAGATGGAATGATCTGAATGACTTGAGTAGAAGAGAGAGAGAGAGAGAGAGGTGTTGAAACAACGACACTCCAGATTTTCCTGGTGAAGAAGTGTGCAAGGATGCTCCTCCAAAATTGAAAGCTGGACGACAGAGGGAAAGGGAATTTCACAATTTCACTATTACCACTGACTCATCTTTGAAAGATGATGTGCCAATAATACAAGTCACGAAGCCAAGCAATCTGAGCGAGCATCTTGAGAAAATGTTTACCTTCAAGTGCCAAAAAGGATGAGGCCTATCTTCTACATATCGAAAGATTTGAATCTTTTCGCTCATAAGAGAATCAAAGGGATCTCCAAATCGAGCCCTTGAATTCCTCCATCTGGTGAAACTACCAGAAACTCCGCGCCAGCCCACGAGCGAGAATTGTCCTCCTGAGGGCCGTTTAAGCAAGTATGTACACAGTTTTATTCGTGACAAGAAATGGCAGTCGCTGAATTTCAGCGGCCTCCGTAAGCCTCGAGTTGACAGAAATATCGTGGAATTGACGTCGAACAGCCTGCGGTTGTGGAAGTGGCACCATGATGACATCACGCGGCGTCACCGAAGCCGGACCACAGCGCATGGAACCTACACTTTGGCCATGAACTGGTGCTTTTCGAGGAGTGGTTTGGACAGCTTGGTCTTGTCATATTCGCAATCGGAATCAGGACATCTCACCATAACCAAGTAGCAGAACACCAAAAGCGACACCTGCGCCGAGAACACCCAGAAGAGAAGAGTCTGTGGGCCAGATCCGGGCCAGTCGACGAAGTACAAATCAAGACCCTGGAAAATGTTCACCCATCCCAGAACCACTGTCACAGTGCCCAAAAACCAGTGAGAGAATGCCCAGTATGGCCGCAGCTGTGCTCCCAGGGCGGGCCTGAACACGGCGAAGACGGGCTGAATGAGCACGATGAAGGCCAGAGCCACCCCGATCGTTCCGTGCGTGGTGTTCTTGCAGTTCTCGAATCTGCGCAGGGCGATGCTCAGGCCCACGGTCGACAGCAGCACTCCCGTCGACTGCAGCAGCCAGTGGTACTGGAACCAGTACTCGAGCTTCTTGCAGATGCGGCTGTACCTGACGCCCATCACGCCCAGAGGGAAGAGCACGCTGAAGGAGAGCCACATGAGGAACCCATGCGCCTTGTACCACAATATGTCACCGGCCGGTGGCGGATCGAACATCTGCAACGACGAGCTCACAGCCTCAAAAGCAGCCATTGCTGGTCTCTGATCAGTGGTGCGAATTGGGCACTCCCTCTTCGAACTGAGATGGTTATGGTCTAGCGTGAAACTCTTCGTTCAGAATGAGAGTCTGATCAGCATCCCGCGAGGGGCGTATATATTCGCAGCGTTGCTCGACGCCGGAGAGCTCTGGCATCCATGGTATCCATGGCCGTGCCCGGATTGTCGGAAGAGTAAAGTGGAATCGTATCGAGGGGAGAGTGTGGAGGGAGCATGTGGGCGGTGAGTGGAAACAGTGCCATGGCTCTCGAGTGCCAGTTGGCCGCTCTTCAAGCTGGCATTAAAGGTCAACATGGATAAAAGTGGCCGAGCCGTGCTTGCTTGCGGTACAGTCATGGAATTCTGTAGCTCTGGATGCCTTCGAATTACCTCCCCATGCCATTGCTCCCTCAAGAGTCAGTCACTCATCTTCACCACCGATCTCAACTCGGTCAAGGCCAGGAACTGCTGACAAACATGCCCTTGCCTCCATTGCACCGGATCCCGATACAGGTTGCGCACGACAGCGAGTAAATGGCAGCTGAGCACGTCCGATCCGATGAAACACACTCGATCAATTAACACAGTTTGTCCTGCCCTTCCACTGAGTAACTCCGAGGCATCCATCACTCAGCCCCACCGACGGGAATTTCACTCCACCACCCTCGTTGATGCGCATTGCTCAGAAATACAGCGCAGTCAGTCTTCGATCGCAAGTCAGGTCCAAGCATTGGAATCGCACATGCAGGTGCGTATCTTCTCTTTGCCATGAGTAATTACAGTTCACTAAAAATGGAACAAAATGCCAAATGAGTGATAATTTGGGATCAGGTGTTGACGCGAAGCTTATAATGTGAGAATTCTATCCTACAACTCTTCCTCTTACAATCCTTGCTTGTCAGAATTCCCATACGAAGGATTTGAAATGCTGTGGATAATTATGACCGATTATGGTCAGATTCAGAAAATGGGAACACATGTAAAAAGTGAAAGAATATAAAATTAATTACCCGTTAGTCTCGTGCATTGAATGTTTGTATGCAGATAAAATAATGCTAATTCAAATCTGCTCATTGACATACAATTTTTTTATTACTTTGTTGGTAACACACATGTCCAATAGTTCATTCATCAAATAATCGAATATGGAATAGCACTACAGATCTGTAGCCAAATCTTATGAAAATAGATGATATAAATATTTTTACTCTTATATTAAAAGTATATAAAGAAATAAAAATGCATGATAACCTACCAAATCAGACGTAGATATATCTGACTTTTCGATGTACTGTATACCTTTGAATTTTCCGGAGATTTTCAGCTTTCAGCATTATTCACAGTACATCAATCTTTTGAGATAATACTTCCTACATGCTCCTATTGTTCGAAGACAACTTCAATTAGAAGATTCACATACCTTATGTGCAATTGTATGAATAGTTTCTGTTATAATTCAATTGGTACATAGTTACATTGGTTCTCTTTAAGCTTGAACTGAGATTCCTTGATTTGATTCACATTTCTTATATTTTGCTGCATTGAAAATTACTATGGGTAAATAAGTCAGAAGAGTTATACAAGTTCTTGAGGTTATTATTGGAAAGTTGTGCATCCGACTTATATTACATTGACGGAGGTATCCATATATGTATTATATATATAAAGTTTGAAGGTTATTATATACTCTGTGTAAGAATTTTGAAACTCTGCCAATTTACTTGCATCAGTTGATAAGTTGGTGAATATTAGTAACAGAAAAAAGTTAGAAATAGCAGATCCAACCATGATGCATCTGATAATATAAAATTATCTCCAAATAAATTAAAGTCTTGTAATAAAGGATGTAAAAAGAAACTTAGTATGATATGTACATGTAAATAGATTGGTGAAGTGAAAGTTAAACATTATACAGTTTTTAAAATATGGTGAGGTAAATGTGAGATCTCAATACATAATCATGATTATATTTCAAAAAAAATTTCAACTTCTAACAACTCAGGGTTTAAAAATGTACTGTTCATGCTGAAATAAAAAATAAAATAGGTAACCTTATGATGCAGAAGCAACTGAGACAATATTGATTGAAAATACAACATTTTGATCACAATAATAATTATTGTGAACTAATACTCAACATAAGATGCATTTAACAAATACAACTTAGATTCAGCGTACAAAAATTTCAAATATCGGCACACAATTAAACAATAACAAAAAGTGTATTTTTACTCAAATTTATTCAACCTCATGACAAACATGACAACATATTTTGCATCCTCTCACTAGAATAAATCATTAATTTTCATTTCCACCGTTATACAACGCCGCTTTGTTTGATTAATGACTTCACATTTTTTATAGAGACTTGGTACAAAAACATGATAATGAAAACTAGGTTAAAAAGCTTCATACTCCATGATAATAAAGCTTTCAAGTTGTCATCCTCACAAAAAAAAAATTTGCAGATAATAACGTACATAATAGTCTTATCAAAGATCATGTTGATAAAATCGACGTTCATATCTACGTAGTTCAAGATGGTAGTCGGTTTTGCCTTTTTGAAGAAATTGGTCTTCTCTTCTTTGACACTTTCTTGTACTATTTCATTTTATGCTATGCTCGGTAGAATTATGCTTGTCATAGTTTTCTATACAACAAAAAATACTACAATATTTGGTGTTCTTGGTGTGATGACGCTTCACATCTTTCTTCTCTTTTTGTTAAAAATTGACGTAGAAATAGCACATCATAGACATGATCTGCAACTTATCATTCTATCCATTGATTTGCAATCCGAACTCTAAGGCGTGTTGATGATGAAAAGTCATCGAGCAAGAGGTATCCCTGCCAAATAGTGTGATACGATCAGAACCAATGTCATAAGCAAAAATGCAGGGTGAAATCTAAGTTGGCGAAGATGAGTGTTTTAATTCGATATGCATAGTTTTTTTTTTGCATTGCTCAAACTTAAGTATGTGTAAAGGTGATGTCTAAAAATAGAATGTCATATCTTATGAGTCTTGCTACAATTATAATTTTTATGCTCAAATACACAAATAACCAAGCAAATAAATGACATCATATTTATGTATGCTTGAAAGTGAAAGATCACATGTTTTAAACTGGAAACATTTTGCAAAAGTTGATGTTGTTAGTATACAAAAAATGTAATAAAGTGCATCAAAAAATATGTTCATCAATGTTGAAGTTTAAGCAATTAAAAGCCGAAATTCATTGATTGCAGGGATTCAAAAAAATTGATTTGACCTATGTTTTCAAGATGCGTAGAGCAATTTGTTATATGACAAATCTAGCTTTTGCACAAGCGTCTTTACTACTCTCAATGATGACAGTGATCAAATGATTTGTTATGCAACATAGACCAAAATTAAATTTTCACTTTGTAGTAAAACATCTCTGCATTACGGTATCCAAATTTGTATAGATAAGTTTGTTAATGAGGTGATGGAGAACATCAAAACCAATAACAAAATGTGCATGTATATCGTTATATAATTAATTTGGTTTATATTGTACAAAGAGAAAAAAAGACATAAATATTTCAATAAAATTTTCATTCATCATTATTCATGCACTATTTACTTTAATTGGGAACAATCTCTTTACAAACCGTAGTTAAGTCAAGGTAATTGAGTTGGAAGAAACTTGCAATGCAGATAGGTTTGCAAATAATAGTCTCTACGTTGTAATACTAAATTCACGAGTATTTGTTCACTCTGAAAATAATTTGCAATCCGATAATCAGGCATTCACAAAAAAAAAAATGTCAAAATTCTAATCATATCACAATCTTGTGTGATGAATAGTATTCACTACATGTACAGAAATATCGCTCTTATCAAAATATCAGTTTGATCACAACTCTATCTCCCACATAAATCAATCAATTCCCTGAGTCATCTCTTCCATCTATGGAATCATATCTGGTTGATAAAGAATTGTACCTTTGCAAAAATTCGTCTTAAGTCTTTGTACATTTCAATCCTTTTAGATTTTTGCTAAGATTCTTCATAGTTGTCACACATGCCCTGAATATTGTCACTCCTCCATCTCCTCGATCTATAGATCTCACCAATGCAAGTGAACTAAAGCTATTTTGTTCGGTGACTATTAGAACCAAGATCACACTCCCTTCAACTTCCAAGAAAATATTGGAGGAAGTGATGAAGCAGCAGACAACAACATGCTGCATTTAAGGGAAATAAGAAATGCTCTCCGATCACTCCTCGAAGCTCTTGAAGGTGAAGATAATCCTAACTCACTGTCTAGAAATGTTCCCAGAATTATTACTGATGCAACCTTACCAAATTACAATGTCATGTAGCGTCTACAATCTTCAGAGTCAACGTCCAGAAATGTTCCCAGAATTATTCCTTGATGCAGCCTTACCAAATTACAATGTCCCGTAAATGTTCCCAGAATTATTCCTTGATGAAGCCCTACCAAATTACAATGTCCCGTAGCGTCTACAATCTTCGGACTCAACGGCAAGACGTGGTTTGGTGATTATTCATCGTAGACGTGGAACCCAAAGACAAAGTCCAGTAGCACCTGCGAGTCCGAGTCGGAATTCCAGGCAGGCCAGAGGAGCATACCGCAAGAAATGAGTCCACACCTCTCAATGACTTCACCTTGATTTAACTATAATGACAGCTGTAGCACCAAAGTGAATGGTTCTGCAGCCAATTTTGCTGCTGGCTATGTTGCCATCATGTTTGGTTGAAAAGAGCACTATCAGCTAAGATTTCTTATCCATATTCGGTTATTCTTGATTGATGTACTCGTCACCAACACTTTTATTTTTTCTTCCATGAAAATTCTGCAATGATTCTACCTAAATCTTCATCTGACCTGCACTGTCCTTTGTTTCTATAGCTATGATGAAGCGATGCTTATATTGCTGCTTGAAGTTCCGCTATTAGTATCATAAATATCAACTTCTCTATTCAAACAAAATTAATATTAAAACCTAGAAACATATGAAGTTGACTTTTCTCAATCTACAACCTGTACATGATTGATATCTAATAAGTGCAATCTTCAAATTCCATCCATCTTATGAGTTGCAACTCATATGTCACATAATGAGTTGCATCAAAGAGAAAAGAAAAAAAAACAGAGTCTCTTTAGTACTATGAGTTTCTATTGTGTAAGATGCGCTAAAAACTGTTCGGAACCTTTGGATCCCACACATTAATATACTTGAGACGTAGGTTACTTGAGAATCTTCCATAACAATTCATTACACTTTTAAATACAATCATTTGCTTTAGAATTGTCATTTCTTGAGGAGCTAGCTTATGATAACCTTCTAACAAAAAGACGGACGTGATTCTAAGCTGATCATTTGACAGGTCATGCACTCAATGCCCTATTTTTTAAGTGTAAAGCATTGGTGGACAATGTATAATGGGCTTGTTTTGGTATTTAACTTGTGAACAAATACCAGAACTGTTTCCAATATTAGTAGGGATAGTGAATTCAATCCAGGTTGGTTATTGGGAGGGTCTAAAAGTTTAACCTTGGGCTTGTACACAATTAGCCGATAACTTAGGTGACCTGCAACCGCTTGAGGACGTTTCTACTTGGGTTTCTACATATATAATGGTTGCTCTTCGAATCATCCTCTTGATGCTGAGCGTGAAAAGAAATTTTTAACCGAAAGTTCGTAGATCACATAATCCAATAGCCTCTCGCCAGCTTCCTTCATATGCTACACTCTATGACATAATTCCAGTCGTACCCTCCGCAGATCTTTAACGCCTCATATTTACGCTTTTTCTAAAATTGAACGGACTGTCATTTTGGGAGTCGTAAAGACACCCAGTTATAAACAACCATCATCTTTCTCGCCACTTATTGCTACCACTTATTATTAGAACAATACGTTGGTATTGTTCAAGTCTGCTGTGAGAGCTAGAAAAGTGGTGATCGCTACCGATCCGGTCTTGCCATTGAGAAGTATTATATACAAATAAGAACAACGACCTGATCCCGTCTGCAAGATCAATCAATTTCCTGTGATAAAAATAGACCAATTTGTGTAACTATGATCAGTACAATGGGTTCCACATGCTTAAATATTCAAAGTTACTTTGTACGTCAACCACCAGCTGCAGAAAGCCCACTCATGTATATGACGAGGACACTGGATCTGAGTTGAACTTCGCTACCACTGAAAACGGCATATGAAGGTGGAGACAATCATGTCCCAAGCATATATTGAAAGAAGTATCCACGTGAGATGAACAATGTATTGTGATGCACACGTTTATTCGCAAATAAATTACTACTCATGCAGCTGGCTTTGCCAGCTACGCTCTGCATGTCGAACAAACATGATCGAGAACACCCCTGATGAGAGGTGCTGATCACTGAGGCTTATGGTTACACCTCAAAAATGCCGCAGCTTTACAGTTGGAAAACCCTCTTGAAAAATTCACTTGATCTAAAGATCATATGCACCAACACACGTTGGTGTGCTTACTTCTCTACCCTCATGGTGCCATAGCTCTGCAGGGAACACCAGACTGGGAATATGTTACAGGTTGATGGGGCTAATGAGTGGATTGTACATTGCCTTTTAAGAGATGCTCGTGGTCTTCAGGTACGAGGGCAACTGGATGTGGAATCTCAGTTCCTGCAGATGCAAATGGCACGTAGAAGATTACAATATGTTCACAAAAATAACGCTCTTCCAGCACTTTAAAATAAGTAATCTTGACAATTTACAATTGCGTCATAGATGGAAATAAGATCTCGAAGCTCAATCTTACCAGGAGAGAGTAGATACTTTTGTAAAAACTCTAAGCAGACTCTTGTGTTTACGTTTTTCGCCAGCAGCGGATCTAGATCACCAGTGAACCTACACAAAGACCAACCATGGTATCGTTGAAGTCCACAGAGTCGCAGAGCAAGCGCCATCAGTTCCAAAAAATGACTCTCCTGGCTCTCTGACTTCCATCCGAAAACTACTGGCTAGGTAATAATTTAAAGTGGATCTTGCACTGAAAAGATTTTAACAAATAGATGCGACAGAATTTGAGATAAAAAAGAGTTGAGCAAACTAACCCCATCCTCTTGGCCGTCGACTTAAAGATGAGAGGAAAGTCGGATTGGTCTTGATGCACTGTGCCCTGCGACATTTACGAAAACTGGGTTGTGATTCACGTAAATCAATGGGCGCTTTTTTAGAGTTTACAGTATTTTCATTTTGGAGGGATCACAACCTTACTGAAAAACATTGACCTAAAAACCCATACTACTACGAAGGCTTCCTGTCAGAAAATATCTTTGATGAACCTTATCTTCGTCTCAGATCAACGGTCGACCATTTTACCTTGATAGTGTAGAGATCCGTCACCAGTGGCTCCTCCTGACTAGCTGCTGCAACTCTTCCATCAAGAAAAACCAAACGAGCCTCTCGTAAAGCCTTCCAATCAAACTTCTCCGTATTAAGGAGTAGCATCGGTACCCTTCCCGCAGATTTTTCAATACTCACCTGCACAGTGGATTTCAAGTCAATGAATGAATACGACCAATCAGACTGGTCAGAAATAATTCCTCTTCTTCATCCGCGACCTCCCTTCATGTATTGTGTCGGTGATGATGTTTGATTCCTTACAACGGTCAATTGACATACAGCATAACTCTGCCTCATGTGAGGACATAAAAGGGGATTGAAGACAAGATGCAAGCGCACAGCACGAAGCACAAAGGAAGCACATCTAAGGTTACAGACGGTAGATTCGGTTAAGCTGAGAGGCGAAATAGCCTTTCGACCCACAAAGTTACAGCTCTGTGCTAACACGGGAACTGGTAAGACTAAATTTCCCATCAACCAAAATAAGCCAATAAGAGACGAGATCATTTATTTCAACAGTCGACGGTCATCCGCTATTTTATCAAACTGCTTCTGGATAAGACTTCTAGACTGGTATGGCATCTTAACATAGAGAAAGACATTCATGCAAGATTTGTGGAGCGTAGTACAAAAGAAAGAAGAATCGTGGAGCCAATGTGGTCGATACACCTAAGGACTAAAGCCTTGATTTACATGCTTTGAGTACGAGTTTCTGTGCTTTATATTCCAAGCCCCTTATGAAGACAACGTACCTTTTCTATTGGCTCCCACCAAACGTCCATTCCCACGCAGCACTTAAATCGATGATCGAGACAAGCAGAAACCACAGCAGTCGCTCCACCGAAAGAATGTCCAGCAACAGCTAAGTGATTCAAGTCAAGTCGGTGCAGCAGGCAAGTCACGTCAAGCTTTGTGTTGCCAGTAACAGTGTTAGAACCTTGAGTGAGGAGGCCTTCTTGAAAGCTCTCCAAAATATCAACAACTTTCTGAATCTCCAGTGCTCTCTGAAAGGACGAGTTTGTCCCGTATCAGAATCAATAAAAATGTTCTCGCTGTCTGGTAAGCAATATCGGTCCATAAGTGAAAAGGAAGATCAGCACGCCCGCAGTTCTTCGCACTCTGTCTAGACTAATTCTTCAGCTGATCTCCTCAAGTGAGGGAATAACTGAAGAGCAAACACTGAAGAAATGTGCCAAACAATATACCTGCGTGAGCTGCTTTCCTCGTTCATCAAGTGATATCTTCTCCAAAGATTCACCGATATGTGCATGATACAGATACTTTTTCTTCCCATGATGATCTGTATATGTTGCCATCTGTGCGGAACCATCAAGATGTTCCACAGCCACGACAACTTCAAGCGGAGAGAACACTAATGAGCTTTGGTAAACAGGTTGAGAGCATATACTGGTGCAGCAAATATCTGCTAGTTTTGTAACGATTACTGTAGAACAATAAAATGAAACTATCGCTGGGGTGGTACTCTTGGAACTTAAAGTTTCTAAAAAACGAAAGTTCGTAACAAGGACAGTTGGAAATAAGAAAAAAATAATTTGAAGAGCGCCAGAGCAACTCTACCGTAGCCATGTGAAGCCAGATCGCAGCAAAATGCGCTGTACGTCGTTCGGCATGACCATAGACCATGCGAGAAGATAATGACAGGGAGAAATGACTCTTCCTCCTGCTCCCCAGGGGGTGGTAGAAGCGGAGCACCTACTCGAGCGTATATTGCTGACCATGGCCACACGATGACATGAACCACGCCTGCTCAAAAGAACCAGGCTGAGCATTAGACATAATAGGACGAGAGGTCTCTACAAAAAGGCAAGGTCCATCAAAAATTTCATGTAAGTCAACAATAAGATTTTATGTGACAGTTTACGTCGTTTCTGAGGTTATTTCACGATAACTTGACACTTTAGCCAGTCGGTTGCGTTCGGGAAACACCACTGAATCTACCGGAAGAGCACAACTGGCATGCTGAATAAACTTCCTCATACGGGCGTGATGCATAACATATAGAAATTTGACTGTAGTCACAGTTCAGGCAATCGGCTAGCTTTTCACTACATCCGAATGCAATAAGCAGACTGAGATCACATTTGCTATGTCTGACTGGGATTAATCGGGGACAAGGAAGGTGAGATGCCCAGGTGAACCAAATTTGTGCATGGTGATGTTAAACATATGATATGAAAAATTGAATATATTTATGTATACAAATATACGTATACATATAACTTAGGTCTATTCTAAGTCTTCGTATTTGAAGACTGAGAACAAACCCGCATACTCATATGCCCAGAGCCGAACTTCATCTTGACACGAACCGGTGATCTGAAAGAAAGATCTCCAAAGACAGGTCCGTGGGCTGGCTACTAACGAGCAATACACAAAATGGCCTCAACTGTGGCAAGCTCATTTCACAGATAGCACAACCTTCACGGTTTGCATTGAGAGATAAGGTAGAATGGTGTCCTTGCCATGTGCAGAGACAAAAAGGGAAAGATTGAACCAAGGATGGACAAGGCAAGGCAAAAGCTCCACGAGGGAAATGTAGCAAGAACGAGATTGACAAAAAAAATAAACAAATCAACAAGCACAGGAGAGAAGCGCACATACTGGCGATGACCCAGAGGAGAACTCGGTGGAAGTACGTCGAGGGCTTCACCACAGTGCAGCAAAAACCCCAAGTGTAAGAGAACTCAGGAAGCCAGGCACGCGAGCATCGGTTGCTCCAAACAGTTGGTGGATTGACGTTCGTCGGATAATAGACACGAAATGGTGGGCAACTCGGGACTTCTGAAAGAGGTTTGTCATCAATCCTTCGCAGATCAAAATCTCCAAATCCGACAGTGTACGCTCCCAAGGGCTTTGGAAGGCCCATCCTGCCTCTTTAGTTCCACGGTATCTGATGTGCCCTGTTCCACTCTCTAGCCAACCCAGTCGACGATCGCTGGATCCTAGCCTTTGGGTTCCGTCGTGATCTGCTTGCTCTCAAGAGTTGATCACAACAATCACTAGTCTTGACGCCAGATATATCGGTATTAAAATACCTTAATTACAACTGGCTAGCTGGACATTTTACTCTCCCATTTGTTATAGAGCATTAACTTTGCGTAAGGCCTAACACAACCTCCACGACCACCAGTGTGTCCAATTCTTGCCTTGGGCAGGTACGACGCAGAATTCGCTCAAGTACAAAGAGTGAAGTAGTTTCCGAACTGAGACACTTGGAAAATGCAAGACTTCTCGCCAAAAATGGACGTGACTACCATCTGTGTATCGTACTCGACTGAAAAGCTGCTGCCACAATCCTTGCCCATTACGAAATACAAGCTGAAAATAGAATAGGCCCGTCGGTTTTTCATCAACGTCACGACGAGCGCCCTAATGTTCGCTGCAGATTTCAAAAACCCGAATCAACTAACTATCTTAGATCCTGATTCTACTCGATTATTGAAGGTCTGCTGTGAACCTTTTTTTTCCTTCCCGTGGTCATCATTGGACCCTCCTGTTAGTGGTTCTTTGCTGCCCCATGAGAGTTTGTGCACTTCCTTCGAGATGCAGAAACAAGTTTTCTCTGGTGAAGTGTGCCTGTCAGGGGATGTAGAACCACCGTCCTCTTCTCGTGGGAAAACTCAAACAAAACTTGGGTTGTCGATCCTTGTACAGCTGCTCGAGGCTGAATTACTCACATTCAAGAACGATGTAAAGCAGTGACTTTCCTATGTCCGAATTGAGTTCGTTCAACTGCGAAATTCAGCCGCTACACGTAAATGCAAAGGCGTAGCGGTGAGAAGACAGATGAACTGGTCATAATCCGGGACTTTGAAGCTAAGCGGCCTCAGCTATGGTGGGTTCGACTCACAACACGCGAGAAAGAACGATGAGTGGACGCATCAGAGACAGGTGCCTCTGGGATCATCGAATGAACCATATCAGAGAACAAGACAACGCTGTCAGTAAAACAGGCGAGCTTAGACTGCCGTCGTGACGACACCATGGCAGGCGCATTTCAGGACTCGCTCTTCAGTCATCAGTCTCTTCTGCATCTTGTCACTGGGATGTGCGGTTGCTTACATCCCTCACGTCCCAGCCGAGAACGTGCTTCGAAGAACGCGAGATACTCTAGCCGAGCACGTCTTTCGCTCAGTCCTAACAAAGCGTCACAGCACAGCGCTGCTGTTTCTGCTTTCATTAGTCCGTTTCTCGCACTGAACACTAACGATGAAAAGGGTGGGCTCCACAACTTATTTGATTTATTCTTGGGCATGGCTTGGCATCTGCCAAGCGAGAAATACCGTACCCGGTTTAAGCGGGATTTCACGAGTCAACCAACCACGATTTCAGGGCCAGAATCAAACTATTTAACAACATCTCATCTTCGAACCAGACACTGCTTCGCGATCGCATCTCCACATCTATCTTCACATCTAGAGATCCCCTCAACGACTCAATGTGAAATAGCCCATGATCAGCAGATGCCTCGCGTGAGACTATAAAGCCCACATTTCCGTGGGCCAGGGATTTACTTACGTCACTCGGAATAGACGAGGGTTTTCCAGCAAACAACAATCTAGATAAAGTAATTAATGTTGAGGAGGGGAAATGCCAGAGTTGATCCTATCGGAGTCAGTTGATTGGCACGTAAAACCGTCTCATGCACATATCTGGCGATTCTCAGAGGCCTGCAGGAAAAAGCCTTCAAGCAGGAACAAGAGGCGAGGAAGGCCTGCCTGCTCCCACGGTCTCCTGTCCAACAGATTGCCCGGCCTGACAACAGACAAAGCTTTCGTAGCAGTGACGGGCAGATGAGGTGGGACTTAGAGAAAGCGAGCTCTGTAGTGCATGCCCGCCCACTGTCTAATTGTGATTCCATGTGGATTATCTCTCTTACTTTGTGTTTACTTAGCGTTGAGATTATATGAATCTAGGTTCTGTGACCTGCGTCTCCTCAGTTTTCCGTCCCGATGATAAATAACTTACCGAGGGAAGTTTGACCTTTTTATTCAAATTGAGTTTTATCCGTGGCTGATGCGCTAGCCTCCATTGCTTCTCCACCACCTTCTTGCTCTCTACGGGTGTCGAAAGCCAAAGGAAGTATTCTTAACAGGAAGTCTCAGCTCACCATGAATCAAAGCATTTTTGTCGAAGGACATCCATGCTTCACAGAAAGCCAAGCGAGTATTAATCCCGTCTCTCGTTGAGACATTCTGCATCAGCTACCGTCACGTCACACCGATGCCTACGTTAGAAGTGCATCAGAGCTTAGGGACCGAAGTGGGTGACGATGCGACTTTTCAGATGACACTTTGCAAATCAAAGCCCCCTCCGATGCACGCCTGATATCACTTCGAGCGCACGATGGCTGAAAAGATGATAGTCCCATGATGTGCCCGCAAAATATCAAGATGGGGTTAGCGTTCGAGCAACCATAGAGTATGAGATGAGGTACCTCGTCTTCTGTGGAGCAGAATTGGCACTGCATGGGTACGAAAGCGTATGATTGGTTGCACTAATGATGTCGGGATTGGTTCTTGATCTCTGGAACGCCATTAGGTTTTGATGGCGATCGCCAGTCTTCTGATTTGCCGACCCTGTGCAGATCGAGCTCGCGGCTACTGGTGCTTCCCTCCTCAGGCACCATCTGTTCCACCCAGCCCTGGCCCGGCCTTTGGGCGCAAAGACTCCTAGAGTGCTTACAATATATACTCAATCGGGACCGTCAGATAGCCGTTGCCATTCGAGCTCTTTAGCACGACTCCAGCTCCTTGAAGTTTACAATACAGCTCCACCCTAATCTACCGTCTTCGGGGTTTATTTTCGTCTCAGGGTACTGGTTAACGAAAAAGAAATTATTAACTAATGGTCGTACATTAGAGCGCTTTCTCACAGGTACCTATGAAATTACTCCCTTAGTGTTTGAGTTTAGTTTAGCGAAGGACCTTTAACGCAGACATTTTCGGTAATCCAACCACCTTCGGAGTCTAATTTCGTCTCAGGGCACTGGTTAAGGAATTCTTATTATTTTGATTTTAATGCTCGTACATCAGAGCGCTTTCTCACATGTACCAATGAAAGTATTCCCTTGCTGTTTGAGTTCAGCGAAGGACTTTCAACGTAGACATTTTGGGTACTCTACCACCTTCGGGGTTTTCGTCTCATGGCACTGGTTAAGAAATTTTATTTTTCCAATTGATGTTCGTACATCAGAGCGCTTTCTCACAAGTACCAATGAAATTATTCCCTTACTGTTTGAGTGTAGCGAAGGACTTTCAACGTAGACATTTTGGGTAGATTCGCTGTAGTCATTATCTCGAGTCGTTTTTATATTACGCGAAATTATGTCCTCAGTTGTCGTTTGTGCTTACGTACAACGTTGCCTATGCCGCACTCCACAGTAGGACGTCTGTGCCCTGTCCTGCAGTGCCAGCCATTAATTTGAAAAGCAGCATTTCCGCTAACCCAGAAGAGTAGTCCAAGTACAAAGTTTAACTGTGGTCAGCCTCATTCGTCCCGCTATTAATACAAACATGTATTAACTCACTCAAACAGTTGTGGAAACAAGAGCATCAAGATGTACTTTCATTTTCCAGTCTCCATGCATTATTTGAGTTATTTAGCAGTTAGTGGTGGTTTGTCAAGAATTTATTCTCCCGGTTGGAGTGCTCTGTTCTTATTCAATCATCTAATATTTAGTTATATGCATTGTCGCATCCTTTCGGAGATCTTTTGCGAACCCAAACAAAACATGTATGAAATAATGCCTGAAGATTATTCAAGATAAAGCAATTGTGTGGTGTGATGACATTTATCTAACACAGATGCTATTCAATTTTTTCAGCTATGTTTAATTATTAAACATAGCTGAAACGGCTTTGGTAGCGGCTAATTATCACCCTAGGCTAATCTTCCACTGCTGCACTCTTCCCCATGTGTCGCAAAGACTATAACATTGAGCTCTAGTAAAAATAGGGATAGTTTTGACCAATTACGCAACTGTACAGTATAGTAAGGTGAGTAATAATTAACATAATTTGAGTGATAACTAGACTCTTTATTGATTATGATTATTAATTATACAAGTTTTTCACATGCAAACATGATTACAAATCAGAACAAGTACAAAGGAAGAGAAGAAGAGACATGCAAACATCATCATGTAGCATTTTGATCTAAAAACATCTTAGCAACACAATGCCAACTCTTAACACTTAGAGAAAAACGAAGAAAACTATAGAAGTTGCAGGTAATAAATTGCATCTGTCTCAAGTTTCCAGAATAGATTGGAATTATTACAAATAATCGTGACAATATCAACCAAATTCTCCTTTTATTGTACGAAACTTAATATACATCTACCTAACGTAATATTGTTGTAATCTTGTGCACTTGGCTAATATTCAAGTGACCAAATCTTGTACTTTGACAAGCTATTTAAACAGATCTACAAGTTGATCTTAGTTGCTCACATTTATATAATTAAATCTAAAATATGTTATTCACATAAAAAGTAACATAACATCTTGAATTTTTCAATATACAATTCAATAAAATTTTATCAATCAATTTATTACAGCACAATACATAAAATTATGAAATTCATTATTCACTTCATTTGAAATTGATAAATTTTCTTTAGTACAAGTTTGTAAATGAAAAAAATTATTGGTTGATTATTTCATGTCATTGAAAAAGTAATACTCTTCAAGTCAAAGACTTCATCAATTAAACTATGTCTATCATGGACATATATTTGTTAAGTTTAAACATTATTAAAGCATCAAACCCTGAAAATTGAATCAAGGTTTAATAAACTCTAGACACTTCAATTAATATACCTACATAAGTAGCTGGAGTCAAATGAGTACAAATACAAATCATAATGAGATTTATTATAAATATCTTTGCAAGTGTTGATCAAATGTAATTACACTCAATATTAAACCTCACATACACAAATAATTGTATTTTCAAACGTAAATTGCTATATATATATATATATATATATATAGCAAGATTGATAGTTACATTCATATTAATCTTTTGTAAAAAGTCTTATGCTAGCATCATATTAGTATTCACTAGTGTATATTTTTATCAATGTGTATTAATTTTTTTCTTCTAATCATATAATGATAATTTAATCGTGGTTTTTCATGTTAAAGTTTTTAAAACTTTTCATCAAAAGAAAAACACCAATAATGAACAAACTGCTTGCTAAAATCTTTACTTGTAAATGATTAATTATGGACTTCTAAAATGAATATCTTCAAGTGTAATGTTATATCCACTCATGATTTTGGTAAAAAAAATGCTACTTGAGAATCATATAAGAATGACTATCAATGATGTTTCTGTTGTTTCATTAAAATCTGATTTGTTTACATGTGTGAGACAAAAATCATGATAAAAATCACCAACTACCGCCAACTCAACTTGTATTATTCAATATAAATAAATTTTTAAAAATATTTTTTGAAAATTTGATATTTTTTGCACAGGAATAAAACATATCCTCTAAATACATTTGATCAATAAGTAGTTAACTAAACCTGGTATTCTATTTATTATGTATTTCGTAAATTTTTTTGAGAATTTCATAATGTTTTATGGCGATGGATTTTTTTACACATTTTAAACCATTTGTTGTAAAATGATAACTTGAATATTAGTGAGATCTCGGAAAGGTTTGCATATCACAGAAATTAACCAAACTCATTATTCTTATTGCCAAGATTACATGAAAACTATGTTGAAAATGAACTAAATACGTAAAGAAAGGATATAAAAAAGAATTGCAATCAATGCATAAAGTCTGCATGTCAGATTAAAATATTATCTCCATAACAATAAAAGATTTCTTGCTTTTTACTATAATTGAAGATAAATAATGCAGTGTTTTGAAAATGTACCATCAAACACCTATAGTTTAATAGTACCCATCAAGTACCATTTTACACTATGGTACCCCAACCGCGCGGATGGTGATTTCTAACTTAGAGGGCGTACAACGAGGCAGGAGTAGGAAGGAAGAACGAGAGCAGAGCAATCTCTTGGGTGGAGAATTGAGATTCTCTGCTGCGAATTTGTAACCTCAATCAACTGTTGTACATGTGATTTTTTTGGTAGAAAGAAGTCTGATTCTCCGATAGTAAAAATTTATGCCCTGATCTCCCCATAAAGACGTGTCGAAGCGAGATGGTTATTGAGGACAATATCTTTCTCTGGGGATCAACATAGTTAACAGACGGTGAAACGTTCATAAACATATGCCTCGAAGCTAAATCTTCATGACAACTGAGACGACTTTCTCCACTCAAAGTGAATCGTCGAGAGTGAAGCGCGCCGTCTAGCGATTGAAAAATGTGCGGAAATTCAAGAAATGGAGTGCTCTACGATAGCGGGTGAAATTATCGAGTAAAATACCATATAGAGTATTTTGTATCAAATACCATAATATACCATAAAATACGATGGCGTATAGAGTATTTTGTACTTTCAAATATTTGATACTTAAAATATGAACTTGTGAATTTCAAGTCTGTCCTAACTCTGCATGTACATGTACATTGTGATTTCTCGAAGAAAAGAAAACTTGAAACCATAAACACGAATGAAATTGATGTGTAAACTTTAACCAGCACAGTAACAAGATGAAGATGACATGCACTTACAAAGTAAATGAGTCAAATGCTACTTTGTAGATGATTTCAAAATAGTTGTACTGTATTACCGAAAAGAGGTTTTAATTTGAGAAATTAGTTGATGGGACCCGGGGAAACTCAAAATGAAACATTTTACACGATGGGACCCATAAACGGCCCTGAGCCCCACCGTCAGTGATGTTCCAATACTATCTAGGGTTATTTCGAGTAGAACATGAAGTCACGTCAAGACCATATCCGGAGTAATTCAGACTCATGGTGCCAGTCGTTTTCTTCGACATGGCTGCGAACTAGTCGCCAGAATACTCTGGTCGACAGTGGCGGACACTCCCACTCTATAGAGCAAATCAGTAGCTTATAAGAACATGGCTTACGGTGGCCGTCGAATGGGGTCCCATCGGGTAAAATGACACCTGATGGTCCCTTCAAGACGAATTGAGTTTCCAAGGGGTCCCATCAAATAATTTTCTCATTTAATTTCCATCAAAGCAATATTCCATAAAGATGATATAACATCTGTAACACTGAAGTAACTTCAGAATATCAGTAACGTGAATTCTATGTTGCTGTGTTGATCAATAACTTGACCAAATGAAGAACCCACAGAGATCCGATTGAATGATTCTTAATATGGAAAGGATACCTCCACCCAAAATGAATGACACTATGCTGAACAACACGTGAGATGGGAGCCAGGTAAACATCAGATGATTGTACATGTCCATATGCCCTTTAGAATCAGAAAAGTACCTTGAAATTTCTTGGACTTGTCTATGTCTCGGCCAATACCGATTCAACATCGCATGCTCCAAAGGATGAAACTTTACATGTGAGGGCGTTACTTAGAAGAACCAACATTACTTCAGTGGGATACGAAGACAACTTGTAAATAACTGATACAAACATGCTAGAGCAAATTTGAAATTTCTTTCCTTCTCAGCTGAGAGTAAAGGACAAAAAGTGGTACATAATTGGCATAAAAACTACGATCCGTCCACCCAAGCCAGACAGGTAACAAGTATCATTCCACAGGCTATAAGTGCTCATTACAAAAAGTGTAGTCCAAATCGGAACCTAACACTAAAATTGAAGTACGAAGATGTAAGTACGGAAATGTAAGTACAATTTGATGGGAAACTCGCACTGCTGACTCACGCAAGGAGAGCTTCTTCTGTTGCTTTGATAAGCATCCTCACCTCCTGAAGCCCAGGCATATCATCATATAATCTCTGCGGTGTGTTTTGAGCACAAGATGACCCCTCGAAGAAGTGCTCAATCAAGTTTCGATTTATCCTTAAGGCAGCTATACCAAGACTTCTTGTGCAGAAACATGGCTCGATACGTAAGTTCCAGAAGGACATCCTTGAAGCTATATTCGTTATTTAAGCAAGGACATGCCTTGAAGCTCACCAGTAAGTCAATCTATTCACTAGGTCACCGACTATTGATACTCTCAACCTCTGGCGTATCTTGCACAAGTTGAGAGGTGCTCTTCACGGTTTGTTCAGATTCACAATGATCCTAAACCAAGAAGTATATTTGTACACGGTTTTTACAGAGGAGCATTCAACAACTCCACGGTAACAACTCCTGGTAATAACTTACTTCGCACACTGGTTGCACCTCCGTACATCTGTTCTAAAATCTCAAGTTGTTGAAAGTGGGAATCCGCAACCTTGCAATCTTGAGGGATTGATACCTGAACTAAGCTTATCACAGCCTTTGCCGAATCTAAGTTATTGTGCTGAGATCAAATCTAAGACCCAACAGACCAGCAGCAAAGAAGTCGTACCACACTATACAGGTCCAGCTAGTAGCACACTCTTATCCCAAGACTGGCAGAACTGACCTTCATAGGAGAATACACCTCGCCGGCATATCGCTTCGCCTCTTCAAAGTTCTGCCAACTTACCATCCTCCATCTTTGCCACCTTGCAAAACCCGTTGCAAAGTGAAAATTTCCCCCTGTCCTCCGTTCAAATACCGCTTTTCCATAAGACACGCGGTCAATTGCCGTAATAGCATCTCAAGAGCTGATTGTGATGGTTTGCCCAGGTTTGCAGGGTTAGTAGCCAGTACGACTGCGTTCACTGCATCTGCCACTGCTTCACGCTGAGCGACATGTAATAAGTAGCTCACCATTGACTTTTCAGGATGTTCGTAAGCCAACAACGCCAGGCAGTCCTGCAGGTGCGTATCTTCAACAGAACCAACAGCAAAAAAATTTGCTAGCTCAACTCGAGCATAGTTCACGGCAGCTTCCAAAGAGCCCGCTTTCACCAACTCGATATATTTCTGACAGTGCAGGAGAAAACTAACTAAAGACACCCCACTCTGAAGTAACTCCGGATACCATTCCCGCAGCTTTGCAAACACACCGTCGATGTCACCCTCCCTAGTAAGTTTTCGTAGTATCTTGCGCTGCTCCAGGGCGTACGATTCAGTATCGTTTCCAGTAACAGGACCTTCGGGAGCGACTACTACTGGCGGAAACGTACCACCGCTAGCGACATCAAAAGCCGTAAGAGTATCCTGATATCCATAGTGCAGTAAATAAGTCCTCACGACATTGTGACTGATACTCAATGGAAGTGGCACGCTTTCGACTGACCTTTGTCGTCGTTCTCGCTCTTCCTGCACCATTGCCTCAATGTCAAATATGAATGGTTTCTGACCAAAATTCACCTCCACCTTTTCACTTGGGCTGTGCAGACCAATGGTAGGGTACAATGGACCTTTGCCTTCCTTTATGTGAGTCCCAACTAGCTTGCCATTCTTTGTAAAAAATAACTCTTGGGCAGCATAATTGATGCCAGCACCCACGGTATCCCCTGTAGTGAAGGTAGGGCCGAAACTGTCACCCCTGCCGCGTCCGTGATACAACAATCCGTCGTCACCATGATAACCGTAGCTGTTGGGCTCCCATCCAGGCTGCCTACTCATTTTGAAATTCTCATCAGTAAAACCAATAGAGATAACCCCTCTCTGGCCACGATCCTTCAAAGAGATTTCGAAGTAGTACAAAAGCCTTTGATGCGGAGCGGGGCGATTACTTTGAATGGCACCGACGTCGTGACCGTGTTGGCCATCACCATTGTACCTAGCCGAAAGCTTGTCTGTGGAAATCACGAGGAAATGACCGCAAGTAGTTGTGTTCAAGTGAGTCGGTACCTCCTCTTCTTCTGGTTTAGGTTCTGGTCTTCTCCAGTCATAGAGACTGTAAAGGTTCCTACTTCCACCGGTCGGCTGCATTGTCGCCACAAGCTGGTCACCACCCATGCCGCTTCAGTACTCAAACCCTGCTTTTTGAAAAACGTAGAACCACTGAGCTAAACTGCTAGCCGTAAAATCGAGAGACACAAATTTGGGAAAACAAAGTGATTTAGTTCAGAAGAGGACTGGAATATTGTCACCTGGACAACCTCATTCAAAATCACATTCCCTGGCCTTTGCATCTGGATATATAACCTGGTGATGTCCATCAGGAAGTCCAAGACTCTCAGAGAAGCCTAATACACTTGCCTTTGAATATGAACTACCCACCAATGAATGACGGCCAAGAACAAGAGGCAGAGAGTGTAAAAGGGATACTATCCAAATGCCTTCTCCAAGCGGAATGTCAGTTTTTACTAAGAAGAAGTAACACAGTACATGATCAATTCAGATTTGAGTTCGAAGAGTTGTTCTCGTCAATTCCCAATGCGTCTCAAGTACTTATATTGCAAGGAACAGTAAGTCAGCAACTCACTACATGAAAAAAACGTCTAGCCTAATAAAAGCTAAAAGAAACGCAAGAACGAAACGAAATTTCGATGAGTCAAAGTCTTGCTAGTCATTGCAGCCTAAAGTCGAGTAAGGTCGAATTTTAAAAAAATAATTGAGCTGAAATGATGATGTTACTCCATCTAAAAAGATCGCCATGAATGCATCCCCATGTCAAACCCCATAAATAACACCAGACATGTCAAACTACGCGCTGCGGCTAAGCTTGTTGGCTGATAAGACAAGGTAAGACCTGGTTTATGAAAACCTATCTACCACGGGAACGATCGAAAGGATGTGCGAAATATATAAAATCGTCATTTGAAGGATTCGAAACAATCGCACCAATCCAAATTTGAATAGGAGCGCGTTCCGTGCGAGTGGAGACTAGGATTAATTTCCCGGCTACCTTACGGCAGCAATTCAAATCTAATCTCACGGGTTTGATTTACAATTGCATTAATATATTCAACCCTAATATTCTATGAAGAAAAGGTTTCGGCAGAAAACCTTAGTAGGATATAAACGAAGAACAACAATATATGTTTGAAAACAACTTTCGACAGAGGGATGCCACAGAAGTTCGAAACGACGACTGCCTGCGGCACATATTGCAGGACATCATTTCCCACAAGGTAGCCTCATTTTTCTCCTAAACGTCGAAGTTGAGCAAAGCAAATCCGAACAAGGTATACATACACCCCAATCAGCCGGTGGCAATCGTTCTACAGTTCCCAAACCTGCGGAGGGCTGCTAAGGCAGGGCTACAGCAGAAGAATTCCCCAATCACTAAACACGCCACGCACTCCAAACGCCCAACCGGCGCGATCACAACAACTCAATGAACAAGGAATTTATCCCCCAAAAAAGAGAGGAATCAACTTCAAGCTGAATTGGAAATGCGAAGCAGACCTCTCTGTCAACTCCCAACTTCGAAAGATGCAAGGACCGGAGATGAAGAAACAGCTATTTCTCTCTATTCTGCTGTACATAGAGCCCAGCCAAAGCGCGTGAAGAGTACAAAGATAGAGCTCGACGAAAAGGGAACGATGCGGTTGGAAAGCAAACCTTAGCTAGGGTCGCAATCCTCCTACTCCTCCTCCTCCTCCTCCTCCTCTTCGTATGCACAACGATGGCGACCACGTAAACAACGCCTCCTGCCACAAAGAACCCGCAGACATCCTACGGCCCAACGCCGCATACAAACGAACCGGTAGCCCCACACAGAGCATGCAAATGCCGGGACATGGTTCCGACCCCAGTTCCTGAAATCGATCGATTGGCACTCCAGCGACGTTCGGCAAATTTCCGCTCACTCCGACCGACTCCCGACCGCCTTGTGAATCACACTTCTCGACCACGCCCTGATTGAGGTGGCCGTACTGGTCAGCTTTGTAATCTTGCTGTACCTGCCAGTTTCTCTTGTTCTCAAACCCAATCGTCCACACTACTGGCGGTATTGCAGATTGTTGTTCCAGATTAATCCTTTGATTAATTTTGCTTTTGCTTAATTAAGGATCAGGTGATGATCATCTTCCACTAAACAAATGGACAGTACTCACAACTCTAGTTTCCTCTTGATACCTTCTTGTCCGGGTTGCGAATCTTTTGGATCTTGCTGAAGTCGGTAACTCTCAACCTTGAACTGGCTCCCCCAACCACACCACGCGGTCAACCACAAATCGAAGATTTGTTACTCTCATGCGGCTGGTCAATGACATTGAAATCTTCCTATCTCCCTTGGCAAGCGATTTCTACAAGTAAAATTTGGTAGCTTTGAATGTAAGGAATAACTCCTTGGTTCTTATGTTATTTTATAACAAATATTGAATATAAACATGTGGTTATTACTTGTACTAGATATTAAGAGAATAAAATATGTCATAAAATTATTGTTGAGAATTTATATTCTTTGTTTCTCCTTGATATTTATGATTTAGATCGATACATTAGAGATGTTATTACTTATCGTTCTAGTCACTACATAATGTTCTTTTGATTCTCTCCTAGGTTGGAGTTGGATTGTTATTTTCAGTTTTTTGACCTTTTGGGTCCCATGGGCTTGATTTATTTACCACAATTCACACACGTTAGTTCTGAATTTGATTTTGAAAAATACTTTCACAACTATTGTATAACTTCAACCTATTCCAATCGATTACTATCAATATCTAATCGCACACGCGTTTTTCTTCAGTTCACTAGAGCAGAAAGGTACATATTGGTAATAACGTAACCATGTAATTCTTCACTAAGTTGAGTCACGTGTTTGAATCACTTTATGATTTTAACAAAACATATATCATTGCTAATTAATGAATATAAAATATGCATTAATATTTTCGAAATTGATAATGATCTAACTTTTAATTAAGTTAAAAATGGAAAATTGTACTTCCAAATCATTGTACATGAGAAAAAAATTCAATAAAATTACTTCTTTACAAAAGTTAAAATAAGACTTTGATCACATTTCATAACACCAACATTATGAAAATTTTTGAATAGTGTGAATATAGAATTGTGTATGATACATCAACCGTCTTGTTCAAATTTTATACACATTACCTCCATCAATTATTATATTGATATTTCATGTGATTAAACTGTTGAATCTTCTGAAATTGATGCGTCGATATTGTCTGACGCTTCAACATTGTAACCTGAGTATAATTTAGTGTAAGTCGATAATACTGTTGTAAAGAAAAGGTTGCTTTCATGGAAGCATAGGGGCTGAAGGATGCATTTAATTTTTACAGGTAACAATTTTCTATTCTTTTAAGTTTAGAAGCTAAATATTGATTTATTTTACCAAGTTTTAACGTAGAATGTGAATAAAGCAGAGAGGTATAATTTGTAATTATAGAGCTGTTTCACATAATCATATAATATAAATTTTCCTTTTGAAATAATCTATTTTTTAAATTATCAGTAAGTCTCAAAATCTGAAGTTTCTCGATGATATTTTGATTGTTTTTGCTCTTTTTTAATACTGCTGAATCCTTTCTACTCCACATGCAATGGACGCGCAGGTCTATGTGGACAAGTTGGATGAAGCCGTATATACTGTCCGGATTATAAGAGAAAAGTCTAAGGGAATATTTCTGGTCATCCTCCGCTTCATGGATGAGTATGTAATTGATATTTTGCTTGCGAATATCACTACCTTCTGTGGCATTGCGCTGCGCGAATTATATCTTGAGACCTAATTGGACATTCACCGTATAGAAGCCTAGGATAGCTGAAGTTGGTAAAGACTTGACGTTGTTGTGAAGTTCTCGATAGTAGCAACAAAGTTCCTGTACTCAAGTGATTAGATAATAAGCTTAGCCATTTCCTTAGCATCTTCTCGGAGGCTCTTGTTGTTTATTATGAACAGGTTGGACAGGAGGTCACTATCGCCGACTAGACATGAGAACGAATTAGGGTCTAGGTACGAATCATCCGTTGTATTTTTGTAGCAAGATTGTCTCAACCAATAAAGTGTATCCAATGATAACTTGTGATTCAACAGATTCTTGTTGGTTGTAAAACCTTGATGATAGAATTGACAAGAGCATGAAATCACTTTTTCTATTTCACGAAGAAAAGGACGAAACATGAGATCAAAGTCCAACTTGAAAAGTACAACTCGCAAGATGCAGTAAGAATATACAAGAGAAACGGAAGAAAACGCGGGGCTGCAAGAATGCAAGACAAAAGCTTCGACGGCTGAAAGATCGTTCTGCCGTAGTTTTGCGGACCATTTTACCGATATATTCAAAATGCTATCGTTCACACATTCTCTGATGTAACACACCTTCTATTCATTGTTAAACACATCTTCAAAGAATCGAATGATAGGGCTTCGCTGTGCCAAGAATCGATGAATTCCTAAGAGTTTTTATGTGATTGGTTTCGGCTACTTATCTTGCTCGACGAATCTGTCCTGTGTCACACAAGCAAATTCGCCATCGAACTTTCCAAGAAGTGCAGGATGGATGCTAGCAGAAGCTCGCAACTCGGCAAAGAAGAGAATCATGTGTTGTGTCGGAAAGTGACGTATCCTAACTACGCCTACAGTCGAGAGGTAGCGGGATGGCTCAGGCTCTTTCTCCTCACAGAACAGTACAATGTTTCAATCTGGAACAGGTAACAAAAAATTCTATGTGTCGATGGTGATTATGTAGTGTTCGGTCTGTTTTCTTCGTCAGTGTTGAATCCTGCATATATTGACCTTGTACATTTTGATTGTACTCAAAAGAAGCCAATCCGAAGTCGACAATTTATTCGACCAATACTTGCGCTAATGCGCAATTAATTATCTCTTGTATACTGAACATTCAATGGAAATATTGAAAATTTCATTTACGATCGCAATGCAGGTTTGTGTTTTGATCATAATACAGAAATTGGTGAGACACGGAGAAACTTACTCAGTATCAGGTGTGAGTAGCCACCAGCCAGAATTTTGACAGTAGGGTGCTGGCTTTGGAATACCGATTAATCATGGCACACGCAGCAAAGATGAGTGCTTTAGTGGAGATACTGCAGCAAAGGTTGCAGGAGGGAGTAGATAGAGTGAGACCTTTCGAACGCAAAGACTTGATCAACCAGTTGCTGCAAGTATCAAGGTGACTTACTTGAAATTATGTGCAGTAGAATGTCTCTTTTGTATTCTGCCTTCGTTATGAAACCTTACTTAGGGGCAATTTGAGTAGTAGTAGATATCCATATTATTTTCTTCCAGCAATTTGCATTACATAAACTAACACTAAGAAAATGAACTCTTCATGCTGATTCAAGTTACTTTTCGTCGACTTTTACCGCGTAAGTCTGCGATTTCTTTGTATCCATGGATGTTCGAATTATGCACACTAGTGTTGTCAGGAGATTCTGTCTTCGGCTAACATTCTACTCATTAACACTGTTTGTTATAGGGCTGTTGATCACTCAGTTGCTAGCAATCAAAGGCCCAATACTACGTACAAGATTTTGGACATATGCAAGTTGGTACGTCAAGAACAAGCTACTCATCAGATTTGTGTTTATGTTTTAGGGGAGGAAAGTTTGTTAGTGGAGGTAAATATTGTCCAAGCATGATGGAGATGTTGAAGATTGTGATACAGTTTCAGCCTAAACGCACGAATCTAGTTCCAAAAATGGGAAGAGATTTTTTTTTATGCCTCTGGTTGGGATGGGGTTTTTTAGTAAGAATGCACGATCTTAGCTTATAATCACACACCTGAATCAATCCTCTTGATGTACCAGATAATGAAGTTGAAGGAGGATGACCAGATCAAACCATCAATGATGGTATTTTTACTCTCTATCAAAGTACTTTCTCTTACTTTCTCCTTCTTGCTCGTTTATGTTTTGTTCTATGAATGATTTGGGTCAAAATCTATGAGTCTAGTTAACCCAGCAATCAATTACATGGTTTTATGCTTTAATTACTTCAAACTACTAGTGACGCTTGATAAGAAAAATCTAGGCTTGTGGCTACTTCTAGATGATTTCGAGTTATTTTTGATGGTCGTGATATATAGCTGCTACACTCTAACAATATCTTTTAGGGTGCATGTCGGGCAGGTTGGTTCCGGCCCGTTGAGGCAGAGGAATTTCTGTCCATGTATGACCAGGTAAGCCTGTTTTCCAGTATGGATTAAACATCAGTAAGATAAAAAAATTTTGATGGCTCTGGTTATTTATACGTCTACTGTTTTCCTTCACTGTGTTTTTTTCATTGACTTCACTCCTCATACAAGTTGTGGTCTTATTTCGTTAGTTTTGTCATTTTAGGGTTTTTATACATCTTGCCATAGTTTTACCGCTCGTTTCTAGTACTTGTAACAGATCTTGTTAATACATACATATAAACCTCTATCAGAAATTATGGATCACTATTCAGGAATTTTGTTAGCGCGTGCATTGTTATGTCTTCCACAGTTGGGTATTTTTTAGAAATGATGTGATTAAATAGGATTACTCGACCTCACATTACCGGTTACCCAGTAAATATCCGGTGAAATTTCAAGATCACAGTGGCACAAGGCGGCCTAGGCTTGTCTCCTTTTAGCTTTTGTTGGGCCCTGCCTGGTTACCTGCAGATGTACACCGGTGATGCAAACTGCAGTGTGATTACGTGAATATATGCACCTTGGTACACACTGATGACTCTGCTAAGTTGTGTGGTGGCTCAGCGATGCTTGCCATTCAGCTGTGGAGATGGTCAATGGACCCAGGTCACATTCCCAAGGGCAGCCTTAACCGCATTCATGTCATGCACTTCTGATCGCTCTTTGTTATATTAGATTTGTTAGCATGTTAGTTTATATCTCTCGACAACTTGGGTTCTTTCACTTGTCAAGAAGGCATGCTTTTATTCTAATATGCTCATCCGAGCTGTCCCACTGTTTGTCTGGTCGTCTCCCATAAAGCACAAAATGTGTTCCTTTTTAATCTCAGGCTAAGCCCTTGCATTTGAACGTGTGTAATTTCAATATATTTCCATGTACTTTCACATCTTATTTACCATACATAAATTACCGACACTGCAGTTCTTCTGCAGTGTTTGTTCTTTGTTCTCTACATATGTGGTTAATAATCAAAATGCTGTTGTAAGCTGGATCTCAACTACTATTATGTACAAGATGTTTCAGGCGTTGATGTTGAATGTAATCTCTGTGTTGGTTATCCAGTTACTTAAGTATTTTCAGCTGGATGGAGATTGCTCAAGACAGTTAACAGGAAGTGCAGTTACAGATGAAGAAAATTCCATTGCCGTAAATTTGATCAACACCATATGTCAGAGGTAGGGCGAATAGTTTTACTTTCTTGCTTAGACTTTTAATCAGTAGACTGATGTACCAGATCTTTCTTCTTGTGTGATCTCACAATATTTTGAAATGTTACAACTGATTCCTAGCTCAAGTGTGAGAAGCGAACGACAAGTTATGGCGGTTTATCTGTTGAGAAGCACATCAAAAGTTGAATCTGATATGAATGCACCTTTCACTTCTTGACTTCTCAAACCTTGTATAAACGTCAGGTACTGTCCAAGAGTCAAGATGGTCTCTGTCATCCTATCTTTCACGACGAAGGTTGGTCAATCTTCTACCTTTTAAATACTAGTCCAGTATAATTGTCTGGATTTCATTGTTTTCTCTCAAGTTTTAACATGTACTATTTTAAACATTAGTATTGTTTAAGTCTTGGATCTATCCATCGCATCTTTCACTTTTGTTAGAAAGATAATGAGCATTGTGGGGCCTGTGGTGGAAAGCTAGGGTAAGTACATGCCAACCTTGACGTTACATACACGTTTTGTATACAGCAAGAATATGAAAGTCGTGGTTGTGATTTTATCGTAACACAGCTTGCTGCAAAGACCAAGTTGGTAAGTACTACACCCTTTTCTTCATGCTACCGTGATTCATAAACTTGGCTAGTTATTGACGGTTATAAATGAGCATGTATCTTGTTCAATCTATCTTTCAATGAGGCATTCTGTGCTTGGTATAATTTTCTGACAGTTTATTCAAAGGTGTTGAACTAATCGGTTGTTTCATGTGAAAGAGTTTATTTGTGATACAGGTCGAAAACACGGAAACATCATCATGCTTAGTGACCCCAAATTCACTCAGGTTGGAATGTAGTAAACTGCTCTTTATAACAGAAAATAAACAGAGTTACTTTTGGTTCATAGAGCTAAAATCGTATCTCGTTGCAAAGTCTTCCTTATTAAGAAATTTTACGGATGATGAATTGTACTGATCCAAATACTTTTTCCTAGTTGTTGATTCAACTATATAAAACCTTCCGTCATCATAAAGGATCTCTGGATTGTGAGCAATCTAGAGATCCTAAACTCCAAGTAGGCAGAAGTACATGTGTAAGTTACTATTAAATCAACAGAGAGAATGTCCTCAGTGGCCTGTTGAATTATTGGCTAGAGATTACAGTTTCTTGTGTTTGTAACATCATATTTTTTCCTGGTGCGCATATTATTAAAACTTTCACGGACACGGACGTGTGCACTGCACAATGCGTGATGTGTGAAACCTTTTATCGGTTGTGACGGGAAAGAAAGAGAGCTTACCTGCCTATATAGACAAAGTAACACTTCTGCAACGAGCCACAGAGGAGACTGTAAGATCTTATGCACTTAGTTAAGAAATGATTTGAACTAGCTGGAAACTGACCGACATTCTCCACGTTGTCTGTTCTTTCCATCATTTGGGAATGTTTATTGTTACAGTTTTGTACTAAATGGTAGAGGTGTCGACAGAAGATCGTCTCTCCATAATTCCCCGGTGAGATAGGTCACTTTTCGATTGATTTTTTAGAATCTTGAAACTTATATATGTTCAATGTTATGTTAGTTTCTCTTTCTTCTACACATTTGTCCACCCTTTGTATTTCAAATGTTTTGATTTGTTTGGTAGAATGTATGCTAGTTTGATTCTGACTTGTGTCGTTTGAAATTTGACAGGAAACCGGACCACAGATGCCATCAGATGTAACGCATTTGTTGAGACTCGGAAATAATTTCATCCAAGTTGTTGGCGAATGTCCAGGTAGTGAAAACTATATTGTCCTCTATATTCATGTCCTTGACTTGGGCTGATCTTCATTTCATATCAGTTGTTCAGGAAAAAAAAAGCTCAAATTGGAAAGGAAGGATCAGAAATTTAAGGTCCACTGCTTTACAACAGGGTCGAGGGAATGGTTGCAATTCCTAAATTTTCTTGATACATCTCGCGAAACGGAACCCGTGGGTGGTGTCGAGGAATATATTGCTCAGCTACAACAAGACCCACTATCTCCCTGTGTTCATCCATCTTAGTTGAAGCTGCCAGCTGATAACGTTTGTGGAGAAAATGTATTGTCTTGCAAGATAATGTGTGTACAAGCCTAGGAAAATAATTTCTGTGTTCGTGTTTCGACCAAACACTCTGCACCAAAAGTTAACTAAATTGTAGAAATTATGAAATTTCGGTGTCTCTTGAATCGAAGCTCTTGTCGGAGGTGATGTAGATGTATCTGAGTAGTTCAAGAATTTGGTATCTAGTGGTCCTCGCGCGTGAGATCGCTTACCTATTTCTAGCTGTGTGGTTTGCGAGTAGTTTTGAATCGCTCTCGGCCATCAGTCTCAGTTCACTGGCTCAACATGTTCGTTTCTTAATCTGAAAGAATTTATTGGTACATACTTGTTGCAAGAAAACCATCAGTATAAGGAGATATCCGCTAGGATCTCATTTGCAGCTAATTTTTTTCCAGGCCTGTCAGACACTGATATTTAGTTTTTTGGAAATGGCATCTGCAGCTAGGCTGCAACTGAAGTTTGGTGATGTTTAACAATAATAACTTACTGTGACAATCATAGAAACTTGTACCGGTCATAACTACAAGATCTATACCTCCCATACAGGCAAATACTTGGTGGCAATTGGGACGACAACTATCACATCTTTCACTGCGTCCTCCATCGAATTGAAGGATTATGTCGTTCCTTCGCCTGCAGGTGAAATCTTTTCACACGATTTACACTCTTTTTGGATGATTATGTTCACAGCAACCAAGGAAGCCAACCTTCAGTTGAGTTTAGAATTTTTCCGGGTGTTTTCAGAGCTTCCCATCACTCCTGGGAGGTAAAAATTTAAAATCAATTTTTATTAGTCAAAAGCCTGCTCCGAAAATGTTCATGGTGCTGATGCTAACATCTTTCTTACTTAGGTGAACTTGCGCATGGATCCCAGTACTCGAAAGCTACAAATCAAGCTCTTGACCCCCAGTTATGGTTCCTCACGCGGTTGCAGGTGACGGTACTGATGATGAAGTCGTGGAAGCAGGTTCACGAGTTTCTCTTCGTTGTCCAATAAGGTAGCATTCCGCTCAATACTGTTTCGCTTGAAAGAGGCCGGACATCTTTTTGTTTTGTTTTTCTTGATCTTGCAAATTAGGGTTGTCTATTGTTTTAAAAAATTTCGGAATAATACTCTCACTAACATAGGCAATATTTTATGAGATGAGCTATCTAGGTGCTATTTCTGACTGATCGTTTGGTCACCATGCAGTCACAAGCGAATAAAAACTCCGGTCAAGGGTGAATTATGTAGGCACCATCAGGTATTTGTTTTGAAGAGAGGTTCCAGCCTGCGGACCCTTGTTTATCCGCCATTTAGACTAGTTCAAATTTTTTTTTGCAGCTTTAACTGTATCACTTGAAACCTTTTCAAGATATCCCGGTCTCGGCGCTCTTGCTAATTTGTAGGTTTGAACATGTCCTGCATTTTCCGCGCATGAGATTCTACACAAGTGCCTTCTAGAGCCCGTACCTTACGGACAGATTTTGCATTCTTTAAAAGAAAACTGGAAGGCCGTGTAGTTAGGTCTTCAACTAGAAACTAAGGAAATTTTTTGCGTCGTTAGACACATTAAAGATATTTTCATTTCTTTTGTTCTCGTATTTGATTGCAAAAGTATGGTTTTGAGTAAAAGATGTGCTTCAGGTCCACTTCATTACATTTTGTTTTCCTACTGATTTTACTAGTCACTCAGTGGTATTCATAACGCCAACAATATTTTGTCTTGATCACGCAGTGCTTTGACTTTGATAGCTATGTTGAAATAAATGAGGTACGACCTGTCTGGCGGTGTCCCTATTGCAACTCCAACCTCAACTGTCTACAATTACGTCTTGATAAGAAAATGAGTCAGGTGAGATATCTGTCCAACAGGCTGTCATCAGACATGATTGGCGCAAATTTGTGTGCTTTACTTGCTCTGTCTGAAGCCATCACGTGAGGACTGTTACTTGAGCTTTTCGTTGCTCTCTTGACCTGTGATTGAGTCGGCAATTATTTGTTAGGTACCAGTAGTAGACCTGATTATCTAAGAGTCATCCTCTTTTCAACTTTACTTCAGATATTGAAGGACGTGGACGAGAAGTACTTTGAGGTTTTTGTTAATCAAGATGGCTCTTGGGTGCCCGGCCAATTGTCAGATGATTTGAAAGAAGCTACTGCTCGATGTACTACTGCAAGTGCTGGTGGTGCTGATGCTCCGATGTTAGATGTTAGTTTTATCGACTTAACGGAGGATGAGGAGATGAATGAGCCGGGCTTATGTGTAGAGAATATCAGTTCACCCAGGGTGCAGCCCGTGGTGTCAGCTGGAAACTTGACTTCAAGTATTGCAGAAGGACCGGAAGACAGGAAACCTGACATTGGAGGGCTATTTGCTACGAGTTTGTCACCATCTCCTGCAGTATCCAATGTCTCAACTCGAGAGAGACTAGATACTTCTGCCGGATATGCTGTACTAAATGATTCATCATATCAGACAGGACTTGCTATCAACCATTCTAGAGGGACACGTGAGTCCGGTGCAGGAGTTCGACACATGCAAAACTCTGCTCCAACTACTCACATGTGGTCTGGTGGCAATGGTTCAGTATATGCTTCATCTTCACCTTCTACTGTTCAGCAGCCTGGTAATCGGGCATCCTCTTTAGACAGACAAGCCTATGTTTCTGCTGCCGGGGGACAGGCCTTGCCATTGACCAATCAAGCATTGGGACAAAGAGCCAGGATAGGCTCTCTGTCCCAAAGTGCCATGTCAGGTGTACCGGCGCATGGTGGCTTCATAACAAGCACGAGTCAGACGCAGTCTAGTCTTCCGCCAACTGCTCCGTTGGGATCTGAGCAGGTGTTTCAACACGACGTACTTTATCAGCAACAATCACAAGATCTCTTCAGACAAATGCAGCTCAACTCAAATGCCTTCCGCGCACCCGGTGACATGGTATGCACCAGTTGTGTTTGCATATAGGGTTTATGTTTATACTGCCGATGCTCTTCGTTCTCGCAGCCTAATTGCAATACCTGTGTATGTAAGGTTGAACTCAGAGTCAACCTCGTTACTTGCTTCTATGATAATATTGTTTTGGTGCCTTTCTTTTAATGTTGTGCCTTCCTCAGTTACGAGCTGCCTCAGGCAGGCATACGGAATGCAAGTCCTTCAATTATTGTTGAATATGTCAGCGCTTGAGATACTGTTGATCATCCTCGAAAGTCTCAACAGTAACTGAAAGTGTTTAGACTATCTTCTTGCACTTTCTTTCTTCAAAGTCTCGAGGAACTGATCAGATCTGATCTACTAGTTGAAAGTGGCCGATAATGTGATGTAGGGAAAGAAATAACATTCCAGTCCTAATTGCTTAATATTCTCTACTACTCCGACTATAGCTTGCCATTGTTGAGGCAATGCGTTCCTGCCTCGTCAATTTTTGTTCCCATTTATATTGAGCTCTGTTTTGTGACATCTTATTTAGGATGCATCTCAACGGAACCAGAGGCGGGGTCCACGGAACACTGGGATTGGCCTCCACCATAATTCGGTGCAAAATGATCAACACCTTGCTCGTGAAGTCCAGATGCAGCAGTTTGGAAGTGCAAGTCCGTCTTTAGCCGAACAATCACAACACAACCAGACATATTCACATCTTGGGCACAGTCACAATATTTCGCGTCAGGATTATTGGCAAGCTCCGCGTTTGACACAGCAGCAGCTCCTACAGCTTCAAGTTCATCTGAATCATCCAAATTCTAGACCTTCTCCAGGAGGCCGATCTCAACCTTTTATTTCACCGCCTGCGGTGCCAATCGGAGGTTCACAACAGGTGTCAAATTCGAGGTCTAGTCCTCGTGTCTTGAATGCAGCGACCGTGCATTCATCGACGGCGACCGTCGCTGCAGCTAGCAACACCACAGGAGTAGCACCACCACAAGTTGCGAATTGGAGGCCTGCAGGGAGAATGAGAGGAAGTGTCAGTGGAGGGTTTCTTGCTGGTAATCGGAGTGGAGTTAATTCCGTTGCACCTCAGCCTGGGACAGGAAGTCGTACTCGGGTATCAGGAGCTCCTATGATATCAAGCTTGCCCTTTTCTAATACCGCGAATCTGGCACCTCCCAACCTCAATAGTGCTAATTTATCACCTTATCCATTGCCTCTTCCGACTGTGCCTAGCGTGGAGAGTGTGCGAGCAACGACATACGGTGCCAGTCGTCTTCCTTCAGAGGAATTCAGTGTCTCTGATCCATTTTTCAATGCTGGTGGACCGATGACGTCTTCTGAAACGTTACAAGACGTGGTGTGGCACCCAACAATTGGACCTGACCTGGTAGACGGTGGTGGAACACCAGAGGTGGATCGATGGTTAGATGAAGCTATGTTCAATCAAGTCAGTTCTCAGGGCCTTTGATGGTGTTCGGACAACTTTAGTTACGCTCATGTCAGTTATAGGACCCTTTGGAAGTTGTCTCATTTTTCTGGGAAAGTCGCAACATGTCTTTAAACTTAGACATTTTTCTATCAGTACGTTCTCAACGAAGTAGTGAAGAGATAGATTACTTTGATGCACCTTTTCTGACTTCGAAGCAAATCTCAGGAATCTAGGTAAGGGCCTCTGATTGCCCTCTACATTTTGAAACTACTGATGACTCTCTGATCCAACAACTTCTAGTCATTGACACGGATCAAGAGAGGCTTGTTCTAGAAATCCCATATACTGTAATTACAAACCTGGATTTCGTATGTCTCGTGCCCTGTTTGAAAGGAAAGGGTACTTTGATTTTGTGAAATTGTAAGAAGTTCAGAGGAAGAAAATCCAGGAGGAAAATATTTCAAAGTACTTGTACATCGAGCTCGCACCAATACTGTCAAATTTTGCTCTACGAGGTACCTTACGTCACTACGGAGTTCGAGCATGAGTTTTGGTCTCAAGTATTTTTTTTGCTTGCAGATGATTTCCTCGTGATTATACATGACTTAACAAAGGCTCCGGACAAAGGCAGAACACTGTTGACCATCTCATTGCTTCTTCACCTTGTATGCATCATGTGGAACATATGATACTAACCGTGGGTCGTAATCCGAACGCAAGGAGTGCATGTGGAGAACTTCAACGTACTCGTGACCTTGTTGTGCAAGGCGAAATGCTTGAGACCTTGGGAAACCGGCAGTGAACCACCAAACTATTCTGCTGAAGGTTTTGATTATTTCCGACCACAGGAGCAGAATCTTACGATCTGTAGCTTCAGCTGTCTTTGGGTGTCAGATGCGCAGCAAAACAGAAGATGCACAATGCGAAAGGGTACGGCTCCGCGGTGTCCACGAACTGGGAGAGCGCGTAGGAATCACTGCAATTTTCTCAACCAGAAGATGGAACTACTTGCTGGGATCTTCCCTTCCTTTGTTGCTCTATTGCTTGTTTCGCGGATGAAGATATAGAGCTTAGCTTAAAGAGTAAGAAGATTTACCTGTTTTTTCTGTTAGCCTCTTCTGAACACGATGCTTTTCAGCTTTCCATGCTCCACATAGACCGCAGAAGCTATGAGATGGACACTGAGCATCCATGATGTCGAAGAAGAGTTTAATGGTGCAAACTGCGCAAAGACCTGACAAGAGAAAGTCAATGGCCCTTTAGTGGTTAATAATTGCCAAAGACGAGAGCCATATTAAAAGATTCGTCAATACAAAGACTGTACAAGATTGTCTGGATATGCGAAAAGCCGAGCATGGATGAGTACTGCACTTATATAATTGCCAACTATAGAGATCGCAGGAAGGTACTTCAAAGGCGAGGCTAGCTGCTGAAGGTGGGAAGTTTCGATGTAAACTTGAGTTTGGTCGACCACAGCCAGATCCTTTTCCTATAATGGGAATCCGCACACTCTACTACCGTTTTGACATGCCTTCCTGATGGTTGACATCTGAAATGTCTCATGATACGTTCGTGTCGATAACAAATATTCCTAATCCACGATTATAAATTGATTTTGAAATTTTATTTTTTTAATGCAAACATGTTGTACTTTGGGACTATGCTTGATTCAGGGACAAAGGGTTTGAGGACTGCTATGAAACAGCCACCTGCAAAGAGAGCAACCCATTCCTCTCTTTTCCGAAGAGGGAATGATGCTCTGATTCAAGGAATGTGATGGCTCTAGAATCACTACTATCCTAGAGTATGCTGTGAATGGCTACTGCTGCACGGTCAAAGCTATCGTCATGATCGAGCTCGACCTTGAAGGCTGGCGTCTACCAGATTACGATCCAAGGACGCTGAGCATCAATCATTGCTGTCGGAATCGCATCATAAGCTTGTAGAAACGCATGTGTAGTCTGATGACGTCTTCAGAAGATCGGGCTCTATGACTGAGTGAGTGCTCAGTATAATGACGGTCAGCAAATACGGGCAGCTTGAAGGGTTTTTCTCAAACCTTTTCTTCTACACTTCGAGTACTTCGCATGTGAGCATAAAGACCTGAAAAGAATGGGAAGAGCTCGTGTTTCTCGTGTACACAACAAGAGGTTTTATTTGGACGACAAAAGACTTGAGGCAGGGGACTGAATTAGTATGAAAGCATAGAGATGATTTATGGAGAAATCCTTCTACATTGATATGTCATACAGTTACAATGATACTTTGGAGATCTCAGTATCGTGTAGTAATAGGTCGTGCAAGTCTCCAACGCTTCAAATGAAATTTTGGAATGAAACAGGCTTCACGGACGCTCCATATCTATTAGAGAAGACTTGTATTAATTGTATAATTATCGAGATGAACTTCAAAATAGTTTGCTCATAAAAGAAATCAAACACAGTTCTTGTACCTTATTCCAAACAATTAGATGTTTTAAAACCGAGAATCCGATCTTTAAGTCACTCAGATGACAGGTTTCTATAGTATCAGAACTAGTTCAGGGCATTTGCCAATGGTTTCTGCTTCATTGACTTCTCCCAGCTACTCTGTTCGTGAAATTTCTTGACGGTGTTGCCTTAAAATTCTACCAATGCCTCAAAATGATGACGCACATCCGGAGATATACAGGAACCAATTGTGGTCCCTCACATTCCTAGACTTTGAATGAGTATTGATGCGTAAATCATTTGATATCTTATAAAGATTGATAATTATATGGGTAGATACAAGACAACATGATAATAAAAATCAGTAGGTTTTGAATCTACTCTGGCGGAAGGCACTTTGCTTCTATGGTTTTAAGATCTGCTGTTGTTGATAGTTCTGAGTAATATGCTCGTGTTTGCTCGTGTTTGGGAAAGGGGCTGGGGTCGCAGTCCTTTCGTCATGTAGTACAAATGCTTCGATGCCATGGGACTTTTTGTTGAACTGGAAAGACTCCATCTCTTTATACATCCCAGGTTGACTTTGGAACACATGGTGTCGTACCTGTTCACTTTAGAGATGATTTGCGATATCAGAGCACAAAATATGAGACAACTTCCATGCATAACTGTAAATCTGGTGAATATTTCATGACATTTTAATTATTGCATATTGGATCGGACTCCCACTCGGAATGCGATAAAGTGAGTACCAGACTAGGAAAAAATCCGAAATCCTATCAATCAACATTTCAACAGGCAACGCCTCCCAACCGAAAGTGTAGTACGGTGAGGCCTGGAACAGTTTTCTCTAGATTTTAGTTATGCATGTGCTGCAGAGTTGGTCCTCCTTTATAAAGCGTGGAGATTTTATTGTTATAACGCAGTGAGCATCCGAGGCTCCTCCGTTGACACACTCTCGTACACTTCCATCTTTTCCCGTTTGTAATTTACGAATACACTAATAGTTGTTGGGTTTCCAAGTTCTGCTTAGAATAGTTTTTCTTCGAAAAGTACGGAGGAAACGATACATATAAATAACTATTAACAAGCGGGGAAGAAAGTAAAGGATATATATAACACATACAGTGATTATTATATTTGCAACTATGTAGAGATCCATTTTGAGCTTCTTGTGAATATTTACTCCTTATAGTAGTTATTCATTTGAAGTATATATATATGATAATATTAAAAATTTATGAAAACATAAATTTACAAATATCAGAGAAATTTTATGTTAAGTTTAAAAATACGTAGAGAAAGCAGAAGTAGGTAGCACTTACTTTTGGAAGCGAAAAATGGTGAAATTCAGGGATTGACATTATATGAAATTCTAGATCAGCAGAAAGCCTCTTTCTCATGAATTTAAGATGATGTAAGAGTGAATAGATAGTAAAATTGCTGTAATCTAATCAAGTCGTGGAAAGATCAAACCAAATATGTAAAATGGGGCTAGAATACAATCGCATCATAATGAGACGGATGTATGTATGTATTATCAAACCTCTGAAGATTGTACAAAGTACATAAAACTGCAAAATCCGAAGATTCATCAAGTGACAAGAATGTTCCCTTACGTATTGGAGCAACAAGTTTGCTGTTTAGTGCAATGGATACATGTGCACCATAATATGTTACAAATTTTAATTTAAAGAGAGCGAGAGTCTTTATCTTATAACATGAGAGGTTCTCGTTTTTTTACTCACAAGTTATCAAAGTAGGCCTCCATAGCCTAAAAAGAACAAATTGAGGGTACAGAAAATTGAAGGATGAAACCTCCTCGGACCTTCAGACTTAAATACTCTGGTTGTTGTCACTCCTCTTGCCGCCCATCGGAAGAGCATATATCACCGTTTTCACGTTTTCCAAAATTGTGTCAAGTGTACTAAAAAATCCAAAACCTTTGGTGACAGTTGCTCCAATGTAATGGTCTAAAAATTTGCGAAGGATGAACAGGATTTTAGTGATGAACATAATTTTAATCATACGAGGTGAAAGCTTACACAATTCTTATCCACATCAAGAGTTAGTAAATCAACTCTGTTTATTTTGTTGTGAGGATCGCTAGCACATCTGCAGCTCTAAGCTTCCAAGCAAGGCATTTGTAAGCACAAACAAGTAAGCAGAGTTTATTTTCTGAAAACAACTACATGAGGTGAGAGAAAGAGAATAAAAACACCCAAGATTTCGACTTGTCACCGCCCTTCCAGCTTGCAAGTACCTCACGTCTCGTGTCCTCGTGTTAATGATAATCAAATATAGTGGCCTCTGAGTTCGTTCAATATATAGCTAGATCTGATACAGTAGGTAATATCTAGCCTATGTTCATAGTGAGGCAAAAAAGTGAAAAATCTCTGACTCTGTAAAGTTGGTGAATTTTCCTCCACATACACTCACACATACACGTACACGTACAAAGTTGCGTGGTGTACTTCAGGAGAACAGAGGGTACGGAAAGTGGAGTGTAACTACTGAGGAATGTAGTGAACTCGTGCATTGTCGTCGTACACAGGACCTCACTGGAAATTTCAAGATCACATGACTTTTGGTTGAATTCTTTGAGACCTTGGGGTGTTCAGAACTTGTCTGAAAGAGTCATGCATTCATTCTACCTTCAGATCAGAGAAGTGAAAACTCTCAGTCTTGGGAGCGAATCAGAAAGTTTGGGTCCAGATTTCGAAACAATGTTTGTTCAAGGGCGAGGGCGAGGGCGAGGACCGAGAGCGGTCAGCTCAGAGTCCTGAAGAGAGCAGCAGCTGAGCGCAATGTCTCCCCCTACTCAGTCACTCACTCATTTCCAGGAGGAATTGCTAAAAGGAGTGTTGCGTCCCAATGTCATTCATAGCTATTCAGGCAGGTAGATGTTGTAATGCCGAAGCTGAGTGCTGGATTGCTGCAAACGAACGATTGATTGATTTGTTGTGTGTGTGTGTGGTGTGGGCTGGAAGGTCGTAAGGCAGAACACGAGCTTGAGGATGAGGATCGAGAAGAAGTGAGGGAGGGAGTAGATCGTCGTTTGGCATATTGGTTCGGATCGTTGGGAAGGAAGCTCATGCCATGGGTCTAATCTAGCACCGTAGTGCGTAGAGCGTAGTGCGTCGGTGGAAGTATTCGAGTCGAACTTATAGTCACATGGCAATTACAGTACGTGGGGCAGGAGCCATGGAAAAGTGCTCACGGACACATGGCAGGCCGAGGGGCGTCGCATATACGGATCACATGTTGGGCAAGAGATTTTTGTTTCGGGCCTAAGCAAATGGCGAGGTCACGTGAATTGCGCTTGACCACACTCGCGAATTTGCTTTCATTGCACCGCACATCCGCCGGAGTCCGGTGCCTCATCGAGGCTTCGAGGTCTGTATCTCCATATGCTGCTGCTCTGGTCTGCTCTGGTCCATCCGGACTCTGTCTGTCGGACTCGAGGTCTTTCTCGTCACCGCTGGACGAGTACTGTACGTGTTCCGCCATAGCACGCTTGCAGATCCGGGCGGCTACAGCAGCAGCGCAACCTGTGGACTGAAATATCTGATTCACGAATTCCCTACACTTGTGAACTCACTCTGCCATCACTCCACTAGCTCTCGTCCCTCCCTTCCCCATGGCAAGACGCCGAGACCCATCTTTCTCCATCGCCTCGGGCTCTCAGCCTTACGGACTCACTCCTCTACCGAACTGTACACACTCGCCTCGGTAGGTGTGCGTCTCCCGATTCGTCCTCCCTACGAACCACATTTGTCGAACACTGCAAGCTAAGAATTCTGCAAGCACCACCGCCCCGCCATTCCACCAATTACGAGGAAGTAAACGACGGCGACTCGGCCTAACTTTTAACTTATTGTGGTCGGGGGTGAGATCCGCGGTGCAGGGGCTCACCCTTGACCACAATCAGTGACCCTGCACTGCAGATCTCACCGCTGGATTTCTGAGCGTAGCAGGTGTCGATTGAGTGACAGCAGGAGAGAGTGAGAGAGAGAGAGAGAGAGAGAGAGAGAGAGGCTGACTACATATACGCATGCTCTTCATACCTCATTGTCTGTTAGTAGAGCACGTACTCGGAGATCTTGTCGATCCGAGATCTACCTAATCCATGCCTGCAAGGTCTCCTCGTCTTCCGTCTCTCTACGTCTTGACAATCGAGTCAAGTGGACTCGAGTCGCCGGGGCAAAATGTTATCGTCAACAGCAACCAAGTCTGCAGCCCGAAATATGTTTTCACGATGTGGGATGTATCTAATATAATGGGACCCAGAAATATTCTGTTGTGGGCTTGGAAATGGAGGCCGATGCAACTTAATCGTAATTCAATTGTTCTCACGTAACACTGAAATTGAGATTCTTCGAAGGAAGGACGCCACGACGTACGGATGATCATTACCCAAAAGTGGCATCTGCACATCGCCCACTCCGGCTCGATGTGCAGGAGTGACTCAGTTCGTTGAATGGCGTGCCAAGGGTGGAGAACTGCTCGTGAAAGTGAAAATTATGCAGGATAATGTTCTGGCATTGGCCTTTTGTCATGAGCTTTATCGTATACGGTGTGTGCTAGCTAGCTAGCTAGCTAGCTATGGAAAAACGTGCCCAGATGCACAAGCTCGACCTCGAGCGTGAGTGAGGAAAGAAAACATGGGCTCAGATGAGTCCACGAAGTTTCAGCGCTGGTCCACATCCGCCCCTTGCAAAGGGAGTTCAACGTAGGGCTCTAAAGCTGCAGATTGCTCAACAACATCGACATTACTGTGGTGGCTTAACCGCTCGGAAGAACGCACCAGTGCATCACATTCTACAACATTCTCGTAACCCTTAGCGCACAGCAGCAGCTGGCTGAGGTCGTCAATGGGTTTCGGCAAGTTTTATGACGATTGGGGTCATACATTTGATGGTTTTGTTGGTCACCTGTTCACCTATTCACCTCGTAATTCGCACTGCTGCTCTAGAATACGAACTTCAAATCTGCTCGGATCCAGGTGCCGAGAATCGCGACGCGTGTTCCATCACTTGGGAAATTGTCCGAACTGTCAACTGAGTTGAATCTCAGTAGACGGCTTTATCCACATTGACAGCTTTAGCCCAAGACAGTGGCGCAACAATGGCCATGACAAGGTTCTAGAAGCTGCTGTACACGCATCCAGGGTGTAGTGTTACTATTGCCAATCTGCCCTGAACGATTTGAATCAGAAAGATTCCGAGCTTAGAGAGTACGTGTCCGCCCACACGATCAAGGACAACCAAAGTAGATGGATGTGGCCATTTAGTCGGTTGCGATTCGGCCTGGCATGCCCACAGCCTCTTTAACCATGATGCTAAAGTCTGTCTGTCGGCTTCTCGAAGGTGAACATCAGTGCGCAACGAGGCCAAGAGCTTGAGATTAACAGCTGCAGCTGTATCAAACTCCAGGGTTTGATTCGGAACGAGATCGCATCCAGGCCCAGGACTGGTGCTGCCCTTTGATGTACATCGAGAAGCAAATTGTTTCACAGTCAGGGAGGTCTGATTCCATCGAGTCAGTCTGGTTCCTTGTTTGCAGTCCTGGCTGTAACTAGTGTGCGAGTAACGGTCTCTGATTTCGAAAGCTTGGGGTCTGATTCAGAGGAAGATCCTGCTGAATTCCAGGCGGTGTCCTTGGATAACTTACAGATAAACTTTTATTTTTGGTGGAGAATAGAAATCCTAGGCATTTGTGGTTGGGTCTAGATGGATACCGTGGTCACATTTGATGATTGAGCGCGCTAGAATCAAACAGAGATACAGGCGCTGGTCAAATCTGGACCATTTTTAGCAGAAGGACGAAGATGGTTTACTGAACGAACTCCGAGGAAGCCCCAAAAGATAGGAGAGCCGTGGGAGCGCCGACCAAATCGAGCTGGGCCAGAGGAATCGCCGCGCCTGGAAACAGATCTGATTGCAGAAAGCTGCTGCAAGACAGCATCTCTAAAATGCAGGCGATATTAGAGTGTGCCCTGAAGCCCACGTCATTAGTCTACTGTACTTCTCGACCCTACCTGGAAGCTTCGATTTCACTGTGTTGGGAAGCTCCTCAAGAAAGACAGCAAATGCCTGCATCTGTCGATGAGAAATAAGTGCCATGATTCACTTCGTTCACATCCAAAGCCCTCCCTATGCTCTCCGATGCGTTGGCCGACAGGAGTCATTACCTGCGGTTGATGGGGTCAAAAAGACGCCTAGGCCCAGAGGCTATGGGGAAAAAGCTTGGTCCCCTTGGAGCATGCGCACACTCGTGGCTGCCAAATGTGATACAGTACCTTCCCCCCCATATACGGACACCGCAGTAGTCCAGTAGAATACGGGAGATATATAATCGATGACACTTGAAAAACACTGAATTCCAGCTGGATGTGGGGGCTAAAAGGCTTCCATGATTTTCCCTCTACCCAAAACACAAGACGAGGTTATCTAATGACCCGAGCCTGAGTTTATGCTGTGCATATGAATCTCATTTTCACCTCACCGTAACATCACGAAGAGATACTCCATCCTGAAGGTCAGAACTGCAGTTACTTTCATGGTCTTGGTCAATCGGGAATCATTTTAGCTTTGAATTCTTTGCCTTTTTTACTTATTTTTATTTTTATTTTTTCTTGTCCATTTGACACTTTTTTTCTTTGATTATTTATTTTTGGAAAAATTCAAAATATTTCTTATTCTTTCATACTGTAAGATTGACATGTAGAATAAAATGTATCAAGCAGTGATCCTAACCGTATGTTTCTAGTCCAATGAGCAGTGTTGAGCATAAGGGCTTAATCTGTATACTTGAGACTCATTGCTGTGCTTTAAGCGAGCTGGTTTCCATTGCACATAAATTGAAAGTGATTCGAGTGTACGGACCTTTTTGACCTCCAAACTCGCGCAATCACACCATCAGCTTTGCAATAATGAGAAATCTTTTGTAAAGTCGATCACGCTTTCCCATACCACATCCCAGTACAGGAGTAGTTATGCGTATTGCTTTGTTTGAGTCCTTTGAGGGCCATAGATGTCAGTGAGTAAGTGATGTATGTATATCAGTAAGATGTTTTCGTGCTACGTGTAGAGTTGCAACGCAAGGCATTCTCCGCTCAAATAGTTCAAGTTATCCAAGCCTGAAATTTTAGATCCCTTGTCGTCCATCACAACTGTATCTAGTCTGGGAAACTGGGAAACTTTAAATAGAATGGAGCAAGCTTTCAGATCACCGTTGCTGCTGGTCTTGGAGAATGTGGTGCATGTGTCCTGATCTGTCTTGCACAAGGTGGAGGGTGTTTTAGGTGGACTTCAAATTTGTTTTATTTGTATGATCCATGCATTTCCGACATTACTTTCTTTCTGTTTCTTATGTACTTCGTAGAATGTGGTGGGAGGTCTTCGAGTAATACTGTTAAATTTTAACAGAAAGCTATGCATCGTTCTTATGTACACTTATTATACTCTCAATCGACTGCCGTTTCTTTACGGAACATATAAATGATTTCTACCAGTTAAGGAATACTGATAGATTGCATTCTATGAAATTCTCGGGCACACGTAAGCAGTCTTCAGACGAGGAATAGTTGGAATATTCCAACAACGACATGATATAAGAACTTTCTTCCATGTTCGTTTTCTTACACACTTGAACGCCGCTTAAGTTACAGGACTTTTCAGAAAGTCTGACGAAGGTTTCTTCTTCATGATTATTGTTGAATGTCGTAGCCAACATACACAATCACCACATGGAAAGTTCTTGATTGTTCCACGAGTATATATCGTCCTTGCGCAATTCGAATTTCATTCATGTTCGAGTGATGGGTTTTCCCTTCTTTCTTGGTGCATGTTTCCTATGTTTCATGTAAATATGAATAAAGTACTACAAATTATGTTCACTCTGAAAGAAGGTAAATTTCCTTCTCACTGCAAGACTGCACGCAGCTTACAGTGGTGCTCTCTAACGCTGGTTAGGAGACAGAGGAATCAGAAGAAGATAAGCAATTTGAATGTTTCAATGAACAGACGGCTCAGAACCACATATGTCAGCTTTGTGGGTTGGTAAGAAAAATAGTCGAACGTTTTCGGAACGACAGACTGGGGACAACAATCTCTGACAGAAAAGCGAGGGCCGCTGTCCCAGAAGAAACGTTGACCCTTATAACTGTACCGTGGGATCGTCCGAGCCACTTGCATGTACCTGAATGTTCGAGCTCAAGGTGGAGATAAAACCTTCACTGTAAGAATATGCTCCCCAAGGTCAACCTTGGACACACACACACACACTGTACAGCAAGCACGTGTACTTCTAGGGGTTCAGATTCAAGATCTGCCGTGTCCAGTGTCGAGTAACACATGTATGTTTGTTTGTGTGGAAATGGTCTGTAGGGGAGGGCAGGGGCGGATTCACGTGAGCAATCCCTTCAGATGCACCACCACCACCTTGTCAACTATGTGTCTGCGCTTTTCGTCATGTTGGGAAAAGTGGGTGCCTGGAAGATGTGGATATCCTCCATTCTACCTCAACTCCAGTTACAGGTCATTTGAGAAATACTTGAGTGGATGGATCTTGCCCATACTCATTTGGTCGGTCCTTCTAATGAGGCGGCACCACTGAACTCCTTGGTTGGACATACATCCACAACTTTTGCTTAGCTTTCTATTTGCTGCCCAGAAGGCCACTTCATTGTCAAGCCTAACTAGCAATATGCACTTGATCTCGATAGAATTAAAGCTCGAGCGGTTTAGATCTCTCGTTCATTCTTTACTGACTTTTGCTTTCCCAGTAGCACATTTAGTCGGCTCTTTCACTTCGTCCACTTCAACACCTTTCAACTCAGCATAGCAAGTAATAAGCAAATTAAAAAATTTATATTGTGCAATGTTTGAATTGAAAAAAACCATAACATTATGCATCCAAACATGCATAGTTAAGGGTCAAGAAAGACAGTCAAAGAAAATAATCTAGCATATACAGCCCTTGATATTATATATGAAATATGATCCGTAAGTGTTACTTACAAAAAATTTGCAAAACATTTTGTAAAAAACATTTTAATTCATTCAACAAGTAAAATATTGCTTGCCCTTTGAGTACCGACACTTCATATTCAGACTCTACAGGACAATTCGAAACTGCAACTTTATCATGTGCAAGTAAACAACATATTCTACTCATTATCATAGAAATATTCATGTGTACGAACTGATGCCATGTATTTCTTGCAACTAAGTTATAGGAATTACCTACTCTTGACATTTATAGGAACCTTAGATTGCAAAGATGCAGTAGATAGTAGATGATGCTCCCCTCCTTATGAGACGGTACAATGCGTTCCAACATCCTGGTTGGCCATGACTCGGGTTGATGGGTGGTGTAGACTCTACGCAAATGTGAAAGCAGTGGACATAGTGAATTTGACGTCTGGGTGGCAACGGTGAGTTCGAGCATCACCTTGGGAGTTAGCTCACTTTACGCTCACCTAATTACTTTTCTGAAATGTGAACATATGTGGTTGTGTTCATCTGCCGCCTTCTAGAGCAACATTTCCTATAACTTTGAAGCATTTGATGTTTCGCGATAACTTTTTTTATTTATTTACTTTATAAAGAGGAAAAAACAAAACAGTCTTCCAGAGTCGAACGGGGCTTTTCTCGGGATGGAGGTTTAGTTCTAGTGATGAACTAACAGGCAGACATTTAACGGACCGAAGATGAAAAGTATAAAATTCCTGGATGGAGTTTTCGTCTTCCAGGCTTGTGATCCTCGTTGTCGTTTTTCTCAGAGATGGCAGTAGACCTATGTCCTAAGATGCCTGGATCGAGAGCAATGAAAATAAGGAGACAAGAATCAGGATATTTTGAGGTCACGAGGTGATAGGAACAAGTCAATGAAAGAAAGGAGAGAACACATCCGAAGAAGGGATGAGATGAGGGGCTTATTTTATTGAATTTTTTAGACGAGGAAAATACAATCGATCTGAACACGATACGTGCCACAACATCCGTGAGGTCTTCCAATATTTAGGTACGTGAAATGATTCGAAGGAGAAAAATCTCGTGCTCAATGTTCGCCTCGTGTTAAAAGTTGTCTCGTCCATTAAATTCTCCATGTCCCAAAAACTTTGCCGGCTCATTAAATTTCCACTTTTCCAATGACAGCACAAACGTACAGAAGAATCCGGGCACATCTCATCTCGCACAAGCATCGACCTAAAGATAGTATCGGCATATCAGGTGTTTGACATCTATGTCAGCCGCCATCAGTTGCTACCTGAGAAGGCGAGGAGGCCGCCCGCCAAACAAGGCTTTCCCTATCGCATAGCATCTGAACATGTCAGGCTCTTAACTCTTCTCCCAAACGGGGGCCAAGGAAAACGCTAGAAGGATGCGCATACCCACTCAGGCCCTCGAAGGATGAACGCAATTAACGGTTAATCAGGAGGTCGGCCAATACTATCACGATGTTCAGTATGTAATCCATTGCCTAATATAATTGGTCTTCAAAAAACAACCCAAAAGTAAGTACAACTAACGTGCTGTCTGTAGAACAGTGGATATGACGTGACGGAAATAGTCAATTGACGTCTGTGAAGTTAATAACGTTGTGTCCTGTGAGTTAACCAATGTATATTTTTCTATACGTTCTTACAAGGTCAAAACGTACATAGATTATAGAGTAATAAAGAGTATAATATTTAACATGCTATATTATTTGGGAGCGATGCTCATTTTTGCTCTATTTCCTGCCACTGTATGAAATCGCAAAAGTAATTTTTCTGTGTCACATGTATCAGCGATAACCAGTGGGTTTGAGATGATACTTTATTATTCCAAAATTGTTATTAATATGCTCCATAATAATATAGCCAAAGCTACATCGATGTGAGATATCTGAAATCAAACGTCATAACAAACATCTCAATGTGAGAATGATATATGACTCATGTATCATTCTCAAGAGTAAAGTGCAATTACTCATATAATATGAGTAATTACACTTTACTCTTGAAAACCAGTCATGCTGCACTGACAAACATGATTATTCAAATTCACACAATGACTGTCGACATGAAAGCTAGATATATTAACACCGATTAATACTGTTCGTTAGCATAGTGATGAGAAATGTGGAGGGTTCGATGCTGAATTATGGTGTAGGGCCTCGATGCATGGGGCGACATGTGAGAGAACAATGGGCACACACTCAAATCAGAACCGACTGGTTCCCTGGTTCATCAAAGAAACAACTCAAGACCACTGATCATGATAGGGATTATCCACAACGTAGGTTCATGATACAGTCGCACGACGTTCCTCTTGAGACTGACTCTTGAAAGAAATCGTGATCGAGGCAGATCTCCATTCTCAGACAGTGGATGATGTCATTGCTATGACGTCTGAGCTGATGACGTTCGGGTTACTTCTCCATCCGGCATGAACTGACTTCTCACATCATACCGGCTCCAGGTCTTACAAGGAGGTCTAGCGAGGGCCAAGTTGACCTCCGGCGCTTAATGCGGGCTCCAGCCTCAAGGGGGCTCGTTGCGTATATAAGATGATGGTGGCAGACAGAGTCCTCAATCCTCTCCATCTGCTCAAGTGGTTTTGAACTCCGACAGGGAGTTCTTAGACCCATATACAGTAATATTTCTTGCCTCTCTTGTTAGTCAGGGACCGGATGATGAATTCTACAGATATGGAATCCGGCTGGTGGCAGAACTTCGATGAGTAAATGCTACTCACAGGATTCAGACAATATTCTAGTTTGGAGCTTGGTGTTGAAATGAGACATAGTTCGTATCCGTGCCTGCTCAGTCGACGGGCAAATTGACGAGATTCTCAAGCGTCACAAATTTCCATACCAGGGGTCAAAATGTTGGACGATGAGATTGAAGCTCAAGAAGCTGAGAAGCGGAATGAGATGCTCCGAAAGAAAGAGAATCTCCTGGAAGGAGAGGAGAAGGCTGTAGGCAAAGGCACGGCCCTCGTGATGTCAGGAAAGGCAGAAGAGCGAGGGCAGGAATTGGAGGCTATGGGAAAGTCGAAAAAGCCCCCAGCACAAACCAGAACAGTTTCTTTCCATGAGATGTTCAAGTACGCCGACCCACAGGACTACCTGTTGATGCTCGGAGGAACGGTTGGTGCCATCGGAGATGGATTGACTCTTCCAGCAGCGCTCTTCATAACCAGTGGCATGATCAATGCTTTCGGAACATCTGGACCGAGTACTATCAATCCTGCCGACTTCGAAAAGCTCATCAATAAGGTGTGCACACTTCAGTGCCTCTATATCCTGCTCTTCTTTCGAATTGGCTGAGTAGAATCCAATATTGGAGATCAAGAAATAGATAAAGTGTGCTAGGCTGCTCAGTTTGGCATCAATTTTTTGGCACCTTCGTCTACTGCAATTGCTGTATCGGCACGTCTTTTAGACCTGTAATTGATCAATTTTGGACCTGCAACTGATCAATATGACATGGGTGCAGTATGTTCTGCGGTTCTTCTACTTGGCCTTCGTCTGCTTCGCTGTTTGCTTTCTAGGTGAGCGCTACTCACTCTCTCGCTAAATCAACAAGTTCGTTCTTGTCATTCACATTCAGAACTTATGCTGTTTTATGTGGTTCTTGTATCCATTTTCTCGTGGAATCTAAGCTGGATTTCAAACACTCCAGTTGCGCTTGCTTTCATTGCCCCTCATCTGTAATGATTGTGTTTTGTTCATGGACACAGCAAATCTGTAGTAGTAGTGTTCCAAGGACTGGCATGACGCTCGTGTCTATGTGCGCAGAGGCGACGTGCTGGATGCGAACGGGCGAACGGCAAGCGAGTCGGCTCCGGTCGACGTACCTGAGAGCAATTCTAAGGCAAAATCAAGGCTTTTTCGACACAGCTGGAGCGGACACGGCCGAGGTGGTGAACAGCGTCACCACTGATACTCTCACAATCCAAGATGCTATCAGCGAGAAGGTACTTTCCGGCGTCAAAGTAGGCGAATCTGAATTCTATAGATCTCTTCCCGTCACTCGCAGGTTCAGGAGCGTCATCAAGTGAATGGGAATTCCTGACAGGCATACAAGTTACAAGTCATGGAATGTATTATCACTTGCTGGAATATGTGGAATTCTTGAGATTCGAGTGACAGTAACCGAATGGTTTATGCTTGCAGGTGGGCCACTTCGTGGCCAACATCTCCACGTTCATAGGAGGTTACATTGTGGGATTTTACCTGGTTTGGAAGATGTCTCTAATTCTGCTGGCGTTTTCTCCACTGCTGATCGTTCCTGGAATAGTGTACGGAAGGACGCTTACCACTCTGGCAAGGAAGATGCAGTCGACGTATCTGGATGCTGGTACTATCGCCGAACAAGCGATTTCGTCGATCAGAACCGTTTACTCCTTCGTCGGGGAAGAGAAGACCAAGGCTCGATTTGCCGAGAGCTTGGACACGACTGTGGAGATTGGGAAAAAGATGGGACTGGCCAAAGGATTTGCAGTTGGTTTGAATGGTATCAATTTTGGATTGTGGGGTTTTATGTCGTGGTATGGAAGCAAACTTGTTATGAACGAAGGCGAGAGCGGTGGAAAGATTATCACCGCCGGTCTCGCAATGCTGACGGGAGGATTGTGAGTGATTCATTATCTATACTTTCTACCAGAGCCGATCACTGTGTCCAACTTCCATGCAGGCAATCATTCTTTATGTTTTCCATGCAGTTGAGAAGAAATACTCCTGGACCAGTTTGCTGACAGTTTCGAGTATCATTCGAATTCAATCGATGGTTGCAGGGCTCTCGGAACAGCTCTTCCTAACTTGAAGTATTTTTCGGAGGGTCAGTCGGCTGCAACTCGCATATTCGATATGATTGATAGAGTACCGCCGATTGATTCCGATAATATGAACGGGCGAGTGCTGCCAAAGCTCGAGGGTCGGATGGAGCTTCGCAATGTGGACTTCGCCTACCCATCACGAATGGATTCTCAGATTTTCAAGAACTTCTGCCTCACGATTCCATCAGGTACGTGGACATACAGAATAGGCTGCATCTGTTTGACCTTGTAGCTCGTAGCTATGCCTGAGGAAATGCCAGTAAGTCCAGGAGTCAACCCACTCTCAACTCTCAAGGGACGACATGCTTGTGACATGCAGGGCTGACCGTGGCGCTGGTGGGAGGCAGTGGGTCCGGGAAGTCCACTGTCATAGCTTTGCTGGAGCGCTTCTATGATCCCCTAGCAGGTGAAGTTCTGATCGATGGAATCAACATCAAAGATTTTCAGCTGAAATGGCTTCGTACTCAGATTGGACTCGTCAGTCAGGAGCCTGCCCTCTTCGCGACCAGCATCAAGGAGAACATCATGTTCGGCAAGGAAGGCTCTTCTGAGGACGAGGTCATCAAAGCCTCCAAGGCGGCCAACGCCCACAATTTCATCTCATCCCTTCCGGAAGGCTACAATACGCAGGTGCACAAGAAAATCCAAATTCCATTCGTCCTTGTTCATCTTCGAATTTCATGATGGCCGTATTGCGATTTATGATTGCAGCTCGTGACGAGGCTGTTGTATTGAACGTCATGAGTCTGGTGGGGTGTAGGTCGGCGAGCGAGGAGTGCAAATGTCCGGAGGCCAGAAGCAACGAATTGCCATCGCTCGAGCCCTGCTGAAGAACCCTCCGATTCTACTGCTGGATGAAGCTACCAGCGCCTTAGACTCCGAGTCGGAAAAGATCGTGCAGGAAGCTCTGGACGCGGCCTCGGTCGGAAGGACGACGATCGTTGTGGCCCATCGCCTGTCGACCATTCAGAACTCGGACCTGATCGCCGTCGTCTCAGGTGAGCTAATTCAGCGGGCTGGGTGGGTTGGAATCAGGAGAGTGTCACAGAATTTGAGTTGGGAAAATTATCAAAGAGTCGCAATTTGTCGTGCATTATGGAATTCCTTCGATTCTTGGGTAGGACTGCGCGCACTAATCCGATCGGCATGGCTTGGCACTGTACGATTCATGAAGGCGGGCAAGTCGTGGAGCAAGGAACGCACGAGAGTCTGCTGGAGATTGAAGGGGGAGCATATGCATCGCTGGTCAATCTACAGCAGGCCAGGAACAAGCAAGCTGATGGCGTGCAGCCCGAAGAGAAAAACTCGATGTCGATGTCGAGAGCGAGCGAGCGTGGGGAGAAAAGCGGCGCAGCTGCGAGCTGGCGCCGCTCGAGCTCCGTGGGTCTGAGCATGTCGCAGAGGCTGCATCTGCGCTCGGGCTCGAGCGGGCGAGTGTCGTTCTCGTCGCCGCGGCCATCGGGAGCAGCAGGAGCTCCGGACGTGGACCCGGACGAGAAGCAAGCCAAGCCGCCATCGTTCTCCAGGCTGCTGGCCATGAACAAACCGGAATGGCGAGAGGGAATTCTGGGCACCATCGGAGCTGTGGGGTTCGGCGTGGTGCAGCCCATGTACGCCTTCGTGCTCGGCAGCATGATCTCCACCTTGTACTTGAAGGACTTCGACAAAATGCGCCGCGAGGTGACCATCTACGCAGCCGTGTTCGGCGGCCTGGCCGTGGCCTGCTTCATCGTCAACTTCCTGCAGCACTACTACTTCGCCGCCATGGGCGAGCTTCTGACCAAACGCATCCGCCTCCGCATGCTGTCCAAAGTCCTCACCTTCGAAGTCGGCTGGTTCGATCGAGACGAAAACTCCAGCGGTGCCATTTGCGGCCGCCTCGCCTCGGAAGCCAATGTGGTAAGCCATGCCAGCCCTCCCCACCATCCAGCCTCGGCTCAATTTACAATCGCCCACTCTTGCCTCGTAGTCGAATTCAGACCGACAGCTCCCGCCTGTGATTGCTATCTGAGGAAATTGAGGATGAGGATCCGATCGATAGATGTATCGGACTTATGCTCGAGAAATGTTCATGTTCTTGAATTGGTAATGAGTCGGTTGATTTTATGATTCAGGTGCGTGCGCTGGTCGGGGACAGGATTTCGCTGGTGATTCAGACGATCGCAGCTATCATGCTGGGGAGTATCGGAGGACTGATCATCTCGTGGAAGCTGTCGTTGGTGATGATCGCCGTGCAGCCGCTGGTGATCGTGTGCTACTACTCGAAGAAGGTGCTGCTGAAGAGCATGTACAATCTGACGCTCGAGGCGCAGGAGGAGGCGAGTCAAGTGGCGAGCGAGGCCGTGATCCACCACCGCACCATCACGGCGTACTCAGCGCAGGAGAAGATCATGGCGCTGTTCGAGGCCATGCAGCTGAAGCCGCGCAAGGAATCGAAGAAGAGGGCGTACATCGCCGGAGTGGGATTGGGCGCGGCGCTCTTCGCCACCTACTGCACGTGGGCGCTGGACTTCTGGTGGGGAGGCCAGCTCGTCAAGCGCGAGGAGCTGAGCTTCGGCGACCTGTTCAAGTGCTTCTTCATCCTCGTGGCCTCGGGCCGAATGATCGCCGAGGCCGGCAGCATGACCTCGGACCTGGCCAAGGGCGCCAACTCCATCGTCACCGTGTTCAACATTCTCGACAGGAGAACCAAAATCGACCCCGACGACAGCGCTGGCGTCAAGCTCGACAAGATCGACGGCAATGTCGAGCTCAAGGGAGTCGACTTCGCCTACCCGGCTCGCCCGGACGTCTTGGTCTTCCGCGGCTTCGACCTCAAAGTGCGCGCCGGCAAGAACGTCGCCCTCGTGGGCCAGAGCGGCTCCGGCAAATCCACCATCATCGGCTTGATCGAGAGGTACGAGCCCAAGTCGAATTTCGTTTCAATTTCTTCATGTTGCACGTCTTTCGATTGCCGCTTTTATCGAAGAATGTGAACCTGAGGCCTTTCAATTTCTTCATGTTGCACGTCTTTCGATTGCCGCTTTTATCGAAGAATGTGAACCTGAGGCATTGCGCTCGACGTGTGGATTGTACAGGTTCTACGACCCACTCAAGGGCAAGATCATGATCGACAGCTACGACATCAAAGAGATTCACCTGCGCACCCTGCGGTCGCACATTGCTCTCGTCGGCCAAGAGCCCACTCTGTTCGCGGGCACCATCCGCGAAAACATCCTCTACGGGCGAGACAACGCCACCGAAGCTGAGATCATCGAGGCCGCCAAAGCTGCCAACGCTTTCTCCTTCATCAGGTACGCCCGCGATCGATCGACCTCCATCCTCCTCCTCCTGTACGATAAAGCCCTTGTCCCCACGCTCGCCTTTCGGTGCTTTGGAGCACATCTCATCTCCTCTCATCTCAACGGCCCTCGGATCGTGTGCACTAAACGTTGGGGTCCTGCTTTCGGACTGTCGATTCACTTCAAATTTCAAATTTCAAATTCATGGTTATGTTTTAGCAGCATTGTCGTGCTCTCTCGTCATGGGCCGCCGCAGCTACGTGGCCTAAATTCAGAGCCTCGAGATGTTGATGACGATAATGATCGTGATCATAGTCGACCATTACAGTTGTGAGACGAGGTTTGGAACGACAAATTGCTAGAAATTGATAACATTTGCACGATAAATTGCTAGGAATTGAGAACAGATTGCATGATAAGTCGTGCACTTGATGCAAATGTGGGGTGGGCGGAAAGTGAAGGGATTGCGTGGTGTGGTGTGTGGGGATGATGCAGCTCGCTGAAGGAAGGGTTCAACACGAACACGGGCGAGCGAGGAGTGCAGCTGTCGGGAGGGCAAAAGCAGAGGATCGCCATCGCGCGGGCCATTCTGAAGAACCCGGGCATTCTGCTGCTGGACGAGGCCACCAGCGCGCTGGACGCGCACTCGGAGAAGATCGTGCAGGACGCGCTGGACCGGATCATGGTGGGGCGCACCACCATCGTGGTGGCCCATCGCCTCTCCACCATCCAGAACTGCGACACGATCGCCGTCATCCAGAGCGGCGCCATCCTCGAGAAAGGCACCCACAGCGAGCTGCTGGCCAAGGGCGAGGGAGGCGCCTACTTCAACCTGGTCAAACTCCAGCGCAAGGAGCCGCAGCACTGACCCTCCATCTCCATCTCCCTGCCTGCTCACGTGGTGGCCACTCTCAGAATCCCAGCACGTGGTGTCGAATTGGGAGCGATTTAGGGGCATTAATGATGATTATGATGAACAACGAGGGAGGGAGGGGAGGGGAGGGGAACGGATTATAGAAATAGCAGCTGAACCATATCTACGTACAGAACGTGAATGGCACTAAAGGGGAAGATTTAGGAAGGTTCTACAGCCCGAATTCGTGGAGAAGAGGTTGTGGCTAAACTCGAGTGTTTTGTAGAAAGTCGCTAGCTGCAATCGAATTAGTGTCGATGAGGATGCCACGCATAATCTTGGCATGGAGACAGATCATCTTCAGTGATACCGAATCGCCAGGCGGGTTATCTAGATGTACTTTGTCGAACTTCTTCCTTGGCTTTTTTTTCATACGTATTAGGAAAACAATGTAACTTTTTCCAACTATTTACATGTTCTCCACAGTCTTCGACTGTTTGCGAATCTGGTCTCTGGTCTCTCCTCTGTCTTCTTCCCAGATATTATAATCTAGCTCCAGTGTTTTGGCACATGGGTCGTGCACTCCTGCACATAGTCGGTATCCGAGGAAGGGCGGTAGGACATTGGATTGTTTTCACATGGACGGCTATTGTGGTGGTGGTAGAATCTAAATGCCTGCGATTTTCCTGATTTGTGGACACAAATTCGGGAATCTCCAGAGCCCCGACCTTGTCCAATTCGCTGCCCTTTCTCATGTCCTGCGTGATTCGGACGTGACTACCCATTTGGACTCCACAGACCTACTCCTCACCCTCTGACTGGGAATTTGATTGTCCGGCCGCATCGGTATATGTATATTGAGATTATAAGTTGACCTTTCACTTTTACGAGGAGTATAGCTGTTCGAAAATCCATCGCACGACCCTTTCTTGATTATCGATGAAAATTTTCAGAGAGGAAAGGACATGGCTACGCTTTTGTACCTCACTTAACTGATGATGCACAGTCACGAATAGCTATTTAATGTTGACTGAAACTTCACTTGGGAAAGGTAGTACATGTCAGTTATGATTACTGCTATCGATTCATATCACTTCTCGCTCCAGTGACCAGTCGATAGCGGTACTCATCTCAGAGACTTTACGAAAGAACCTGTCTATAACCATGGATATCGTACTTTTTAATTCAGTAGCAGCAAATAGTAATATTGTGCGGTCATCTGAAGCTCAGTGAAGTCCTGTTTGCAGAACTGGGCTTTGGTCCAAGGTTGAAAACGAACGAAACTCTATTTGTAGCTGAAGAAATTCCTTTCCTTTTCTTTGCCAATCTTTTGTATTGTTTATCCGATCCGTATGTACACAAACAACTTCCCTTTTTTTTGTACAAGCTTTCAAGGTGGCTGGATAAAAAATATCCGGTTTAAGTCTAGAAGAATATTTCCAGTGAACAATCCGATGTCATGCATTCTGGAAGATGGACTTGGTGTAAGTTCCCCTCCCTGAGGAAAGCACAAACAAAAATCGATCGATGCTCCTTCCATGTTTCAATTTTCTTATGTACAGCCTTGTACTCTACCTATTCAACAGATCCTCGCAGTAGGTCAATGATTTCCTCTCTATCCTCTCCCGTGAGTTTTCTATGAGTCCTCTTTGTCTCACACAACTCCTCTATATGCTATCTGCCGTCTTCTTCAACGATTGCTCGACATGTCAAATACATGAACAATTGCCCAAAAATGGTCACTGCATGATTGTCGCCCGAAGAATACCAACTTCTCCTCAAAAAAGTTCAGCATTTGCCGTGCGAACAGTTGCATGATGCAATTCTCTCGCCGCCCTACGCAATAGGATTGGTCAAAAACGTTTCACTTGTAGACAGCACCGAAAGATGCAATGCGACGTTCACCGATCGTCGAAAAGAAAAATCAGCTCCCAACATCCTGAAAACTTGCGTAGCATTGTTCGTGCCTCTTCCGTCTACTTCACATAGACATAAAGTGAACGGTCAAACCCGGCAGTGCTTCCTGGCACTGCAGTGCTGACTTCTTTGTAAGACTTGAATCCAATCTGCAGAAAGTGAACGAGTTATCAGAACCAGCGAATAACCAGCGAAGTAATTATCGAACATATCGTTATACACATTTCATTCCTAATGTTCACGACCTATGCGTAAGGTAAATCCAAATCAAAGTTCGTTCACTTCAGCTCTTGGATTCAGCGGCATTCCTTAGAAACCCTCGACGCCTCTAGCAACAGACCTTATTCAAAAGACCACTATGCCCAGTTCGTTAAGCTCGTTTCTACTCCTTTCTCATATTTATCATATCATCGTTTCTATCTCCTTTCTCCTTTCTCACGTCTTTAGTCTCATGAATCAAACAGTCCGATGCTTTTGGCCTCGTTGAGAAAACCTGCTAGCCTCTGCGCAGGCTAGCAGGTTTCGGTTATTTATTCTAAGGTCGACTACCGAACATCAGAGCTTTCTATATATATTTACTTTTTTCACTGTAAGTTCATACATGTATCAATCAACCAGGTACTTAAATGTCATTCAGTCTTGTAGGTAAGACATCGTATATAAGGAAATACGGGTCCTTCAAAGAATACCTTATCAAGAAGAATCTCGGTAAAATGATTGGGCCTTAATTTGATCTCATTGAAATTCTGTCTTGTCACCTGCATCAGAAGACAGCAATTACCGACCGAGCTTCTCAACTCCAAAATATTCCAGCTTCTATCGAAACGAGATTAGACGTGGGTTAGATTTTGAAGGTCCTCGACGCAACAATAGTACGTGGGTTCAAAACTATGTAAGAAGCTCAGTACAGTGACATCAACGCATGGGTTGTAATTCGGAATGATAAACACCCTCCTATGGGCGAGAGGCAAGTCAGATTCGAAAGCCGTCAAATGAATGGCTCTAAAGCGGGGAACAACATCCTACTCTATTGAGTAACCTGTAATGGAAGAGAATATTACCTCGCACACTTTCGCCTTTCTCCTGTAAGAATTCCAAGGTTGTGGCTCGAGAATCAATATGCCACCCTACGCAAGCGACCAAATTCATGAGGGTGACGATGAGGTGATTTTGCTATGTTTTATGACATATTGTCGAGATTAAGGATTGAAGTTCACTGCAAAGGCGATGTAAACTTTTATTCAGTTCCTGAGCAGCCTACAAATTAGTGACTGACAATTGCCGTCTTACGCCGGACTAGCTTACATCGTCAACTCAGGATGAAGATCAGCGATGATAGCGAGGCTAGTGAGGTTGTACAACACTACAAAGAAGGCAATTCATTACTCTAACAGGTATGGATAAATTGAAAACCTATGAATAGAAACTGCGAAGAAAAAGGATGCAAACCTGATCTACAATTCATTCATCTAAACGATTGACCGCATATAGTATTGTAACAAAGATAATCTGCTGTGAGCTGAAACGAAGAAAAGTAACGAACATAAAGTTTTCAGCATGCAACTGAAGGAAGATCTGAAGGACAACTTGCGTGTTAGTTGAAAGCGGAAAAGGACAATCTGAACCATGGACAAAGTACTTCAAAGTATCAAATAAGGTCTTGGTGGTTTGAGAAAAACGTGGAAAGTGGCAAGCACCTCAAGGTCACAGAAACTTGAATACACAATGAATATGTAAAAGATGACGCCGAGAGTATTGGTGTAGCCAAAAAATGTTCGGAAGTGATATCGGGCATTGCAAGCGTAGAGTCGTCAAGAAGAACCACAACAGTCACGTCACTAAAGAGAATGGATATGAAACCCTATTTGAGAGTTTCCGAAAGATTATCCGAAAAAAAAAATTACTCACTAGGATTTTCCTCCCAGTCTGAATGAAAAGCACAGACCCCGCAATCTGGCTGGGTGGTGCTAGAAGTGAGAGATAACGAGTAAAAAAGTTTATAAGTAGGAAGATTGAGCGAAAGACAATCGGACTACTTGAGAAAGGAGGAAGTTTCTGTTAAGGCGGAATGTGTCCCATGTATGCTTTAGCTAAGTGTTTTCGAGTGTCAGCTAGAGCATTCTGCATCCTCACTGACTCGCCCACCATTTGGTTTTCCAGCTCCAGATTATTGCACCAAAGAGCGGCAATTTCGGGCTTTGAAGACTAGAAACTGTTGAAAGCCCAACCCGCTCAGAGGCATGGTAGAGCCTCCCAAAGTCGCTCTCGTTTTGGCAAAGGTGGTGGAGACATAGAAATCCCTCAACCAAGTTATCATTACGACGGGAAAAACCAGTGATCCTTCGAAATACATCCGTGTGCGTGCTAGAACAATGACTACCCGAGTGGGTATATTACTCACCGGTCGGAGAATATGATAGATTTTGGCGAAAAGGCGCACCAGTCCGTCATCACCCCAGTTTAAATGCACCCACTTCGTCATACTCAAGCTGCAAAAAAAGCCGTTTGACTTCTATTATACTTCATTTGAATGGCTCGATTCCGAGAGATGTACTTGACAAGCAAATTCCAATACTGACAGTATACACTGATAACCGCTTCTACCACAGTGATGGAAATTGGAAATGAGCAATAAATGATTGTCAGTTACCAGAGTACAGTATCGAAAGTACCATCCTTCATGTAGTCACCATGAGGAAAATCTTTGATAACATTCTCCTTTCTGAACGTTACTCTTCGCAGCAAGTTGTTCGAATTTAGTGGCGTACTCCTTTCGGCCCTTTCTGTTGCACACCGACTATCTTCAACCCTGTCACTACCCTGCTGTGAACCAGTTAACTCTCTCCAAGCGATAGTTTCTTTCCACCATCCGTTGTCGAGGGTATTTTCACTGTCTGACGAACAATTCTCTTTTGCCTCACATGGCTCCATATATTCTCCAGTGGTAAACCCTTGTAAGGCGGCTTCTTCAATTAAGTTCGACTGGGCTTTCCTTATCAGAACTGATCATGACAAATTCAAAATTCAATGAGCCCGCTTATCTTAAACCCTTGGCAACCCAAAGTGACCGAGATGATCATGAACTTGGCCAACTACATATTATCATGATATCGTTCAACTTCCACTTCAATTCCCACATTACGTGCGTAAAGGGTCGCTATACAGTAACCAGAAAGATCCAACGGAACTTACATACTGGTGCAAGCACGAAATCTACAAATTATGTCGGAAGATAGACGTACCTTCGTCAATGTCCAGGCCCAGAATACTCCGGCAATTGTACTTCTGTGCTGAACACAACGACACATGTTCGATTGTTGAGGCTCCGCACAGACAAGGCGAGCCATAAAACCTCGAAAATATCTTGAGTAAAATTCTAAAATCCACAACTGCTAAGTCAAAACCGCAGGTTTGCCACAAGCAAACTTGCGGATTTCCGCTAGTTATCTCCTGAAAAGAAAAATGCATCGAAGAATACCAATTGAGATTGTTACAATGCCTTCGTTGCAGCCGATATCCAGGCAATCCATTCCCTCAAACCATTCCGGTTCAAAAACATTGAGCCTCGGATCCACGTCGAGACTCTTCCCGAGCTGCATCATACGACAACCAAACACAATTAATTCCGGACCGCTCCCTGGCAGCTGGGATCAAATTGCGATCCAAAGCAAACATGATAACAGCTTACCCGATATCCGTAGTAATGATGATAATTCCCGAATCTCTGAACTTCTTTCTTAGCAGGCTTCTTCCGTTTGCGCTTGGCGCTCATGTCACCATCGCAGAACCCCACGCCTGTCGAGTGCACAAGCTGCTTCTCCTCGTCCTCCGCCTCGACTGGCACCTCCCGTCCCATCGACGAATCGTTCATTCTCCTTCGAGCCCAACGAGCGCAGCGCTCGGACTCTGTCCCATTCATCGACCAGCTGCCACAGTCGAGCCGCCGTCGCTTGAACTGGCCGCTCCCGCGCGGGCTACGCGTCTCGACAAACCCTCGACCAAGCAAACGTCCCCATCATTCGTATCAAGGCCTTGCTCGAATTTTCGAATTTTCGATAATTCGAAAATTCTCGCCTATACGCCACATTCCACAATAAAGTGCCAGTCTTCCCAATTCTCTCCCAAATTTCCTTCACATTGAACAACTGCCATGAACAGAAACAACATGTTCACATGGTTTTCATCTCTATTTAAGTTAAGTTTAGTGAACTGGCAGTAATGACCAATACATTTTTATTGAAAATCGTAAGTATGGAATAAACTTAATTGTTCTCTTAGAGCTAATTATGTCTTCAAACTCTTTTTTCTTGAAACCAGAAGTCATCGCGGCAGGTTTGTCTACATTTCACTAATCTGAAAATTTCACTAATTCTAGCAAAGATAGTTTGGGAGATTGATTGTCATTTTTCTATATCCACACATCAATTGTGTACAATGTTGCCTGAGTTCAAATTGTGTCAAAGCAAATCTTTCGTATAAAAAATATTCAGTTTGTTATACTTTCAAACCGAAATTTAATTTAAGAAAAAAAATTAGCTGTTTATCTTAAGTATATATTTAATTTTTTGATATTTCATGGTTGGAGAAGTACAATATTTTACATTTGTTGACTATTCATCAAATTATTATTATCATGACACTTCATGCACAAAAATTACAAGTAACCAAATTATTAAAAATTGAAATAAAATTTTATAATTTTTTTAGTCTTTTTATATTTTTTAGTTAGCAATATTGAAAAATATTATTTCGACTTCAATTCCAATTTTAAGTACTTTTGAAAATTGATGAATAGATTTTGTAAGTAATTTGAATTTTACTTATCCAAGAAACAAATTCATTATCATAACTATTGACTATCTTTTCAAATGGATAGAGGCTATATCATTCAAATCTACTCGGAAGAAGAAGTTGTATAGATTTTTGTATGAAAATGATCATAGTTAGGCTTGATTGTACTTTGAAATTAGTATCGAATGGAATAATGAAGTTTGTGGAAAATGTTATTCAAATCACGTTAAAGCATTTTTGCATCAAAGCTAGAGTGACCATTTTTTACAAATCCAATGCTAATAAGTTGGCTGAGAGTACAAACTACACACTTTGTATGATGTAGGCAAAGCATGCAGACATGGATGAAAGCAAGTAGAATTATGATAAGAGACTACATGCTATCATGTGGGAGTATCAAACGACATGGAAGACATTTACTGGATATTCATCTTTTTGTATGATATATGAAATTGAATCAAAACTTCCCATACAATTTGACTTGACAACATTCATGATAATTTAGCAAAAGTTGAAGAACTCAAATGAAGTGAAAGTTGTTAAGTCTCCACAACAACAATTGATGGAGCTGGAGTAACCTCGAACTACGATTATGGTACGAATGAATAGAGTTCAACAATTGCAAAAGAAGTACCAAAAAAACAAATTTGAACTCACAACTTGAAGTCATTTAAGTAAGTTGATTGGGTGATGCTCTTTGATACAATTAGAAACAAAAAGTCTAGTAAAAAAATTCTTTTTAAATACTTTGTACCTTTCATAGTTGAAAAGATGTGAGAAACTTTACTTAAAATGACGACACTTTGATTGAAATAACCACGACAAGTTGAAATTATTTCATCGAAGATTAGATTCTTTCACTCCAAGAGCGTAGTGAAATCTTGGTCTAAGGATAAATGTAAGATCAAATGTCATATGTGTGAAATATAATTAGAAGTACTCAAAGAGTTAATTATGGTTAGCTTAGTTATGACTAATTCTAATCGATTATAACTATGTCTATCAAGTTATAATTATCTTTAGCTATATTTGTAGAATTAACTAAAGAAATTCTAAAAAATTTGAGTTAGCATTTTTATTTTGTCTTGTACAAAAGTCTAGATTCCGAGAGGAAAATAATTTTGACTTCATGTTTATTTTTGATTGATTTGACTAAGTAATGGATACTTCATTAGTTACATTAAGTCTAATGTTGACTTATTGTCAAGTGAAGTTTCTAGAAGTTGGAAAGTAACAAATGACATGTTGTCATCTCAATCTTGTGATTAGTAAACATCTGGAAAGTTTAGGAAGCTAATGGCATGTTCTACTATTGATAACATATTGATAACTAGTCAAACTTACTACTGTTTACTTTTTGTAAAAGTAAATTAGATAAGAATTACCATTTGTTATCATGGTAAATTCTTAAGTAGTATGTATAGAGAGTTAGGAAATAGACTCTCAAGTAAATTTGGATAATTTATTATGTACAGACTTGTTTTATCAATGAATGAGTGAGTTTTTTAGTATCTTGAAGTGTTGATGTATGTGTGACTTGAATGATGAATGGAAAGATTGTGTGAGAAGTTGTTCGAAACATGAGCATGAGGTATAATACTAGTCTTCTAGATCCATGATGAACTACCGCAAAGCCATCTGAAGTAAATCTAAGTGAGAGTCAGCTTGAATGTTGCACATCGCGATTCTTATGACCTGTTAAAATTGAATTTTATTGCACATTTGTTTTGTTTGTATCAGCTCTAGCTGCTTTTTACCTAAATTTCATGTAGCCGGTGTTATTTTCAACCTAACAACACTAGTTGTTGGGATGAAAATTGTTCACACAAAAATCATGTTACCACCTCCATAAACATCCCATCATTCATTTGAAGATATGCTGCTAACCGTCTAAGACTTTGCTCACATTCAGTGCAACATTGTTACAAATCGGTGTGCAGATTTTGTAAAAAACACTATGATACGTTTTGACAAGTGACGCGTATGTGATCATTTTACATTAGATGTGGCTGTTCAAAATTCCTCAACTTATATTATGATTAATTTATAATATCATAATAGTGTAACAAAAACATGATTTTTCCAAATTATTATTTTAAAATATGTAGTTACTCATATATTTTTATACATCATGATATCAAAATTGAATACAATGATGATTATGCATGAATTTTTCAAAATTTTGATTAGTATCAAGATTTTGAAATTTTCATTAGAAACTAAAATTTGGATATTTAATTAATAGCAAACAAATGTAATAATTTAATAACATTTATCAAATGATGATACTTCAAAGTTATATTCATTATTAAGATTTTTAAATCAATAAAATAAAATATTTAATGATTAATAAAGAGCATATAGTTTATAAGCTTTAATTTAATTCATATATGTACTTTATTTTATCTTTGGTTTGGCTGTGGATAAAATAAATATTATAGTCATTTTCATATGTGTAAGAACTACCTATTCATAACAAGAGTTGATGACGTCAAGGTTTTGACTTAGAATTAGGAATTAATTACACTCCAAATGGTGTCTATCGGCTCGTCATGTTGATTTTGCAAAAAGTGTGACCCTTATCAAAAGAGCTCTTCAATGTTATAAAACAAAGTGTTATAGCATAGAATGTTGCTAAAACACTTTGTTCCATTGTAACTTATAGTATATAGTTTTGATTTTGTCATCGGAAAGATAAATCTAGCTTAGAGATGCCGTAAATTCTCTACATTCTATTCAATCAAAGTAAACTAACTCTTTGCTGCCACCAAGATTTACCTCAAGCATTCCACCTCCCATCTAGATCAATCAAACTTTCAAAAAAACCTGTCGTAGAAACTAAGTAGATATATTAATTTTTGGTACACAATGAATGTACTTAATATGTCTATTTTGTAGTACTTATGTTTATCCTACCTATTAGTGCATCTATATGCTTTCAAACACCAACTAAATGTCACTACATTTTAATCTACGTCTCATGGTTGCATCATAAGTAAAATCTAAGAAAAGTTAAAATTTCAAACATCAACTCAATCTCACTACATTCTAATCTACATCTCATGATTGCACCATAAGTTAAGTCTAAGAATAGGTAAAACAATTAGCTTTATAATTACTATGATGTCTTGGCATTCGTACAAAGCCAATCTACTTCAAACTAAAAACCAATACAATACTTACTAACAAAAAAATCTCACTGTTTTCTCTTCAAGGCTCAATGATATATTTTATTCTATAAGACAATTGTTCTATGATCTTATTCACACTAATATAGTCATCTGCCACATGTTTTCTCCTTAATTGAAGGTACACTTTCTGTCCAATGCTAGTGACAATTTCATGATAGCTTGTCTCTTCAACATGATGAATAGTCAACTTCTTTTTTTGTCGATCAATGATCTTTGATTCAATTGACGAGACAAGCTTCAACTAACAAGTTTTGCTTCAGATATGTAATAAAACTGACAAAATTGACTAGAGCTTGCTTGGTGTAAACAAAATAACAAAATAATCCGTTTTATTGCAATATTATTAGTCTGATTCCAACTATTTAGAGAAAGCGTTTATTGCTCTTCGTTGCACAACCTCTTAATCTACATTTTTCAGTTGGATATCTTACAAGCTTCCACGTAGCTACACGCGCTGCAGGCCAAATTGACTATACATCATTGTATGAATTTGTGTGCATGATTTTTTCATTGCAGAACGCATAAATTTACGAAGTCATATGAAAAAGATCGTAGTCAAATTCAACATGAACCATCGTTTCATGTTGTGAAAATAAGAACATGTTTTTCAAGGCTAAGATCATAGTGATCAAACCAATGACAATTGCAAAATTTAATTTAAGATCTTACTGCAAAGGCGGTCATTGACACACGATGAAAATACAAACTCCACAAATCTGCCCGTTTGGTGACCGAACCAAGATGAAGATCACCATCGCACACAACTTTAGATTTTCAAGCATAGTTGATCGAGCGACAAGTTGAGATTATCCAAGCGCAATCTGCTAAATGACATTGGAATTAGATCCAATAGCTGGTTTTTTGATAAATTCAGCTCTAAAATGAGTAAGTTCTCCCAGTTGCACAAGTATGGATTTCTCAAAATTGTTGACGGTCATGAACAGTTATCTAAGACCGTGCAATGTGTCCAACTTCGCGGATGATGCTTTAGTAAGTCGAT